TTATCACGTAGGTGAGAGCTAGGCCATCTCTCCTTGTTTCTTGAATCCACCCTGGCTTTAAGCACTGGATCACAGCACCTAAAGGTGTGGGCGGGTGTCCCACCAGCATCAGCAGCAGATGCAGATTTAGGGGAGCATGACTGGTTCACCTGCACTGGGCACCAAGAGGATATTACAGGGGATGCCACAAAAATGATGAACAACAGAAGTTGAGTGACAGAATTTTGGTGTTGCACAGGGCACTGCTGAAGCCCGAAGTCCATCACTGTCATCAGTCCCATGCCAATAAGATTTGAGGACCAGCTCCCTGCCCCCAAATCCCCCCCCCCCAAGCCAGTAAAGGTAAAGGGACCCCTGACCGTTAGGTCCAGTCGCGGACGACTCTGGGGTTGCGATGCTCATCTGGCTTTGCTGGCCAAGGGAGCGGGTGTACAGCTTCCAGGTCACGTGGCCAGCATGACTAAGCTGCTTCTGGCGAACCAGAGCAGTGCACGGAAACACTGTTTACCTTCCCACCCGGGTGGTACCTATTTATCTATGTGCACTTTGACATGCTTTCAAACTGCTAGGTTGGCAGGAGCTGGGACCGAGCAACGGGAGCTCACCCCGTCTCAGGGATTCGAACCACCAACCTTCTGATCAGCAAGCCCTAGGCTCTGTGGTTTAGACCACAGCGCCACCTGCATCCCAGTCATCAGTCCCATGCCAATAAGCTTTGAGGACTAGCTCCCTGCCCCCAAATCCCCACAAGCCAGTAAACTGTGTGTAAATATCCTTTCACCACTCTGATGCTTTTGTATTTTCCCCCTACCTGCACTGAACCTGCCACTTGTAATTTATTTTATGGCAAGGCTAAATAGAACCCATTAGCGAACTCATGCTACGTGACAGAACAGAGGACATGAAAGAGGTCAGGTGGGCAGGTGGGCTGTCACTGCACTGAGAGCTGAGCAGTGCTATAGCTTAGGGCGCCACTCTCTTGGAGGCCCCCCAAAAATATACTTCTTCCTAATTGTATTTCAGTTCAACAATTACTTTGATAAAATACATATTTTGTTATGTGCAAATGGTTTTAGATACCTATTAGGTCCATAAACTACCATATAGCATATATTCAACACAAAAAACAGTGACAAATTGTTGTTGACGAAGGACAGCTGGACATATAAAGGGCCCCATTACCTTCAGTAGCTTAGGGCCTCATCAAACCTAAATCCGGCCCTGTAGCTGAGTCTTAGGAGAGGGATTTTCTACCTTCAATAAGCACTGCTGTCGCTGTTTGGCTGGTATGCACAAACGTCACCTCCAATCTCATCCCTCAAATGGGTCCATGTGAAATTGGCCCACACATGGCCATCAAGGTAGTACTGGGTGTAGACCAGCAAGGAAGGTGGGGTCAGACTGCGTCTTCAGGCCAAACCTTTACTGTGTAAACAATTTGCCCAAGAGGATAAAGAGCCAGGGAAGATGCTAGAAATGAAATCCCATTGGTATCAAAAGGCTGAGGAACATGCTGCATGTGCCAGGGAGCATGCAGCCATGCTTCCTTCCAACCATTGGCAGTGACCAAGCACGATGGGTAACAGTCTGAAGGTACTGAGTATTTGGACAGTTTCTGAAGGCTAGGGACTAGATCTGACAGTAATCATAGGAGTTACCATAGGAGGTATTTGGCTCTGCATCATACATTCCCATTCAAAAAGGCATGTACCCTTCCTTTGAATTGCAGTGTGATTCCCCGCCACCACCCCTGCACTTCACACACAGTCAGGTGAACACAAGTGTGGGAGCAGTTTTGTGAATCAACTTTCTTCTGCTCCTGCTGCCTTCCCCCCTCCTGGGGTAGGGGAACATTCAGGGTGCACTTCCAATATTATAGAGAGCACATGTTCTATGTATCTTGTCAATGCACCATGCAAGGTACCCCTTGATGCTGTGGTCAAGATATGAGAAATGCCTGTGAATACGAACCATCTCCCAGCAGCCCAGTTATCTGTGCTCGGGATATTCTGTGAATATTTCAACTAGGGTCGTCATAGAAAAAAGAAGACTATTACCCATTTGTATGTGCTCGTTCACTAAATATATACCAAATAACCACCATCATCCAGATGTGGATTGTACAGAATTAGAATAATAATAAAAACTATGCCATTTTAAAACTCAACCAGACAGGAACCCTAGGAATAAATTAACCCCATTGCAAAATGCAGCCGCTTTCACGAGGGGAATGTAAAGATGACGTGGTTGTGTTTATATTTGTCACTATTGAATGGAAAGTGCAGAGACAGAAAGCCCCTCTAATATATGTGATGGAAGGGCACCACCCCATGGACAATTGGAGTATTTCATCCACTGCTATAATGTTTGTTGGCTATTCCACCCACACCCTCACCCCAAATTTTAAAAAAATCAGAAATCAGTATTTTGTCTGCCTTTTCCTTTTGTTTTCTTCTTCCATGAGTCACTCTTGCTTTTAAGATTTTTGTAAGCCAATTTTACACTACATTTCATGATAAAAGTCAACCAGGCTTGAGTATTGAGCACCCTGCTTTGTGGAAGTGAGTTGTGGGCAACTTAACAACCATCAGCAGTAACACCTCAATGCACTGCATTGGGAAGAATTTGGGTATTAAACAGCAGAATAGAGTCTCACTCAAGGATGTGTTCTTCCACACAAGATGTGGCACACACACACCATTTGAATGGCAATGCCTATTACCTGGGGAGCGGGTACCCTTTCAAATATTTTATTGTGAGGGCCGAAGGGGCCTTGGTCCCTCGGAGTTGGCTCCTATGTGTGTCAGCGACATCTGTGCTGACTTAGTCCTGTCCACAGAATCCCGCATCATGTTATTTTAGTTCCTTGGAATTTCATTATTTATTCTAATTTGGTGGATTTCATCTGTAAAGTTGGTTGACTGAAAACAAGGGTTGAAAAATGCTTAAAATAAACAACAATACCCACATTTTCCCTTTCCTCATACCTCAACAGAACGAATTCCCATTTGAAAATCACATCATTTGGAGGTGAACTATTCCATCTTACCCTAAAGATAGGGATCAGCTCTTCCATCCACAAAGCTTAATTTTTCTTTAATAAATGTATTGGAAAAAATGGTATATTGCATGCAAAATAATGAATATACAGTATCAGTAATAAATATATCAGTTTAGCAAATATTCAACTCTTATTTCCTCAATATAATTCAATTCAGTACATTCAGTTCATCTTCATTATCCACATTACCACTATTTTTACTCCAATACGGAAAAAAACTTGTTAAGCAAATGCCAATTTCTAATCTTCTTTATTTTTCTCTATACCAAACATAATGAGTTAACTTGAAACAACTAATCAGGCGCCACCATTTATTTCCACACACATGAATAGATGGCACCTCTTTCTTCCCCAGTAATGAGCAATTAAACATATTGCTGCTGTTTCTAAGTGAAACTGTTTCCTGTTTCATACCTAACTCATTAAAACATCCAAAAATTATATTTTGAGGGTGTAATGGAGCAAAGATCCTTGCTGTCTTGGAATGTTTTGCAATGATTCTCATCTAGAAAACCTGATTCCCACTTTCTTGATTATGTCACCCACAAGAAGAGCCAACACAATCTCCTTTGTGTTACAAGCCAGCATGTTAACAATGTATAGTAATTCCCCAACAAATTGATACACAAGGATGATTTCATATATGCCTACCATAATTGCTGCCACAAGCTATCTGGAATCTCTTCAGCTATCAGGAATTTATTCCTTATTTCCATTTTCTACAATAGGATTAACTTTTCCTGCAAACCTCATTCAATACTTAATTGAGTTTGGAAAATTCACCTTCGTCTGGGCTCTCAGTCAGATACCACAAAACAGTTTAAACCACGGGTGTCAAACACAAGACCCGCGGGCCGAATCCGGCCCGCCAGACCTCGTCATGTGGCCCATGTAGCCGCCGCCGGCCGCCAGCCTTCACCTTTTATTCTCGCTTTTTTTTTTTTGACACAAGAAAGCTGCCTCTTCAGCGCATGCGCGGCAGCCTACAAGCCAGAGAACATCTGCCCTCTAGCGGCGCCGGCCGTTCTACACAGGAAACCTCCACTTTACATGCATTCAGGAAACCTCCACTTGTTTTTATATTGAGCGCATGCCATCCTGTGATGTGACAGATCCAACGGCTGCCTGAACCCTTCTCTCCTGTACTGTAAGGACATATGATGTATGGGGGGGGGTCTGCTTATTAGGGGGGGTCTGCTTATTATTCTGCTTAAAAGTCTGAGCGGTAAACTTTGGATATACTGACCACTTCCGTGTCACTTTACAGTGGTATAGGGATCATAAACTACAATCAAATAACCCAAAAATGTCCAAGAAAAGAAAAGTTGATGCAGAGGGAAGGCAATTTCAGGAGAGATGGGAAAGTGAATACATGTTTGTGATTAATGGAGACAAGCCGGTATGTCTTATTTGCTATGAGGCAGTGGCAGTGATGAAGGAATACAATTTACGCCGGCACTTTGAGACCAAACATGGAGCCAAATTTGCTAACCTTAGCCACCAGGGAAAGCAACAAAAGGTCCAAGAATTAAAAGATAGCCTGCATTCTCAACGGAATATTTTTGCACAATAAATGTACAATAATTGTACATTTGAATATCTACCGTATTTTTCGTTCTATAGGACGCACATTTCCCCCTCCAAAAACTAAGGGGAAATGTGTGTGCGTCCTATAGAGCGAATGCAGGCTGTGCCGCTAAGCCCAAAGCCAGAACAGGAAGACGGAGCACTGCGGACCGCTCCGTCTCGCTGTTCTGGCTTGGGAACAGCCTTGCTAGCTTCTGCAGGACAGCGGGGTGAAGGCACCCCGCTGCCCTGGAGAGGCTGTGCGCGCAGCCCTCCCCAAGCTAGAGCAGCGAGACGGAGCCCTCCATCTCGCTGTTCTGGCTTGGGAACAGCCTTGCTAGCTTCTGCAGGACAGCGGGGTGAAGGCACCCCGCTGCCCTGCAGAGGTTTGCGCGCAGCCCTCCCCAAGCTAGAGCAGCTGCTAGGCTGTTCCCAAGCCGTCTCGCTGCTCTAGCTTGGGGAGGGCTGCGTGCAAACCTCTGCAGGGCAGCGGTGTGCCTTCACCCCGCTGTCCTGCAGAAGCTACCAAGGCTGTTCCCAAGCCAGAACAGCGAGACGGAGGGCTCCGTCTCGCTGCTCTAGCTTGGGGAGGGCTGCGCGCAAACCTCTGCAGGGCAGCGGGGTGCCTTCACCCCGCTGTCCCGCAGAAGCTAGCAAGGCTGTTCCTAAGCCAGAACAGCGAGACGGAGGGCTCCGTCTCGCTGCTCTAGCTTGGGGACGGCTGCGCGCAAACCTCTGCAGGGCAGCGGGGTGCCTTCACCCCGCTGTCCTGCAGAAGCTAGCTAGGCTGTTCCCAAGCCAGAACAGCGAGACGGAGGGCTCCGTTTCACTGCTCTAGCTTGGGAACGGCTGCGCGCAAACCTGTGCAGGGCAGCGGGGCGCTGCGCTCCAAAGGCTTCAGGGATCTTTGAGGCTGGCGGTGGGGGAAAGCAGCGCTTCCCCCCACCGCCAGCCCCACAAGCTCTGGTGAATGCACCTTGAACGCACCTTGTTTTGGAGGGTTAGAACAAGAAAAAAAATCTTTTTCCCTGTTCTCGCCCTCCTATGATCCGGTGCGTCCTATGGTCCGGTGCGTCCAATGGAGCGAAAAATACGGTACTTGCCATTATTCTATGTTTCTGCTTTCAGAGCTAGTTATTACTTACATTATTACAAAAAACAGTAATAATTGAATGCAGTGACAATAATTTATGATAATAAAGAGTGGACACATAGTCCTACAGATACAACCGGCCCTTTGAGGGTGACCAAACTGCTGATGCGGCCCCCGATGAATTTGAGTTTGACACCCCCGGTTTAAACCCATAGAGGAACGATGGGAGACCTTTAACCCTCCATCTGTTGCTGGACTCTGGCTCCCATCATACTTGATCATTGGCAGTGCTGGCTAGGGCTGATGGGAACTGGAGTCCCAACACCAGAGTTTCCCCACTCCTGCACCTTAGAATGTAACCATTTAATTTTTGATGTGCCCATTCTCATAGCTGCAAATGCAGATAGCAAAAAAATCTCTTGTCAACCTTTTGCTCTGATCAGTTTGTCCCAAAACATTCTGAACAGATAAGCAAAAACATTACAGTGGTACCTCGGGTTACATACGCTTCAGGTTACATATGCTTCAGGTTACAGACTCCGCTAACCCAGAAATAGTACCTCAAGTTAAAAACTTTGCTTCAGGATGAGAACAGAAATCGTGCTGCGGCAGCAGCAGGAGGCCCCTTTAGCTAAAGTGGTGCTTCAGGTTAAGAACGAACCTCCAGAACGAATTAAGTACTTAACCTGAGGTACCACTGTATAGCATATGAAAGGCAGGGATTTGGGGGGACATAAAGGGCAGCATGCCCAACCAGTTGCTTCCCAAGAGGGAAATGGTGCCTTTGCCAGCTCATTTAAGACAAGGTAGTTGTGGGGTATGTCCCATCACATCCCAGAAGAAGAAAGAATAGGATGCAAAGGAGGTCAGGATTGCTGCCCCTTTAAAAGTTATGTAGAAAGGGGAAATTCAGCACTCATGACATATCTAACCTTCTTCTATCTACACAGCTGTCAACAGAGACAGGAACCCTATCCTGTATTGTACCTATTCAGCCATTTGAGAACAGCCCGATGGAACAATCTCCCTTCTCCTCTCCTTGCATACTGCTCTGGGGATTCTCCTGACCCCCTGAGCCAATTGGTGAGGGAGCAATTAGGGAAGAGGGGCAGAATCCCCATTGTGCCAGTTGGCTTCCACCAGCAGGACCGGTTAGTTGAATCTGGCAAACGTGCAATCTAGAAAATGTTTAAAGCTCAAAAGAAATCTGTGTTCCATGAAACAGAGCAGTTGGAAGTTGTAATCAGTCCCCAGAAACCATCTGCAGAAAGTGATTCAAATGATTTCTTCTAATTTAGATTTCTTACTTGGTTTGTTAATGTTGAGGGAGAGGGTGTTTAATTTGGCCATGTGGATGTAACAGAAGGTCCCTTTAATAAAGAAGGGGGCTCACATACCCTTGGAGCACCTCAATGATACATCCTTTGCAAAGAGTTTTGTGAGCTTTGCCATGGGACCTCAGCAAGGCAAGGATTCATATTAGAGTGTGTGTGTTCCCCGTCCTTGATCTGGGATCTCCCAGAATAATGTTAGTGTATTTTGAAAAGAAGATGTTTGTGATATGATGAGTGCTGATATGGGGATTCTGATTCACATCACAAGATTAATTTCATCTAAGTGACCAAATAAGTCTCGATATGAGAGGAGAGAGAGAGAGAGAGAGAGAGAGAGAGAGAGAATATTAACCCCATGAGAACCTGGGGTAACTGAGTGCATGAGTAGCGCTGCCTCTGGCTCCATGTTCACCCTGTCTACTAACATCTCCAGATACATATATTCATCTGGCCTAGCTAATCTAGCCTGTGCACCTGGCTTTCTGTGTTCTGGAGAGGTCCTCTTTGCATTCCTTATCTGCACAGGTTCAGAGAGTAATAACTTGAAAACATTCTCTTCTGCAAAATGTGGTGTGCAGCCATAAATCACTTGGTGTGAGTGAAATCAGGAAGCCGTCATTGTTTCCAGTACAGTCTGCAAAGAGTGGAAATCCTACTACCACAGGCCACAGGGTTGTTGGTTTTTGTTGAGGATGTGGAATGAAATAAAGACTACACTGAGTTTGGAAGGACCCATCTAAGTGTCTTAACTGTTGTATTTCACAAAGATAGATGACTTCCCGCCTGTGTGACTTTGAGTGGCTTTCCCACCCTCCTCAGCTCCTGCTGGGTGAGACTATTTTTTCAACACTGTAGGTTTTTATATGCTGTTAACGCTTACACCAGACTCACTCCCCAGCTGTTGCCCAGGACCTCAGATCTATAAGGCAGATCTTTCTGCTTTGGGGTGAAGAATTCATATGTTTCACACACACTTACTGACTCTTTCTTTTTGTCTGCATCTGGATCCAGCGGATCCTAAACAGGGCATCTATTTCCTCTCTTAGGGGGAAGCAAGTCTACTTAGGGCCTTACTCTTTAACAGAGCAAAACAGCATCAATAGACTTAGGGGTGAAATATTAGTGATGTGTAGCTATTTGGTACATGCTAGGATAACGTGGGTGGTGTTGTGGGTTAAACCACTGAGCCTTGGGCTTGCCGATCAGAAGGTTGGCAGTTCGAATCCCCACGACTGGCTGAGCTCCTGTTGCTCAGTCCCTGCTCCTGCCAGCCTAGCAGTTTGAAAGCAAGTCAAAGAGCAAGTAGATAATTAAGTACCACTCCGGCGGGAAGGTAAACAGTGTTTCCGTGCGCTGCTCTGGTTCGCCAGAAGTGGCTTAGTCATGCTGGCCACATGACCCGGAAGCTGTACGCCGGCTCCCTCGGCCAGTTAAGTGAGATGAGCGCCACAACCCCAGAGTCATCCGCAACTGGACCTAATGGTCAGGGGTCCCTTTACCTTTACATTTACATTTACCTAGGATAACAGAGGTAGTCCTTGCACTTTGTAAGGCTGGTCCATCCAAAAAACTAAAAGGCAGGACTTTTCTGTTAGGGAATGAGCTTCCATTGCTCAGTGGAAGAGCACAAGCTTTGTATTAGAAGTTCCCAGGTTCAATTCCTGGCTTCTACAGTGGAAAGCCTCCAGTAGCAAATGACCTCTGGTTGAGTCCCTAGACAGATAGGAAAACAGGACTGCAGGTTTAACTAGTCTTACTCAGTATAAGACAGCTTCACATGCTCTTTGGGGAGAAGCGAGTGCTCTCTTTCTTGTGCTTCCACTTGCTCACATCAGACTAGAAACTCAGGTATCTGTGTTGCAGGCCTGACCTTAGTTTAAATCCCTAGCTGTGCCTGCTTAATTCTAATCTGGGTAAGTTTCCAGTCCTGTGTGTCACTGTGAAGGCTGACGTATGACAAAAGCCCCAAAGAGTTTTGCATGCAGACCTAGAACCACTCTGCCTCATCTCAAACCCAGTGTACGTTTCATTTCTTCATATGAGAAAGAAGTTTTAGAGAAACAAGGTCACAATGCATGGAATCACCCTCCTTTCGCTGCTGGTGCGTAAAAACGTTATGTCCTCTCTGTTCAGATCCCTCTTGCTCGCTCTTTAGGAAATTGGTTTTATTTGTAGTAAATGGGGAAGCTGAGAGAACCAGTGCTTTCTGGTAGGGTTGGTGGGGTTTCCCTCCCTGTCTGAGTCTAGCTGAGTTAAAAAGTGAACGTTTTCAAGTTTCACTTGCTGCCACAGCTCAAGACTGCCATCACTAGAACATAGGCAGCAGCACTCAACCTGCTTTCCATATCACTAACCAGGAGTGAACTGCAGACAGGCATTATGAAGAGTGAGGCTCCTGAAATGAACATACGTAGCTTTCAAAACTAGTGATCCACCTCCCCACCCCTCCCCACCCCGCGCAGGAAAAGGGTGACTCACTGAACCACTCTTTCTCTGCTCCCCGCTCCCTTCCTTAGGTGTCTGAGTGTACTGGGGCCAGAGCAAGTTGTGCTATCTAAGTTCTTGACAGGTAAGCTTCCTCTTTCTTCATCACCTTTCTGGGTCTGTATCTAAAATGCACATGTGGGTTGCCTGTTAAAAGAAACTGGGAAATCACCTTTGCCCTGATGCTGCTCAGATGATTATCTTAATGAATCTTTGGTACAGAGGGAGGGACAAGAAATAGTGTTAAAATGTTGCAGGTGATCCTGCCTAGTATACCCTCCTCTTTCAGATGCTTTTCTCTGTCCTCCTTGGGGAGGAAGCTTATTTTTGTTGAATATTTGGCCACTAGCCTGAGTTGCACAGAGCTGAAAAGTTCTTCTGCATAACCCCCACTGAATTGGCTACCTCCAGTTGGTTCCTCCATCATTTATGGTAAGTTGTTGTGTGGAGCCTTCTGTGGGAGCCGTGCAGGAAAACATCCCTGAGCCCTTTGGAGCTATTACAACCCACAGATAGGTGCTGTTGAGGGCCTCCATAAAGACTTTGGGACTCGCTGAGGATGGAAGGAAAAGGTGGGAGAGAATGATGCTACTTTGTCCAAGATTCTTCCGGTGGGGTATTAAAAGCCTCGAGGGGAGTGCTCCGTCAGATGTGCCTGCATTCCTCCTTCTGCAGCGTACAGCTGAGAAGAAGCAGGGTAGAAGTGGGATTGTTCACGCCTGTTCCTTTAAAAGGCTGCAGCGTGGGAAAAACCATTGGCTGATCATCTCCAGAGTCTGGTGAAGTGCCGCTATGAGCAACATTGGGAAGCAGGCAGGACCAGGGTCCACTGTTCCGACCGAGCTGCCCAAACGAAAGAGGGGACGGCCGAGGAAGCAGCCGCAGGTAAGTGTTCAGCCTCGGCGCTTTGCCTTCTCACCATGTTAAGATTTATAAGAAGGAAGCTGATGACAGTTTTTTAGACACAAAGAAAGTGGTATTATTAGAATGACTAAACTCAAAACAGTTCGGCATGTCCAGAAAGCTCTAATGTTTGGGTTCAAGGGCTCTTTTTTCTACTAGGCAAGACTTTCTACTAGGCAAGAAATTAACCTGTCTACTGTTAAGTGTTGATTGTTCAACCTTCGCTAAACTGGGAAAGGCATTTCTAGCAGCATATCTTACAGCTTCAAACAGGAGCATGATTCATTTCTTCACTATTAGCTGCTAATACTGAGTATGGTTGAGACAGCTGGGGCCACCTTCATAGGTATGTGAAGGGGCACACCTTATGTAGCCAGGGAGGTCTCCTTACCTTGAGAGATTGGCTGAAGATTAGAAAGGGAAGGGCAAAAGGTCTGGACATGTCTCCAACCCCCATTCCTTCTTGAAACCAGGAAATGGACTTTGTGCTGACTGGGGTTGGTGCAAGTTGTAGTTGAAAGCATCTAGAGGGCACCAGGTTGGGGAAGTCTGGGTGGCATCTTCACCTGGCTTGCAGTCAGATTGAAATGCACATAAATGCATCTCAGTTGGCAGGGCAATTGCTTTGTGAGCAAACTTGTACAGTTTAACATATGAATAGCAGCTGTATTGCCACCAACATTTGGTGCTGTTTATCACTGGCCTGAGCAGTCAGAGCAACTCCCAGTCAGGAACTCCAGGTCTGCAAGACCCTGCCAATGCCACCAGCAAGAGTGGGACTATATCCCAGCTCTCTGGTATCCCTGGGTTTCTTCAGACTTACCAGTGCTGGTGCACTTTGAGGAGGGAGGAGACTGTGAGGGTTAACACTGTGAGACAAAATTAGGGATTGACTTCTGAATAATACTGTACTGCCAAAATGACTCTAAACATTTTGATGTGCAACATGGAATGACTCAATTCTAGGTGGAGGGTGACATATGTTTGTTTATCTGCTGACCTGTATGCCCTGGGAAATCTCTTTTCTCACCATACACCTGTTTTTAAAGGGAACTGAAATTTACCTGTGATGCTCAGTAACATTTGCACTGCTCTAGCCCCATATGGGAAAGAAAATGAAGTTGTTCTCACAACATCCTCCTCAGAATTCTCTTTTGCAAATATTGATGTCAAATACTCTCTTGAAGTTTCCTGGTCACTCAAATGTTCTCTCGATATTTGTGAGCTGATACACTGCAGCATTTGGATAGTAGTCTTTGAATATCTGACAGCATTGCTGCAATGCTACACTTAGTATATAGTAGTGGTTTTCATTTTTTTTTTCAGGGAACACTTTCTATACCTGCCAAGGAACTGCTCCATGTTGCAAAGGATTCTGGAGCATGCTCTAGAGTTCATACTCCAAATGGAGCAGAATTCATCTAACTCTCATGCACTGTTAGAACATCCTAGAATATACACCAGGGGTCAGCAACCTAAGGCCCATGGGCCAGAAGCGGCCCGCGGAGGTCGTTTGACCAGCCCATGAGCCACCCCTGAACTGAGCCGCCTGCTCGTGCGCTGCACTAAGCCACCACAGCGTGGTGCAGGGGCTCGCTTCTGGGGCGTCAAAAAAAGGCGTACGTAGATGCCAAAAATCGCAGGCGTGCACGTGATCCGGCCCACGGAGGGATCTCCGCAGGACCAATCCGGCCCAGGCAAGATAAACCTTGCTGACCCCGATATACACAGTGTCCCCCTATTGCTGTAACAGCACAGTAGAATATCAATACAGGGCCGGATTTAGGTTTGATGAGGCCCTAAGCTATGTCCAGCTGTCCTTTGTCAACAACAAATTGTCACTGTTTTTTGTGTTGAATATATGCTATATGGCAATTTATGGACCTAATAAGTATCTAAAGCCATTTGCTGTATGTAGGTTTTATTTTATTTGTTTTTTATCTTATATTTTGGAAATATACATCCAGGTGTTGTTTTTTACTTTAATTGGGGGGGGGGGCAAGAGAGTGGGGCCCTAAGGTATAGCTTGTTTAGCTTATACGTAAATCCGGCACTGGTGATGGGCGAGGTGTTGTTTTTCTCATTGGGAAATCTTTATCTAGAACATTTATACCATGCTTTATATCCATGAAACTTAAGGCAGCATACAGGAGTTTCCCTTGAAATCTCCCATTCAGGCACTAACCAGATCCAAAGATGCTTAGCATCAGTATCATGGCTACATCATTTGCCCTCAGTCCACACCGGCAAATTCTTAATAGGCTTCCAAAGCACCTCACCATTGAAAGAACTTGGCTTGCAAGTCACTGCTTTGGTTGACAGTATTTGATGGTTGGCAAAGAATGAGCCATGTTTTATAGTTGCTGTGCATGTCTCTTTTTATCTCATAGAATTGTATGGATAACATGAAATGGTAATGAATAGCTGACAGTTGGTTGCTTATGAGATTTTGGATTGCCAAAACTGAAACACTCCAGAGTTCTTAATCATTTGGGTTTTGCATGATGAGTTACAAATGTCACATATTCAAAGGCATATGCAAAATATTTTACTTTGAAATATCTTTATTCAAAATTATACATGATTTAAGTGGAACAATTGCCAAATTTCTAATCTTTGTAAATATTTGTTTCACCTTTACTCCATGTTCATTTACTGCTATTCTTTCTCCCTCTCCTTTAATGATGTTTGTACTAGTTTTATTTATCCACTACTTCCTTTTTTAAAAAAAATAATAATGTTAAGGTCTCTCTTCTCATTGGAGGTCATTCATCATTCTCCCACAGAATGAAAACACTTGCATAACTGCATACCTATTTTATTTTATTTTATTTTAGCTTATATGATAAAAATTCTTAACATTTTGTCTTGGATTGGACTTCCGGGGTGGCGCCACCGGCAATGGCGGACTCCCTCTGAACTGGAGGGACTAGCTCCGAGGAAAACGGGTGTTCTCCGCTACGGCGAAGCGGGGACCCTCTCAAAATCACAGGCGGATGAAGCCTGTGACCGTGGGACTCGGCGGGCACCTTTAGTGCCCCCCCAACCCACTAAGGAACCCACTAACGGGCTCCGAAGTGAAGAGGGGGAAGTGGCGCGGTGCTGTGAGTCAATTGCTATTTCCGTGGAGTGAAGCCGCATAGCCGTTGCCGGAGAGCGCTGCCTTTTTCCTGGGATAATTTGGACTCTAAAATAAGCACCCGTGAGTACTTAGACTTTGAACAATTGGATATCAAATAAAGACTTGCGAGTAGGAAGGAACCGGACTTTAAAAATTTACTTGAATTTGGTACGGAACAGGAAGGTCTAAACAGGAAGTCAGCCTTCCGTTCTTTTGTAAACAGAATAAAGCAAAGGCAATTTAAACTAGAGCTCAGAAAATCGTCTTTAAAAGATTGGATTTCACCATTTAAAATTGTGAAACCCCCCTTCGACAGTAGGAGAAGGGGGGGGATCTTTTTGGACTGTTTGAAGTGACTTTAAAGTGAAGTAACTTTCCTCCGTCCTGATCCTGGAGCGGGGTGTCAGGACTGACGTGTGAAGTTCATTGACCAAAGACAAGTGTTTTTGACAGATAGCTAAAAGAAGAGAAACCTAGTGATTCCACTGTTCCCTTTCACATTTTTAAGGAATATATATGGACAAAGTATCTCAAAAAAGGAAACTTTGTTGCAAGAATAAAGAGAAGTCTTCCCCCTAGGGGGAGTCTGTGAAACTGTAACTGTGAAACTGTAACTAACTCCAGGGAACCGACAGCTGTTATAGATTACAACCGTGGGAACAAGTATTTGACCTTGCAGGACAATGTATTCAGAAGCCTTGTTGTGTGCTCTCTATAAAACAAATGCTCTACTGGAACAATTACACGAGAAGGTGAACTGGATGGTGACTTCAACTAGAAATTTTGAACAGGCAGTGGGATACTTTGAACAGACAGTGGGAAAATATGTGGAGCCCACTCAGGATTTAAATCAGGAGTGTGTCTTGACAGAACAGGAGTTTTTGACATTAAATCAGGAGTGTGTTTTGACAGAACAGACCCAACAGGAATATGATTTTTCGGATTTGACAAATGAACTTGGAAAAAGCCAGATCTGGAAAGGAAAAGTTTGGTTTGGTTTGGAAATGGGGGGCTGGATTGACCCCCCTATGTTGGGATGTTTGGACTTTTCAAATATGGCAATGGGCTCCGAGATGTTTGGGACTGTGGGGGCTCTCAATTTTGGAGGGCCCTTGAAACATGTTTTTAAATACTACATGGAATTCAGTGTTGAACATGGAAAAGGGGCTGATCTGTCGAGAAGGGTTAAAAACATTGTCAAGCTGGAGTTACCATGAGCAGGAGACAAGGGAAATTACAGTTACAAATATGAAGAAGAGCCGCGGAAGGGCCATGGAAAAGACTTGAGGGCCTCGGACATAAGGTTGCCAGGTTAATGGGCTAGATTGACGGGAATAAGGACTGACGAAACCCGGAACCAGGAGGAAGGGACACTGCATAAAGACTGGACTTGTTCATACCTCCCCCCCCCCTACTATTAGAACTGTTTTATAAAATTGATGAATGATAGAAAAATGTTGGAATGAAATTACTTGGCTTTAGCAAAGATGCTTAAAGAATTATGAAAGAATATTATGATTATAAGAAGCTGGTAAGGATAAGATTCAAGCTTTAAGTTTTAAGGTTTATTTTATTATAGAAAGATAAGATCAAAATAGTTTAGGGTAATGCAATGATAGAATATTATGAAACATGGAAAGGATTTGCTGGGATAATTAATAACTAGGATACAAAGAAAGGGAGGAGGAGGAGGTGTAAGAAAGAAGGCAATGACAGTTAAGGATCTGAAAATAATGAATTTGTTTTTAAATGTTTTTAAAGGTTTATGATTTTTGTATTTTTCTTTTTTCTGTCATTTTTTTTCTTATTTTGAATTTTTTCTTATATGGTGGGAAGGGGTTTTTTTTTCTTTTTTTCTACTTTGTCAATTATTCTTACTTTTTGTACTTTCTTCTGCTTCTACTTTGTTTGTTTTTCCTTTTTGTAACATTTTGAAAATTTCAATAAATATCTTATATAAAAAAAAACATTTTGTCTTGGATTAAGGCATGGCCCAATTTGAATTCTGACAAATGCAATGCAAGGGCTGCATGCAAGTCATACTTGAGCATAGAAGCCAATTCCTAGGGGCCAATGTCCCTTCAGGGGGCCCAATAAAATATTTGATCAATTGTGTGGGGCAGAGCTTACCTACCCCCCCATATTTTACTCAAGTTGGCACCCTTGTACTTGGGGTAGACCTATTGCAATCAATTAACTCGGCTAACTTAAATGATTTCTACCCTGAGTGTGACTTAGGCTGCAACCATAACCCCACTTAACTGGGGAGTAAGCCCCACTGAAGTCAGTGAGACTTACTGTAGGTTAGGACTGTCCCTCCTTTTGCAGCTACCCATCTAAGAAATTGCAGTGGATATGAGCTGCTCCTTACTGTTTGTCCTGATAAAGAGCTTGTTGCTCAAAAGCACCTGGGTTAATAAAATTCCTGTTCGATTTCTGGTTGCTTTTGTTTTGTGCTGGTGCTGCTGCCCTTTTAATGTGTGTGAAATACACGATCTTTGCTCTGTACTGTACAAGTAAATGCCCCTTCCCTATCCAAACAGGAGCCTGTTGGGCCATTGCCACCAAAGAAACCTCGTGGAAGGCCAAAAGGAAGCAAAAAGCTGAGTGCTGGGAGTGGACAGATGGTAAGAACCAGTGACAGAAAGAGCTTTCATGCTGATTGGCACTCAACCCATATCCCCCGAGAAGGAGAGAAGGAAAGTGTCCATCCTTATTATTATTATTTTCAAAATTTTATTGACATTATTAGCACCTCATTATTAGCTGGGCATTGCATCATACCATATAAAAAGCTGATAAGCAATAAATTGTAAGAAAAGGAAATAGTAATACACCAATATAAATCAAGAAATCGATACTTCCCAAGCGGACGTGGATGGCGAATATCAAGCATAAGAAATAAAATCCCACCAGATGGCATAGAAATGTTCTGGATCCTCCAACCTCCTGGAAACTCACAATTTGTGTGTGATTTCCCCCTTCAGATAGCCAAATTCTATAGGTTCTTATACCACACAGCCAAATGCAGATTTTTCAAGGTTTTCCGTTGCTAAGCTATTGAAATTCCAGCTGCAGCTAACATCCAAGTCAGAAGCTCTTTTGAGCAACAAGCTCTCATGTTGTCCATCTACATATTCAATAATAACAGTTACTAGGAAGCCTGAACAGGTGATTTAATTATTTTAGTTATTTCTTGGTATGCTTGGGACCAGAATAATGAAACCCAAGGGCATTCCTGCCAAAGATTGAAGAATAACCTCACCAGCAATGCTGCATTAATTGTGATGTAATATGTGCCCATCTTTAAGCATTTGGCATCCTCTCGTTCCTATAGCTTTAGAAATGATTAAATTCACATGCAAATTCCATGCAACCTAGAAGCCTCCTTTAATTATCTACCACCTCTGCATAAATATATTTCACCAGCTCCAAACTCACCATCGTCTCCCTTGGGCAGCTGCTGTTGTCCAGTTGTTTTTCATAATTCTCCACTACTGTAATATAAATCACTGCCAGGTTCTTATGAGCTGCCCCCTAGTGGATTAAATTGCATTAAAGAGCTCAGTTGCCATTGTGTAGCAAATCCACTTTTTAAAAGAGGTGGTGGGTTTGCAGTTAGAAAAGTGACAGGGAAATGCACAGAAAAGTGTGGGATAGATGAATGATGAAGGGGAAGCCACATAATCACTGTGCAAGCAAACCAAGATGAATTCAGAATGAATGCTCAGCAAAGACCCGACATAGGCTAGCCTCTGCTAGGGGAGACATGTCTCATTTTGGTGCTTGAGGCAAAATGCACTGCACCACCTGCATCGACCTAAGCATCTTCAGCATCTTCCTCTCTGTTGCCAATAGCTTCCTTAGAGAAGGACCCATAGCTCGTGGGCAGAGCATCTGCTTAGAGGGTTATAGATTCAATTTCCAGGGAAGGCTGAAACAGGTGTGTACCTAGGAGCTAACCAGGTTGGCCCCACCAAGGGCGCAAGCACAGAGGAACACAAAAACCATACCTCTCCACTCTGGCTTGGAGTGACTAGGAGCTGGAATGCCTGCCTGTGCGCTCCCTGAGCTGCTCCTCTGCTGCTTCGGGCAGTCAACATTGCTTGCCAAGGCCACAAAGGGCAGCGGGCGGTGATACAGCTCCTTGCCAAGGATGTAAGGGAGCCTAGGGAGCCTCTGATTGGAAAATCTTGAGAGCTGTTGCCAGTCAGCGTAGACAATAATACTGAACTAGATAGACCATTGGCCTGACACTATATATGGCAGCTTCCTCAATTTGTTTGTTCTGTCAGTGGTTTCCCAGTCATCTTCTTAATGCTCATGCTGTCACGTATCACTGTTTATCTTTCACTGTGGCCTCTTTCCAAAGAAATTTCTCTCTCACACACACACAGAGAGAGAGAGGGGGAGGGAGGGAGAGAGGGAGTCGTTTAGGCACTGCACTTTGAGGGGAAAATGTAGAGTTTCTCATTCCTTTGTTTCAGTGACCACCTGTTGACTAAACAGAAGGTTCTTTTTGTTTCTCCATTATTGCAGGTACACACCTCAGTTGAAAAAAGGCCCAGGGGTCGACCACGCAAATGGGTAAGTTAAATGGAATCAAAAATGCCTTTTTTAAAAAAAAAAAGTTCCTAAAGACTGATCACATAAGCCTGGGATCCAGTTACGGTACATCTGGGGAGTGACCAAACTCTGGGGAGAGGACGAACTTGCACATCCATTCACACAGCATATTTGGGACATTTGAAATTGCTCCTCATCAATAATGCCATGAAATGTGCAAGATCAGCTTGCATGCAAGAGATTGAGAACAAACTTTAGTATCAACCAGCGAAAAGAATGAGCCTGAAATCTTGAGGCAAGCCACTGTGCTACTGATGGATGGACCAGCAGCCAGTCTATTCCAATAGCCTAATGGAAAATGTTGTCCTCCAGATGTTCATAGAATCATAGAATTGTAGAGTTGGAAGGGACCCCAGGGGTCATCTAGTCCAATCCCCTGCAAGGCAAGAATCTCAACTAAAGCATCCATGACAGATGGCCATCCAACCTCTGCTTAAAAACCTCCAAGGAAGGAGAGTCCAGTATATCTGGAAAGGCACAGGTTCTCCAGTGTTGATCTACATGTGGTTTAAATTCCATTTTTTACCATCACCCCTTAGCAACCAAGAGGACAGCTGCAGTCCGAAACACACTTATTTGGGAGTAGGCTCCACTGAACATAGTAGGACTTGCTTCCAAGTAAATATGAACAGGCTTGCCCTAAGATTCTTCATCAGTTAGTGCCCTAATTGCGTTAGTCCTTTTACTTCAGGCTTTGTGACAATTGATCTATGGAGATAGAAGATGTTTCTCAACAACAGAATCTAATAATCTGTTTTAAATTGTATCACCTCCCCCCCCCCCCACATTTCTAGTATTTCAGTAAATTGGTTAGCTCCTATCACCTGTGCATAGAGATCTCTTATTCCGGGATGGTCAAGGCAACTTGCAGTTTTAAAAATCGTAAACAATACCCCATACTAAAAATACAAACAGGAGGAGGCTGTACGCTAAGTATTCAGAACCGTCACAGTGACTAGCAGTAAGACACCTGCTGACATAGGCTGGCCTGTGGTTAAACTGCCAGCAACACAGAGAGGGGGAAAGGCTCCGTCATGACTCACACAACATAGCTTTGCAACTGTATATCTGATACACTGCTGGAGACAATGTGGAATCTAAAGCAGAAGGAGAGGTTTGTTACCGTAATACCTAAGCCTAGGTCATGTCCACACTGTGCATTTAAAGCACAGCATAGGAGGGGTTGGCAGGACAGGTAAGCAAAGGGGTGCACAACAGGAGTGCCAACCTGACCCCGTAACTGTGGGTGCCCAGGGCCATGGGTGCCATGCAGCATGCATGACCCTGGCACCAAAATTTGTGGGTGCCCAGCCCATTCATGGGGAATTTTGTGGGTGCTCAGGGCCTCAGTGGTGCTGTGGGTTAAACCACAGAGCCTAGGACTTGCCAATCAGAAGGTCGGCGGTTCGAATCCCCACGATGGGGTGAGCTCCCGTTGCTCGGTCCCTGCTCCTGCCAACCTAGCAGTTTGAAAGCAGGTCAAAGTGCAAGTAGATAAATAGGTACAGCTCTGGTGGGAAGGTAAACGGCATTTCCGTGCGCTGCTCTGGTTCACCAGAAGCAGCTTAGTCATGCTGGCCACATGACCCGGAAGCTGTACGCCGGCTCCCTCGGTCAATAAAGCGAGATTAGTGCCGCAACCCCAGAGTCGGCCATGACTGGACCGAATGGTCAGGAGTCCCTTTACCCTTTACCTAGGGCCTCAGGGAGTTGGCACCTATGGTGTGGAAAGTGGTGTTTTGGCGAAGGGGGTAGGTGGGTTTGGTGAGCAAAGAGCTTAGTGGGGAGGAATGAGGGTTTGGCAATGTGTAGAGATGGTTGGCAAGCAAAGCAAGCAGGGTCACAGCCCCTATCAGTGTCACAGGGCCATCAGAGAGCCCCTAGTGGATCAGACCAAAGGCCCACCTTGTCCAGCCTCTTGGGGCTGCTATGGGAAGCCAGAAGCAGAACCTGGGTGCAACAGCCCTCTCTCCGTGTGTCATTCTCAGCAACTGTTACTAAGCGGCATAATGGGGGCAGAAAGAGCCATCATGGCTAATAACTGTCAATAGCCTTATCATTCATGTCGGACGCTTACATTTCTCTTGCAGCTTGTTGTCCAGGAGGAAGAATTTCAGAAAGCTACCATTCAAGGGAGGAGCAACCCAAGTTCTAATACATCGTGCCCTGCCGCAGAAGGTTTGTGGCATTCAAGTGGGGCTTCTGCAGATAACATGAGAATCAGCCCTCGCATAAACGGGGGTGGAGGCACCATAGTGCATTGCAGGAAGCCGCTCATCAATTTTTGTTGTTGTTGTTAAGGCTTGAAGTTAAAAGGGAGAGACAGAAGAGGTGTCACCCTGCTGCCTGTTAGGTTTGTTTAATCATGTGGCGTATGAAATAAGCTGGTGACTGACAAGCACTGCCTTGATTTCTAAGAAAGTTGATGTAGATGCCACCTGATAAATGCCAGGGTGTTTAACCTCACTTGTTTGAGTCCATTTCCTCTCCGACTTCTGCTGTCGTATCATTTCCCGCCTCTAAGGCGCACGGTGATGTCAGCTACAGCCACAGACTCCTTTGTGATGGCCTCACTTCCTGCCCAGTTCTGCATCAGGTTTGCATGGTAGGCAGCTCCTTCGTGCCACTTCAAACCACGGCTGCAGCGGGTTGCGCTTTCCTCTTCTGCTTAGGATAGCCGCATTCTTGTGGCACCTCCTGTCCTGTGCCATTTGATAAAGCATAGATGCAAAAGGGTGAAGCAACAGAGTGAGTATTGGGAAAAGATGACCCGTGCCAGACAGGCCCATTTACTGAGCATTTGCCCTGATGGTTTTGCACAGGGTTTATACAGTGTCACCATCAAGTGGCAGCTGCCAGTGCTTTTCCTATTAGTACTTTTCTTACCACAGACCAATACTGTGGGCGGGATGGGGATAGAAGGTTGAAAACAGGTTTATTGTGCAAGAGCACCTCAGTGCTGTTGCTTGCTCGCAATGCACCTGCTTTCTTGGGGGGTTAGAATCATAGAATCATAGAGTTGGAAGAGACCACAAGGGCCATCGAGTCCAACCCCCTGCCAAGCAGGAAACACCATCAGAGCACTCCTGACATATGGTTGTCAAGCCTCTGCTTAAAGACCTCCAAAGAAGGAGACTCCACCACACTCCTTGGCAGCAAATTCCACTGTCAAACAGCTCTTACTGTCAGGAAGTTCTTCCTAATGTTTAGGTGGAATCTTCTTTCTTGTAGTTTGGATCCATTGCTCCGTGTCCGCTTCTCTGGAGCAGCAGAAAACAACCTTTCTCCCTCCTCTATGTGACATCCTTTTATATATTTGAACATGGCTATCATATCACCCCTTAACCTCCTCTTCTCCAGGCTAAACATGCCCAGCTCCCTTAGCCATTCCTCATAAGGCATCGTTTCCAGGCCTTTGACCATTTTGGTTGCCCTCCTCTGGACACGTTCCAGTTTGTCAGTGTCCTTCTTGAATTGTGGTGCCCAGAACTGGACACAGTACTCCAGGTGAGGTCTGACCAGAGCAGAATACAGTGGCACTATTACTTCCCTTGATCTAGATGCTATACTCCTATTGATGCAGCCCAGAATTGCATTGGCTTTTTTAGCTGCCGCGTCACACTGTTGGCTCATGTGAAGTTTGTGGTCAACCAAGACTCCTAGATCCTTTTCACATGTACTGCTCTCTTTTTTCTTTTCTTTTTTTTTAATAATTTTTTATTAAGGTTTTAAACAAAGAAAAAAGAAAAACAACACACACAAAAAACAATACAAAACTTAACAATAAAAACGAAACATAACAATTAAAAACAAACTCTCTTTTCCATTTCCAATTTTAGATTACTTATTTTCTGGACTTCCTCATACCTCCTTTTTTTGTATTCCAATCCACATTATTTGTCCAGCAGTTTCTTTTCCTCTTTTTAATCCCAATCTTTAATTTAATAAAATGTTAAAATATATAACTTCAACTTTTTAAACCTAATCCTTGCTCTTAATGTCATATAGCTTTAAATTTTTCCCTTTTATTATCAAATTTCCATTTCTTTAAACATCTTTAATCTTAATCTTTAATCTTAATCTATCCTTAACTTTAACCTGTACAGCTGGAAAACTTATTTTCAATCCAACATCACTCTAACATTCCTTGATTTTGCAGTGTTTCTGAAGATAGTCTTTGAATTTCTTCCAATCTTCCTCCATCGACTCTTCTCCCTGGTCACGGATTCTGCCAGTCATTTCCGCCAATTCCATATAGTCCATAAGTTTCATCTGCCATTCCTCCAGCGTGGGAAGTTCTTGTGTCTTCCAATACTTTGCGATGAGTATTCTTGCTGCTGTTGTTGCATACATAAAGAAAGTTCTATCCTTTTTAACACCATTTGGCCCACTATGCCCAGGAGAAAGGCCTCTGGTTTCTTGGGGAAGGTATACTTAAATACCTTTTTAATTCATTATATATCATTTCCCAGAAAGCCTTAATCTTTGGGCACGTCCACCAAAGGTGAAAAAATGTACCTTCAGTTTCTTTACATTTCCAACATTTGTTATCGGGCAAGTGATAGATTTTCGCAAGCTTGACTGGGGTTATGTACCACCTGTATATCATTTTCATAATATTCTCTCTTAAGGCATTACATGCCGTAAATTTCATACCTGTGGTCCATAACTGTTCCCAGTCAGCAAACATAATGTTATGTCCAACGTCCTGTGCCCATTTAATCATAGCCGATTTTACCGTTTCATCCTGAGTATTCCATTTCAGCAGCAAGTTATACATTCTTGACAAATTCTTAGTTTTGGGTTCTAACAATTCTGTTTCTAATTTGGATCTTTCCACCTGGAAGCCAATTTTCCTGTCCAATTTAAATGCCTCCATTATCTGATAATAATGAAGCCAGTCTCGCACTTTGTTTATAGTTTTTCAAAACTCTGCAATTTCAGTCTATCTCCGTCTTGTTCCAAAATTTCCCAATATTTCGGCCATTTGACCTCCATATTGACCTTTTTCAAGGCTTTCGCTTCCATTGGTGACAGCCACCTTGGGGTTTTATTTTCTAACAAATCCTTATATCTTAACCAAACATTAAATAGCGCTTTCCTGACAATGTGGTTTTTAAATGCTTTATGTGCTTTGACCTTATCATACCATAAATATGCATGCCATCCAAATACATTATTGAAACCTTCCAAGTCCAAAATGTCAGTGTTTTCAAGAAGTAGCCATTCTTTCAACCAGCAAAAGGCTGCTGATTCATAGTAAAGTTTGAGGTCTGGCAGGGCAAATCCACCTCTTTCCTTTGCATCTGTTAGTATTTTAAATTTTATTCTAGGCTTCTTGCCCTGCCAGACAAATTTAGAGATATCTTTCTGCCACCTCTTGAAACAATCCATTTTGTCCACGATCTGCAAAGTTTGAAACAAGAACAACATTCTAGGCAATACATTCATTTTTATCGCAGCAATACGGCCTAGCAGTGAAAGCTTCAAATTTGACCAAATTTCTAAATCTTTTTCACTTCTGACCAACATTTTTCATAATTATCTTTAAATAAATTCCCATTTTTGCTGTCATGTTAATCCCCAGGTATTTAACTTTCTTAACCACTGTTAAACCTGTCTCATTCTGAAACCTCTCTTTTTCAAACGGTGTTAAATTTTTCTCTAGAACCTTGGTTTTTGACTTGTTCAATTTAAATCCTGCCACTTGACCAAATTCTTGAATCAGTTCTAAACCCTTTTTGTACTAGATTCTGGCTCCTGTAACGTCAATACTAAGTCATCTGCAAATGCTCTCAATTTATAATGTTTAATTCCGACCTGTATACCCTTAACCATCTGGTCCCTTCTAATCATATTCAGCAGAACCTCCAGGACCGAAATAAAAAGAAGTGGGGAAATTGGGCAACCTTGTCGTGTCCCTTTTTCAATTTTAAGTTCTTCCGTCACAACATTATTTACAATTAGTTTAGCCTTTTGTTCTGAATAAATTGCACTTACACCATTCTCAAAACCTTGGCCTACCCCCATACCCTGAAGATTCTTCTTCATGAAATTCCAAGAAATATTGTCAAAGGCTTTCTCCGCATCTACAAATATCAACACTGCTTTAGTGTTTATATTCACTTCTAATTTTTCCAAAATATCAATTATATTCCTCAAATTATCAGACAAATGTCTTCCTGGGAGAAAGCCCGCTTGGTCTTTATGAATCTCTTCCAACAGCACTTTTTTAAATCTCTTTGCCAAAATATCTGCAAAAATTTTGTAATCCACATTAAGTAATGATATAGGGCAGTAGTTCTTAAGTTGTGTCTTTTCAGTCTCTGTTTTTGGTACAAGTGTAATATATACTTCTTTCCACGACTCTGGTGCCCTCTTCCCCTCCATAATTTCATTACAGACCTCTTTCAATGGTTGAATTAACCATTCTTTTAAAGATCTGTAGTATCTAGAGGTCAAGCCGTCTGGTCCTGGAGATTTACCCAGTTGCATATTTTGAATGGCACCTTCTATTTCCTGTTCAGTTATTCTGTCATTCAAAATTAGTCTCTTTTCTTGAGATATTTTTGTAGTCCATTTGTTTTCAAAAATTGGTCTAAATCTGTTTCTTTCACTGGCCCTTGAGTATATAGTCTTTTAAAATACTTCTGGAAACAACTTCTAATCTCTGCAGGGTTCTGTATATTCCTTCCTTCCACTTCTAAATTCGTAATCGTATTTAATTTTTGTCTCTTTTTCATTTGCCATGCCAACAATTTACCACATTTATTAGCCGATTCAAAAGTCTTTTGTCTCATTTGTTTAATCTTCCATTCTATTTCCTGATTCATTATTTTCATATATTGTACTTGATATAACTTTAACTCTCTCAGAATCTCTTGAGATTTGGGATTTACTCGCAGTCTTTTTTCACATTCATTCATTTTGTTCATAATTTTATCCTTCTTTTCATTTTGAGTTTTTTTCTTTATCGCATTCTGTTGTATTAAGAACCCTCTCATAACAGCTTTACTTGCGTCCCAGATTACTCTTTTCTCCACGTTGGAACTAAGATTTATCTCGAAGTAATCTCTTAGAGTTTTTTGGGCCTTCTTAAGAAATTCTTCATCTCTAAATAAGGTGTCATTCATCTTCCATCTGAAGGAGCCAGTTGGTGTTAGTCTCATTTCCATCTTAACTGCATTATGGTCGGAGCAAATTTTCAGGCAGATTTCCACCTTTCTTGTCTTTGGTGCCATTCCTCTAGTTATCCAAATTTGGTCAATTCTTGTCCAAGTCATTTTGGCTTCAGAAAAGAAAGTTCCCTCTTTTGCCAAGGGGTTTCTAATTCTCCAAATATCCACTAAGTCCAAGTTGTCTGTCATGTCAAAAGGTTTTCGGTAGTCTACCATCTTTGGTGACTACCTGTCTTTGTGCCTTGTCCATATAAGTAGATACCACTCCATTCATATCTCCCATCAAAATCATGTTATAATCCATATGGTCCATCAAGGTCTCATGCAACTTCTTAAAAAAATCAGATTTCCCATCATTTGGTGCGTAAACTCCTACAATCAAAAATTTTTCTCCTTGTGTTTGAATTTCAATTGCCACAAATCTTCCTTGGTCATCCTTAAAAACAAATTTTGGTGATAAATTGTCTTTTGCGTAAATCACAACCCCTCTCTTTTTAACTTTATCTGACGAAATAAATTCCTGACCAAGTCTTTTATTTATCAACAATTTCCTGTGTAATCTTGTTATGTGTGTTTCTTGTAAACAAATTAGGTCCAATTGTTCCTTTTTAATATATGAAATACTGACTTCCTCTTCTGAGGGAATTCAAACCCCGACAGTTCCATGTTAAAAGTTGCAGGGCCATGATGTTATTGTTTTAGTTCTCCTCCTACTGCACCTAGTGCCTGTTCCTCATCCGTCGGTGGTATCCCTTCTTTCGAAAGGTCTTTTGGTTCCGGAGATAGTTCTTTTTGTAGGTCTTCTCCGTGGTCTCTACAAAATTTGTCTTTGCACATGTACTGCTCTCAAGCCAGGTGTCACCCATCTTGTATTTGTGCCTCTCATTTTTTTTGCCCAAGTGCAATACTTTACATTTCTCCCTGTTAAAATTCATCTTGTTTGTTTTGGCCCAGTTCTCTAATCTGTCAAGGTCATTTTGAAGTGTGATCCTGTCCTCTGGGGTGTTAGCCACCCCTCCCAGTTTGGTGTCATCTGCAAATTTGATCAGGATGCCCTTGAGTCCATCATCCAAGTCGTTGATAAAGATGTTGAATAAGACCGGGCCCAAGACAGAACCCTGTGGCACCCCACTAGTCACTCTTCTCCAGGATGAAGAGGAACCATTGATGAGACCCTTTGGGTTCGGTCAGTCAGCCAGTTACAAATCCACTGAGTGGTAGCATAGTCAAGACCGCATTTTACCAGCTTCTTTACAAGAATATCATGGGGCACCTTGTCAAATGCCTTGCTGAAATCAAGGTAGGCTACATCCACTGCATTCCCTTCATCTACCAGGCTTGTAATTCTGTCAAAAAATTACAAGTTAGGAAGGGTTAGGGTTAGGAAGCTGCACTTTATAATGGACGTATCACCAGCATCTACCCAGATGGGTGAGAGATGTATGCCAAAAGGCTGATAGTCTGTAAGTGAGATATATAACCCAACCGATCCAGCACAGATCTGTTTTTAACCAGGTGGTCAAGGCCAACTCAAGGGGTACCACCCGTTGAGGCCCTTCCAACACTCACATCCCCCCGCCCCATTGAAGGCACTGCAGCTTCATGGCTGGCAACCAACACCTTCCTGTCATTGAACATGGATGGGTCAGAGGGCCAAGGACCAGCCAAGTAGCTTCAGGGCATTTGGACCAAAGCAGTTGCCTGACAATGCTCTGAGTGTTGCCTTGGGCTGTAGCTGTAATCCTGTGCTCACTTCCCCACTGAAATAAATGGAGCTTAGCCAGCCAAACTGTGCAGGTGTTGCAGCCAATGCAGTGAGGTCAGAAAGAGTGGAAAAGTTTCCCTGGAAGGTGACCTTTCGTCCCTTTGCCGATTTCCCCCTACTACATTGTGCTGGGGTACACATTTGGTTCAAGTGTGGCAATGCCCCACAGCCCTATTGGCAATATTCCATCAGAACTGGCTGTGCTCCCAATAACATGCACCGCTGCTCCAGAATCTTCTGTCATTCACAGGAGTTCCTCCTTAGCAGACATTTCAATGTTGAAAGGGTTGCCTGAAGGAGGAAAGCTATTGTTTTAATGTACTCTTTGTCTCATGCTTTCTTTAGGCACATCTGGAAAAGGATGTCACAGGATCAACAGAAATACAGAACCCAGTAGATCGTTGGACACGTCTCCAGCTGTGGTTCAGCAGCAGACGGCTTGCTGATGTGTCTCTAAAGTAAAATATATTACCATCATAGAGTTGGAAGGGGACTCATTGTTTGATGCGGGAAATCCAGAGCTAGACCATCCCCAACAGATGGCCTCTGTTTGAAGACCTCCAGTGATGGAGAGCCCATCACCCCTCCAGGGAATTGGTTTATATTGCCAAACTGCTCTTGCCATCAAGAAGTGTCCCCTGGTTGGCCACCATGGGACCTCCCAACTCTTTGTTCTAATATATTAAATTCCTTCTCTGCCCCAACTGTGTCAAGCAAATCCCAATGCTTGTTCTTCCCCCATGTTGTTGATATCAATTTTTGCCCAGTCCAATGGCCATCTCTCACAAGATTCAGACATTCACTTTTAAAATGGTACATTTGGGCTGAAGGAGGTTGATTAGAGCTCATCAGGGTTTGCCTGGAATGAAAATAATGTTGTGCTCTTTAAAAATCTTTTTGTGCTGTGTCAGGATGAATGCTCACACTCCCAAAGTGTTTAATAAATTTAATAAGTTTAATAAGTTTAATAAATGAGAAAAAATTGAATGGCAAATAACAGCAGGTTCTTATGTACAGTCACTCAAAAGTCCATTGGGGTTTGTGTCCTAGGAACATAAACTTAAATCTGTAGGCCTGAGTTGAGCAGAGAATCACTTCTTAGAGGCTTCATGCTTTATTATAGAATTTTGGGTTTTGCCCATGGGAAATGCTGACTCGCCACCTTTCCCCATCTACTAAACACCTGCTCCATCAGCCTCAGCTTTCCTCTTCTTGCCTAGCTAATAGAGATGTTCAGAGAAAGAAGAAGAGGGAGGCCACCTGCCGCCACCTGGAAGTAGCCTTGGGAAAACTACAAATCCCAAGGACCACCACAGCTTTCCTACTGGTACTCAACATAGTAATACAGCAAGGGGCAGTGGAGACAGGCCTCTGTCCTTCTTAGATACCACCATTGCTCCTCCCACCACTTGCACTGGCCAGCTACCGTAAATAAAGGAGGAGGTAAGTGTTATGGAGAACTGGTGAGTGATGGGAAGGATGATTTGGAGGCTGGGATGATTGGCAGGGGAGTGGGAGGGAAGCCAGGATTTTAATCCAATCTTCTCTGAGTCTAGTTCAGACAGATTTCACCCATCTCCATTTACTTCCAAGCTACCGGTGTTGGAGCAAGGTTAATATCACAGCAGCCACAAGGAAAAAGTTGTTTCTGTTATTCCAGAGAAATGATTGTCAATGCACAGCCTTACATAGTTTATGGCTGCATGTGGAGGGAAGCAAGAGGTAAACATGCCCTTTTTCAAAGAAGATCTGGAAAAAAGTAACCCAGAAGTTGCCCTTGGGTTTGGGTTCTTCTCATCTCTTTGGTCCAATAAAGGGCTGTTGTTCACCTTTTCAGCATAAATGGCTTGGACTGCAAAGATTGCCATGCAAGTCTAGTGTACCTGCTGCTTCTCAAGGAAATCTTTGTTTACTGGAAACAGTTGCAACCTTTCTGTGAGCAAATGTAGCTTTGGGATAGTGCATCATGCTGTAAGAAGACTCTTCCTCAAGAAATGGATTAGTCCTTGATCTGTAAGAACAGGTCCTTTTTACATATTCATCACACTGTAAGGGGTTTCGAAAAAGTGACTTGGGTTGCCTAGGTCCTACAGCACCAGCGCAGCTCTCAGGAGAGAGCTAATGTGTTGTTTTCTGTGCTGCAGCGCCATCTAGAGAGGGGCACTGCAATTCTTCAGCCCAACTGAACCAGCTAGGTGATCTGGGTCACTAACTTATAGCCCTCCAGATGTTGGACTTCAACTCCCATCAGCCCCAGTCAGCAAGGGCAATTATCAGGCGTGGTGGAAATGTAGTCCAGCAATATGCAGAGGGCAACAGATTTCCCCACCCTTTGCTTAAAGAAACAGAAATTCAAATACATAGGTTTTTGTTTATTGTACAGTTTTATAGCAGGGTTGGGGAAGCTGTTGCTCTTCAGATGTTGTGGACTCACATCATCCCCAGCCATCATGGCCCTAACACACTGCTGTTTGTAAAATCCTGAATGCCTTATCCTCATTTATGTGCCGCATTTTCAGATGGGCATAGACCTCAAAGATTCCTGGACTTTCTTATGAAGATAAGGTCTTTGAAATGCAGCAGGCCAGAAACAGCTGAGAAAATTGGGTTTATGTTTATTCAGAAGATCACGGCTTGAGATGATGCAGAAGAAAAGCTAGGATCTGTTTCATCTGAGGTCTAAAAATTTTGGGGGAGCTTTTGACAGCTGATACTGATCTACTGATAGAGCAAAAAAGAGGGGGAGGATTATGCCTTTAGAGGTGGGAAGTGGGGCGGGGGTCTTTGATTTCTCCGTTAATAAGCCTGTATCTCCAACACCACCTTTTGGTTCCTAATTCTCTTGGACTTTGTGCTTTCGTACAAGATGTGATAAGCACAGTGGGAGTGTGGGACATTTGCACATCATAAAGTAGCTGAGCTTTGACTATTTGAATTGGCAGCATATGATGAAGATGGGATGCAAAAGACAGGAATGACTATGGCAGCACAGAGTCAATGGTTCCTGTGAAACATGTAGAGGTGACTTGCAGCCTTACAATTTTAGATGTACACCTTAAAATGTAAAAACATGACTGTAGCAAACAATATCAAAGAGGGACACATGGCAGGGATCTGAGATTGGCTGAGGCTTCCCATTGAGTGTTATTTGTTTGTTTTAAATTATGTATATAGACTGCTTTTTCTTCAAGCTTGCATTCTTAAGAACTCAGAATAAACATTTCTACAGACACTCTCCCAAAGCAATAAAAGAACACTCAGGCCAAAATAAAAGCATATTTTCTGTAAGTCTGGGAATTCAAATAAAAAATACCAGCCCCCAAAATGCATTGATTATGAATAGGCCATATAAAACAGGCAGGACTCCAAGGCCTTCCAAAATGTCTGAAGTAAGGTAGCCTTCTGGAGAGCAGCTGGTCAGGCGTTCCAGAGCCATGGAGCCACCACAGAAAAGACTTTCTTTCTTGTGTTTCCCCAAACCTTGCTGATCTAAGTAGTGGGGCAGGTTAGGAGATCTGCTGTTGTAGACCTTATAGCCAGCACTTTGAATTTGACTAAAAACATGCTTGCAACTAGTGCACCTCAAAATTTCCTCCAGATGGTTGGGGGGCCACCTTCCACCCCATCCTGGTGGGTCCCAAATAGAGCAAGAATTATCTTCCCTCCTAATAGCATACGTCTCTGCTGAATCAAAAGTCCTCCCATAAGCGCAAGGACACCAACTGTTTTTCACCCTATGAGTTTACTACTGAAAGCTGTCACATACCAGACAAAACATTGACAGCCATTTACCAAGTAATACTCTTCAGGATCAGCAAGCAGAGCAAGTAAAACACACGCTTGATTTCACATAAATATTTTAATAACGTCTCAAATACAGGAACATATTGCAATGGTTATCCTACATTACGCAGAGACTTCCAAGTACCATGTAAGAAAGGGCTATTGCATTCGAAGAATACGATGGTACACAAGCCTAACAAAGACCTGCGCTGCCCTTTCAGTGAAGCCATCAGCACTACATTACTGAAAGCCTTCCAGATGCAGGGCAGAAAGGAACTGGTAATAATATCCCATTTCCTTTCCAGAACCATTCATACTATATATAGCATGCCCTTCAGAAACAGCCTATGATCAAAGTGCATGTTTCTACCAAATATGCAGTAAGTTAATCACTCAGCCTCTATGTTTTCAAGTGCCTGAGAATTGCAAGGATTTCAGTTAATGGCACTTCATGGAGCATATTGTTGCCTTTGGAAACAAATTTCATTTTCCAGTCATTTTTTATTTTATTTTTTTGCTTCAGTGATGAGAATGCTAAAGAGCCAATGCTGTCAGTGAGAAAAAGAAACCCAGCACTGCAAAGAATAGAGCAGCCTTTGCCAACCAGGTGCCCTCCAAATGTTTTGGGGATATACTGTCATGGGTAGGTGAGCATTGTAGTCCAAAACTTATGGTTGGCAAAGGGTGGTGCACAACTTCTGAGTAGCAGCTGCTGCCTGCTAACAAACCACCTGATAATTCAGTGTTGGAGGCCTTACTGCCAACCTCCAATGCCTCAATATACTTCACTTTATAAGCTACAGCCTTATTGAATGCCATCAATGCCAGCCAGGGTTGCTGTCTTATAGATCTGGGTTGCAATGGAAATTGAAGTCACAGTGAAAGCTATCTGTGAACTGTAGATTCAGCTGAGCCCTTGGAATCTTTTGAGAGTCTTTCTTTCTTTCTTTCTTTCTTTCTTTCTTTCTTTCTTTCTTTCTTTCAAAAGGAGTTCCCAAGTAGGACTGGCAGAGGGAATTGTGTTACTGGTGTTTGTGTGAATGCCCTCAGGAAATGATCATTGAATGAGAAAGTTTTCATGATCCGATGCGATTATACACCCCAAAAGTGAAGAAGATACATAGGGAGTAGGGAGACTTAACACTGATTGCAAAGTTCTAATTCATGGAGTTTGACACTATATACTCACGTCGCCAGTCATATGCATTATACACCTCTACACACACGTTTTACAGGTCTAGAAAAGACCTGAGTGGCAAACTTGCATGCACAGGCCAGGGGTGGGGGGCACATTCAGTGACAACACATCAACAGTACCGCTCTGCATATGTCAGGCCACTTACTCATCTGCATGACAGCAGAGCATCTCAAATCTATCATATGGATCCAGCTTTACATGATCACAACCTGCCTCTTGCATGAAACAAGTGTGCCAAGCAAAAAAATTATATCAAGGGAGAAAAGAGAAACTGGGGTTAGAAGGTTAAAGGATTGGAATGAGGTTTCTCTGACGTTTTCCCCCCAGCTTCCCATTTTGTTCCCAATGGAAACCGAAGAAGGTGACAGAAGTGCGTTTCGGATGCTGTAGCTCCCTTGGGAGCACAGAAGAGAACAGCCAGGATACTCTCATCCCCCACAAACACTTCAATATGAAATCCTACTTATACTGCGCCACACTTTCCTTTGCCCTGATAAGCAGCACACACATAAATAAGTAGTTTGTGGTTAGCTTCGGAACCTGCGCTAAAGTGCACAGATGCCCACAAATGTCAATACTTGCACAGTGGCCCTTCTATGCTTCACTCCATCTCCCATCCTCTCTGACCATTAGTCATCCTGGTTGGGGCTGATGGAGTTGTGGTCAAAAACAACTGGAGGAGTACAAGGAGCTATGATCCTGAACTGCACAGTGATTGTGGAGAGCAGAAGGGCTTTTTACCTGCCCACACTTCGGCTTTTCTCTTTGTACACTAATGACATTGTAGGGCACAACCGGCTGCCAGCAGCAGGAGGGTCCGAACCAGGCTCTCCCATTTTCCATCAAGAAACACTGTCCCTTTGATTGTACTTTACTTCGATGCTTCTTGACTGATTTGCTACAGCAGTTTCGTGTAATGGCTATTTGGTTTGTCTCCTCGAACGTGGAGATGGAAAGACAGGATAGGAATCTAATAAATACGTAAATATCAAGAGGGTTTCGGAAACAGGCATAGACATCATCAGACCACAAAGACTGACCTAACGCAGCACCTGGCTGCTACTGCAAATTCCTGAGTATGTAAGCCACCACTGGGGAGGAGAACAAAACTATCATATTCACAATTCTAAAAGAAAATTTCAGTGTCCCAAAATATCCCTGTTAACTCATAAGGAACCTGAGCTCCCAGCAGAGACAGTGTGGGGCTTCTTTGCTCGACCCTTTACATCAGCATCACTATTGTTCCCTTGTGTTCTACATCAGCATTTGCCAGCCTGGTGCTTTGCAGATGTTTCACATTACAACTCCCATCAGCCCTCAGGCTGGCTGGGGCTGATGGGAGGTGTAGCCCAAGACATATGGAGGGCATCTGATTGGAAAAGGCTGTTCCAGAGGAATGGTAATCCTCTCTCTTCCTTGGTACTATGCTGAAAATAAGGGGGGGGGGGCAAAACAAAATCTGCATTCTACACCCCGAGCCCTTCGAGCATTCTATTTTTAGTTGAATGCTGGGATACAAATTATCTTAATATATATAAATAAATAACAACATTCTCCTCCCCACTCTACCAGGAGTGTAAAATAAAACTGTGTTAACTTACATGTACTGAGGTTTGCCTGCATTGTAGGATTTATTCGATTTAGTAACTATCAGAAAATCTGGAATATCTTCAGCATGGAACACAGAGCCAGGTCAGAACAAGAACCTAATGTACAAAACTGTCCTGCGCCTTTTGCTTTTCTTGTAATGTTCTTGAATATTTTCAAAAGAATGCAAAAAGAACCTTGAATGCAGATCCTGTGGCAGACACAGATCAGGCTTTTAACAGTTCTGTATGGACATGAACCCATCTCTGATTAAGTATATGCAAGAATATGCATGTGCACACAAAGGTCTTCAGCTAAGGCTTACTGTCTTTGGCTGAAGAAGGATGGGATAAGTCATCTCAAAATCCACGAGTTACATATTGCTGCTCCTACTTCTAAGACTCTCCCTTTAGTTAAGTGCTCATGAGAGGTAGCCCTTCTGATATGGGAGAGTTTCCAGCTTCTAGAAGCCACACTCTACAGCATCAGCTTGCAAATGGTCCTCAAGGTGAGCTAGCTAGAGTACCTGGGCTGGAGAAATCTAATAGAAGGTCGCAAGGAAAATTCTGGACCTTGTGTTCATGCTTAAGGTCAGCCTCTTATGCACATGAAACATGAGATGGGACAACCAGGTGCACATCATAATATAGGCTTGAGTCCAGATAACAGAGACAACTGCCCAGGCTTCCAGTGCCAGAAAGATGCACCCACATATCTGAGAATGGGAGTCTATTGCATGGAGTGGATTGGGTTAACCTGCAAGATTCTGACGTTAGGATACTCTGACAACAACCCAATGGAGGAAGGCCTTAGAAACTGATGCTCTCGTTCCTAACTCTAGCCTGTCACAATGCATGTTCTTATCAATTTATCTCAAATAACCTTGCACTTTTCAGCACACACAGCTCGGTATTGACATTACCAATCAAGCTCTGAGTGAAGTAGCTTCTTGATGGCAACAGATTCCCGACAGGCTTCACATTGGTTCCTGGCACCTTCTCCCCCAGCTGGAATCAATGGTCACTGTCCGTGGCAAGTTGCTAGCTGGTTGGTGTCACCCTCCTGCCTCTCGGACTGAGGAAGCACTGCTCATGCATTGATGGCATTTGCAACATCTGTGAACACAAGGCGACTAGGTCTCTGGAGCACCCCTTGATTTGTCTGTAACCAAAAAAAAGAAATTGGAAAGAGACGGTGGTGGAAACAGATTTAAGAAGGAATTTGTGTGTACTTTACCCTCATCTGCTTCTCTGGGACCTGTAAAATGTTGCCCTCATAGGCAATCCTATGACAGAAGTAATAGTGAGCCAGATTCTTAAAGGTCCATGTATCGTAAAAGTAAACACACAACTAATCTCTTGCTCTCTGGTGGCCTGGGTGGCAGGAAGTGGTTGTCCACAAACAAATATTGTTAGGGGAAGAAAAACACCAGGTGGGCAGGGAGGGAGAAATGAAGCAAAAATTGAATGCAGGTGTTGCAACTGCTACTGTCATGGCCCTGGACTTGGAATAGGGAGGAAATCACACTAGGAGAGGCCCCTGCAGTACCCGCCTCGCTGGAGTGTTGTCAGGAAGGGGACCCAAGGAGATGGCACTGCCAGGTGGGTAAGGAGGTAGCCTTACCCTCCTCTGACTTTTCAGAACCCCAACTTGGTGGCACCCAATCACTACCACCCTATAGCCAGGGGCAGCTCCAAGCCTACCAGAGCCATTTGCTATTTCTAAGCATGTTCCAATTTGGCTAAAAATCCCGCTAAACTGCCTCAAAAGCTGTTTGCTTGTTTTTTTAATTATAATATTGCAGAACTGATTTCATCACACTGAACCAGTAGCTCGTAATCTCCTTAGTTATCAATGTGAATGTAAACAGGTTCTTTGCTGGCATGAGCTTGTCGCTCTGATCACGGCCAAGATAAATTTCTCAAAGCTACCAGGATTTCTCTACTGATCTATTACAGGATAGGTTCAGGTACAAGAGAAGGGTCTACTCTATTCCATTCCCACCACCTGCACAGAAACATACCGGATCTTCCTGTTCCCGCTGGCTAAGCTTTTAGAGAAAATGTGAAGAGAAAACAAACACACATTGTGAGATCAGCTAACGCTTCTCCTTTCCTCTCCTTCTTTACGGAAGCCATGGCTCAGTTCTGGAACTTGTTTCTATGCAAAAGCTTAATTTGAAGCATGCAGAGCAATAGTAAAGATTTCTTCTGAGCATTTGTGAAGCGTTTCTCCCTCATCACTTTTTAACACATGATTTTTATAGAACTCTGAGAGTTGCAGCCAATGTAGGTTCCACTCTGTATCATATTGACTTCAATACTTGCTTTACATTAAATGAAGGCAGAAGGTAGGTCAGGATCTAATGGATGATTGCTGGCTATTTGCAGTAGATTAGCAAGGTTTTAGTATTTTCAAGGGTGAATCAGCAACAACGACAACAAAAACGCTTTACTCCCACAAATTTTGTTGCTGCAAAGTATTTTTTTTATCAGGGGGGCGGGAGGGGAACCAGGCATGTATTTGTGAGTGAAAGAACTTGCAAGTTTGGTTCTGGTGCTGATCGCAAATTCCTGGGCTGAGCTTCCAGCCGGCCTGAGTTACTATTTTACACCCAACTGTCATTGGGGAACCTCACAGTGCTAGTAATAAAAAAAACACACCACACACACCCCGAAGGAGATCCTGCAGGCCTGGTCACCCCTGCTTTACATGCATGAGATGCCAGGTTCAATCCCAGAAACGACACTTAAAGAATTTATGTCTGAAGAATTGTATCTTAAGCCTTGGAGAGCCACTGCCAGTCAAGAGCAGGCAATACTGGGTTATGTGAACCAATGGTCTGCAGTATAAAAGCAGTTTCACACATTTAGGACAAGGATTATAGGGCCATTACAACTACCATCTAAACAGCTGAACAAATGAATCTTCCAGGTGTCTCCTGCATTCAGGTTCCACTCAGTTCATTTTATTAGCATTAGAGGTTGCGATCCTTTGTGCACTTACTCAAAGCAGCTCCCATTAAAATCAGAAAGTTGTGTGTATGTGAGCACGCACACACACATATTGTTGCAATAACTTCAGCTAATCCTTCATAATCACTTACAGAAACCTTTTAATTTTGGCACTAAAATTGATCACAAATTCCAATCCCATATATGTACTTTGAAAAAGGGGGAAAGAGTCATGGCTTCAGAAGGAAAAGCAGCACAGAAAATCTTCTTCTAACCTGATGTGGGTCTAGCCTGGAGCCATCCAAGCAGAGATGATCACAATATCCCTTTAAGATACCAAACTATCAATGCCTTGGTCAGGGGGGGGGGGGTTACCTTATTCTGTGAAGCCTGCAAAGAAGCAGCATCTCTGCCATGCTCCAACAGCTCTTGTTCCAGCTCATCCTGTTCTTCAGCAGGATCAAAGTTGTACATGGGCATGAGCTGATGTCGCAACTTCTCTAGTCTACAGAGGGGAAACAGACAGTGAAAATTCCACCACTGTGAAGTTATCGGACTGCACAGGAACATCAACGTTCCAGTTTTTGCTCAGCAACCGTTTAGAATTTAAATACTCTGAGCAGGGACCACATCACCAAAGTTGCATTTAGGCTGAAATCCTATACGTATGTACTTGAGAGAAAAATCTCATTGAACTCAATGGGACTTATTTCTGAGGAGGCATGTATAAGATTGCTTTAATGGTACAATCTTTGGCTTGGTTCAGTATCTGCTGCCTAAGTGCAGAGGTCATTACAGGAGATTTTCAAATACAGAAACAATCAGTCTCTAAACATTACTTTACCAACAGCAAGGAGCACTTACCGTTTTCTCTTCCTGATATATAAAACCTAGAAAAGCAGAAAGTTGTTGTAAGTACTGGAGAAACCTTTTCACACCAATTCCTAGGAAAAACAAGTACTGTATACTCTTTGGCATGCAAAATTACATTGAGTGCAATGGGGCTTACTCCTAGGAAAGCAGGTGTAGGATTGGGGCATTCATGTACACTCATGCATACTAGGAAGAACTAGTTGGAAACCCAGTTTACTTTACCTCAGTAAGAGGTAACTCAGTAACTAAGAGAGCAATCCTAGACATGCATAATCAGAAGGAAACCTCACTCCCAAATAAGCCCATATTGGATTGCAGCTTAATTTACAGTGCAACCCTTGGAAGTACCGGTAAGTCACACTGTGTTCAACGGGCCTTACAGGAAAATATGAATGGGATTGCAACCTTAGGCTGCAACCCTATACACATGCTTACCTTGGAGCAAGCCCCATTGAACGCAACATGACTTACTTCTGAGTAGACACGCACTGGCTTGCACTTCATCTCTGAAGCCAACCCTATAGCTAGACTTAATAATTATTCCCTTTTCCTAGGAAATGGCAGTTCTGTGCTTTTGGAGAGAGGGGGTGTCTTGGGATCTCTAACAGAGGATTTTAAACACCCAAATGAGAAAATAATTCCCAGGGTCCTTCGGTGAAAAGCCATGCCATTTAAACTGATATATGATCAAGGTAGACTGGCACCCAAGGACTGGCCCAGTCTTAGGCATTTTTGTACCCTACTTGAAATATTATAGTGGAGCTCCTGAACTAAGCAATCTGCAGCCCTCCCGTAGGAACCACATGGTAGACACCGTCTTACCATAGCAACAGCCAACCCAATCACAGTGATGATGCCGAAGGACAGCAGCATGGTCCCCATGCCAGAACCATTGCCAGCCACATCTGGAATTTTGGTGCTGTTAAAGCTGCTGGTTTCAGGGGTCAGCGTAGCAGTTTCTGATCCAGCCCCGTCCACAGTCATTCCATGGTCTGGTTCGGAAGTGCGAGTGCCACTGTGGTACAAAGTGTTCGCAGTGGATGTGCTATAATTCATTTTGGGCCAGAGCTTTTGGTTGTCTTCTCCTTGACTGATGTCTTGAACAGCCAAATTCTTACTTTTCTGCTGCAAAGTGCATTTCCTTGCCTCTTCAGTCAAGAAGCCTGATGGGAAAGCTCTTTCCTTGCATTTTCTTCCCTTGCTCTTCTGAAGTCCTATTGGCTACTCTCTAGCAATAGAGGGGAAAGGATAAATCAGTTGTTACCTTCCAAGGTATCCTTACAGCAACCCTATAAATTAGACTGGTATTCTTAGGACCATATTATAGATGAAGAGCTGAGGAGGGAGAGCTGCCTAAGACCAGCCCAGTTCATTCATGGTTGAGCTGAAATCTGAACCAAACTCTTAACCACCTTAAAATACTAATGCTGCAATCCTAGGCACATCTCCCCAGAAGCTAGTCTCAATGAATTCCTCTTTTAATTTGAACATTCTGTTTAGTTAGGAAGGCTATACTATAGTTACTCAGCTCAAGCCTTCTGGATGGTGGCATGTGCTATAAACATAGATGTGAGTCAATAAAGTAGAAATAAGTTTAGCTGAGTATCAAGTAACTCACCAGGTGGCCAGCTGACCTTCTGGAATCTCACATGGCCTAGTCAGGTGACCTACAGAAGTATCATGTGAGTGGACTTGAGTGTGGACAAGCAACAAGGGCACAGTACTTGAAGTGCCTTCAAGGCAAGACTCAATAGCAATATCCCATGCCTGTTATTAATCCTTACTACTGCACTTTTGGCAATGAAACTTAGTTAACAACAGATCGGTTCTCCTGAATTGAATCAAGTCATTTAAACATATTCTCACTATAACAATATCCTGTGATGTTAAGTTCGAAAAACAAACTACATGCATGCATTGTGTGAAGCACTTCCTTTTGTTGCTAAGTTAGTTTTAATGAAAGAGCATGAATTCTTGATTTTTAAGAGAATGACTGTACAACCCTAGGCATCTTTACTCATATGCAAGTCTCACTGAGTTCAATGGCATCTTCTCCCAACAGGAGGTAGTGGGCATAAGACTGCAGTTATATTTTATCCCTGGGCACTCCATAGTATTTATTACTACATTTTTTAAAAAAAAAATGCCATTGAAATGCCTTTTCCCCCTGTGTTAAAAGTTCCTAATGATTAAACCTTTCTTCTCTTCCAACTCCTAGAATGCACTTGCCCCCTTTTTTACATTTCCTCCTCCTGCCACACCATGCTTTTCTTTTAAATGAGAAAACTAGAAACTCACCCTGCACATATATGCCAGCATTCAGGTGCTATGCATGTTTATTCAGCAGTCCCACTGTGTTCAGTTGGACTTACTCTCTCCTAAATGTGCAGCGCATTGCAACAGCCTCAGTTTTATTTTAACCCTTGAGGGTTGTTGTTTTTAACCAGACACTATTTTTACCTTAATATTGCTACAGCTGAGTTGTCATCAGAGCTGACATTTTTAAAGAACTTTCAACCGTGACCACAATATCACATCCCTAAGCAGCCCTAACCACTTTGAACCTCACCCATCATAGTTCGTATGTGGTTAGGACTCTTTCCCCATCACTTCAGGTGTCCTTCTTTTCCCAGGAGAGGAGCATGCTCATGAGAATGAAGGAAACCAGGAAAGAACATTGGGACACTTTTTTATATAGAAGTCTATTTTCTAAAGCAAACTCCACCCCGACTTTTCATTCACTTATTTAATTGCTCTGTAGTGAGAACTGTGTGGCTCAAACATGCAAATGGATTTTCATTTCCCAAGATTGATTATCATTGTTATACAAGACCAGCCTGGGTTTTTTGGGTGGAGGTGGGTGGGGAGCTATTTACCCCTATTCCCAAAGGCCCTGTTGAATCTCAAGAAGAATTACCCGCTTGGCTGGGGCCTTGCATGGAAGTCCGTTTAAGCACCGAGAGAGAGAGAAAGAGAGTCAAAGAGAAACTTTGTCCGGGCAGAGCTCTGCTTATTGCAAGGGATGAGTCGGTTCCCAGCCACTTCTGAACTAAATCCAGCTCCCCGTCCCACTTCCCCAATTCCCAACGTGACAGACCAGGACAGCGAAAGGAAGCCTTCGACGGAAAGGTACAACACATGATGGATGTCAGGGAACCGAGAATGATTTTGGGGTTTTTTTTCCTTGGGTGGCTGGCTGGCCTGGCGCTCCTCCCGACCGCCTCCACCCATCTCCGTGGCCTGCTTAAGAGGTCAGCGCCGACCTCCTCGCTCCCTGCCGGGCGCGCGTGGCCGTGCCGGGCCCCGTTAGCAGCAGCCTAAACAAAACCATGATGATGACACCAGCACTTACGGAGGCGATCGCCGGGCAAGGAGGACCCGGGTCCCTTGCAAGTCCCGGAGATGCTGACCTGCCTGGGTTGGGAATGCAGCCCCCGCCCAGCCCAGGATCGCGGAGGCCAAAGAGGGAGGCAGACGTTAGTCCCCCCCGCCCCCTTCTTTTGACACTCTGGCGGAGCCCCGTCTGCAACTTGTGAGAGTGGCCCTGGCGAGGAGGGCAAAGAGATGAGGACCAGCCAGGGGCGCTTGTGCTGGACGTGGAAGACTCTTGCCCCCCTCTCCGCTTCCCATGCAATGGCCGCCTAGGCTGGGGACCTCAGCACATCGCTCTGGCTGCTGGGAGACTGGGTGGCTCCAGGGGCTTTGCTGCTATTCGGATTACCTGCACAGGAAAGCAGGAGCTGCTGCTGCTGCTGCCATAGTCTTACTTGCCATTGTTTTTCCCGAGATGCTGGGTGAAGCCCTTCCTCCCGCCCTCCTGTCACCGGCCCTCTTGATGCTCCGCTTTGATCTCCCCTTCTCCCTGGGATTGGCCAGTAGAGGACAGCGCTATGGCTCGGGATTGGCCGGCCGGGATGTCACTCACAGCGGGGAGATGCCACCGCGAAGAGATGGGCTGCAATGCGAGCCCTGGAGATGAACGTCTCGCGGTCGGCCGAAGGAAGCTCGCGTGCCCGGCAGGGCGAGGGAGCAGGCGCTTGAGCCGGTGAAAACTCTACTAGGGTTTTTCTTCTCGGCAGCTGCCCCTTATTGCTGTGCCCTTGACCGGGACAAATCCATCGTCTAGTGCAAAGTGGTCCTCGACTAGTCAGACTGCCTACTCAGCAGGACTGTATTTTACCGCCTGCGCGCCTCCAAACCCATCCTCGAATTCCCTAACAATAAAGCAATGAAGAAAACGCGTATGTGTGGAATTTGGGGGGGGGGCGGGTTCTTTAACGTGTGCAACATACATTTGCTGTTGTTTTAACTACCTTTGAGAGGTGGGTGCTCTGCCCATGCTCAGAGGCTCCATCTCATGATTCTTACAGTTGTCTCTTGCAAGATATCAAATGCTGGGAGTGGGAGGCTTCCTCCCCACCCAAAACGCAGCACTCATTGTTGTCTGAACCCCCCTGCTGGATCTGCGCTTCCACTCAGCATGCATGTAGTCCATTATCAAAACCACTTCAGTTATTTATTTATTGACAAACCTCTACCTTTGAGACCCCAATGAGGGTGACAAGAAAGTGGCTTGAGGCCCAGTTCAGTTAGCAAAGTGATGCTTCTAGATATTTTTATGAAAACCAGTATGTGATTATTAGTAGTAGTATTATGAAATAGTTAACAGTTCTCAAATTAAATCTACTTAGGACAGAATATCAAAGAAAAAGTGCTCTCTCAAGCCCACATTCCCAGCATGTTTGCAGATATCTACGCTGGTCATGTCCACAGAATGGAAGATGACAGGATCCCAAAGGATCCCCTACAGGGAGCTGGCTTCAGGCATCAGGCCTGCTGGCAGAACAACTCTGGATTACAAAGATGTATGCAAATGTGACATGAAGGCTAGCAACATCAACCCTGCCATTTGGGAATCCCTGCAGTACCTGGAAACAGTCAGGTTGTGAATCCACAGCAGTGGCCAAAGGGGAATGACCACTGGGAGGAGCACAGAGAGAAGAAACACCATGATGCATCTGTAGCAGCACAACCTGATACCTTCATCTGCCCCAGCTACAATATATATAACTATCTCCTGTATTGGTCTCTACAGCCACAGCAGGCGCTGTAACCTTACAACAGTTTGACTTCACTCACAAAGGCACACTCTATCAGGGTTGGAGTCAGACACAGGTCAGCAATAAAGGAAGCAGATCTCCATTATCTCTTTATTCAAGGAAACAAACACACAACTCAACCTAGTGATCTCAGCAAACTAGTGGTCTTGCCCCTATGGAGCAGTTGCCAAGACTGAAGGTCCCTGTCTTCCATGCCTCTCTAAGGCTCTTCCCCAGCAATCTCAAATTGCGTGTGCATACCTCTGGTCTCTGTCCTTCCCTCCTCATTATTCTGCTTGTTCTGGGAGATGGGGGAGGGGAGCTTGTTGAAGCAGGACAGATTCCTGAGATTCTTCAGCAGCCTCCTGACTCCCCTCCTCTGCTTCAGCTGCTGAATGTGAACTACTCTCTGGCACAGGCTGTCCCTGCTCACTAAACCCTGTTGCCCCTTTGGCATTTGGCACCTCTTCCCAATCTTCTCCCTTTGTCCTCTCCCCAGTGTCCCACCACTGATCTCCTGGCTCTGAGCCTTCTGCCTCCTGGGCTCCCCTTGGGGGTTCCCTGGTGGATGCCTCCCCCTACTCCTCTTCCTCCAGCCAGTCTCTGACACACTCCTCCATTGTCTCCAGAAAGAGACAGATGCTAAGAGACAACAGCAGAACAGCACCTGTGTGCAATCTGTATGCAGTTGTTTGGATTGAAGCCCCATGAACACAATCAGGCTCCCCCCCCCGCCCCCGTGCTAAATTTAAGGCTTAAATCCTAAGAAACACTGAACACTGCAGGACTTCCTTCCAAGTGAACTTGCAAGGAAGACTCTATTTCTCTCTTTCGTGCACAGTTTTCTGCCGTAGCCACTCCTGTGGAACTGCTGCAATGGGCTAAGGCTTCCATGCGGGGTCCCCCTTGCCTCGTTCGCTCTGCCTTTTACGGAAAATTGACGCTTTGAGGCTTTCCCTTTCAGGCGGAACTGTACGCCGCCGTCGCTGTTAGCGAGTAAGGCCGTGTTGCTTGCGGCCCCAACCGGAAGCGCGTCGCTTGCCAGTCTCGTAATTTGCGTAAGAGTCTCGCCTCCTGCTCTTGGGAAAGAGTCTCGCCTCCTGCTCTTGCGCGGTAGTTGCATTGGTGCTTTGTCAATTTGCAGGTAAAAAAAGGAACAAAATATCTCATTGCCGCCACATTTTGTTATAATGTACGTGTCCATAAAAGCCTTCCGTAAGGCTTCTCACTTGGAAGGAAGGACCTGCGAATTGGTCTCCCTCCTTCTCCCCGTCTTTAAATAGGAAACCGTTCTTAAGCCAAGCTTCGTTCCCGCGCTTTATTCAGAATTTCTCTCTGACTTCATCTATCTGCTGTTCAGCTGCATTGATCGGGCGGCGGAAACGGCTGTGTGAAGGTTTAGCTCAAAATGGTTTCGCCTTCTTCCACCCAACGAATAATGTATTTTAAACTGCAGTCGTTTGCAGCATAAGGTTTGCACACTATCCTAGAAGTAAATCCCGTTAAACTCGTGCAGGCATGCGTAGGAGCGCCCTACTGGGCTTGGAATACTATGGGAAAGGAAGTTCCTATTTCTCCTGTTGACTGTATGTGACACTCTCACTGCTCACAGAGGATAGTACAGTATCTTCACATAAGAAGGTGATGGGATGATGGAGGCAGGGATTGTTGCCAGAGGCATTTGTGCTTATTCCACTATCATCTATGTGTACAAGTTCCTGTCGTTGCTACCTGTTTGATCAGAAATGACACCAGAACAAAATAAGTGTGTGTGTGTTATAGGAAACAGCTGTATCATACTACTTTCAACTATTTCAGACTATTTTGTCAACTCTCATTGTCTCTGGCTACTTCCTGATTATTTGGAGAAAAGGGATAACATTCTGATCTGCTTGGATCATGACAGGAAGACATTTTTAAAAATGCAAAATAGCACAGATACCTTTTATATGCTTTATTATAGAGGAGCCTTGGCTCTTTTTGTCCGCACCTCCCATTCTATATTCCTATGCTTTGTTGCCTGCATCAGCTGTCCATTATAATTTTTTCCCTATGTGGGCAATTTGTGAACTGGTCAAGCATGAATTTAAAAAGGTGTTTTTTTATATATTTTATAGTCTAATCAGTCTACAGCTGGCCAAATATCAGTCCTACCACTGTGGATGGTGGAACCCACACCTCACTTAGATTCATTTTATTGGGCCTAATCTCCTATGTAAACATATTTAGGATGAATGTCCCAGGCCACAGGCCACAGATCACAGAAGGCACTGTTAAAAGGAAATCCACATGTAGTCAAGACAATCACACACAACAAACATACTCTGCATAACTGTGTTGGGAAGCCATAATTGACAGTATCACTATTGCATCATGTATATAGCTGGGATTAGCAGAAGAAAGATCCAGACCTACTGGTAGCTCTCGGAATTATTTGAGAAGCCACAGAGGATATAGTTGTATATTGTGAGTTCCATTCCATTCTGCTACTCAAAACAAATTCCTGGGCTCAGAGTTCTTTCATTCTAAGTCTTTTGTGCTAAGCTCCGGTTGGTATATCTCAGAGTTCAAGTAAAAAACAAACCAGATCCCACAAGCTTATAGTCTGTGTACCCTTGGTGTATAGTATATGTGTGACAAACAAGGTGTGTAGGAATTATGTAACACCTGAACAAGAGCCCTTGTAGTTTGCATTCAGTTCCCCCATTGGTCAATAAGATGCGCTTTGGAAACCCACAAACAGGACATGAGCATACTAGCACCCTCCTGATTGTGAACTAGCCTGTAGCTTGAGTGTTGGTGAAAAGCAAATCTGGGCAGTTTCAGTACTGCTTAATTTTATTCAAATGTGGTTAGAATCATAATTATGGAAAGTGAAATTCATTATGCCTTCTTCATTTTCATGTGTCGTATGAGTTCATCATTTATGCTGTGTCTATAATGACCTCTTTAAAAATTACTTCAGCCTAAATGGTAAGTGAGCTTATCCTGAATTTGAGATGATTTCCTTTGGTTGTCTCTTTTTCTCTAGGTTACTACTGGATGAATGAATCACCTGTGTGCTCTGCAAGGACAAGAGAATCTCCTGTTGACATTCTGCTGTATAAGCACTGATGAGACTGGAGTGTCCTGTGTTGATATATTTTCTGAAACCAGACTGCTGGTGTTAGAGACTCGTGGTGTACTTTGGTGGCCTATAAAAAGTTGAGCCTGTTCTCATTCTTGGAAACCATAACCTTCTGGAGTCATGAAAGTTCTTACTAGCTCTTTGTACAGGAAGCTTTTGCATTTGTTCCCTCATCTTGGGAAGAGTCCTGCCAAAGGCTCCAATCTAAATCCCTGTCACAGACTGCTAAGAAAGTATTTCTGTTATAAGACAGGTGTGGTTACAGCTGCTGACTTGGTCAACTACTGGCAAGGCGTGTTTGAAGTGAATGAGATCCCCGAAGCACAGGCATCTTCCGAATATATTGTTTCTCATGTCCTGGGAGCAAAAACAGTTAAGTGATGTGGGTAAAATAGTGGTTGTCTGTGCAGAGCACCAAAATGAATGCTGGAAGATCTGCCTCATGTCTGATTCACTAGCCAGCAATTCTGCGCTCTAATATATCACAAGCTTCTCCAATGAAGTAAATAGTGCTTCTTGTAGACAGAGAGGCTAAGCCTTGACCTCCTTTTAAATAACTTTGCTCTGCTCTGATCAAGGTTCACCAAGCACATCGGCTGTTTGCAGTAGCATCCAAGTACAGTTTATCCTGTTTACATCATTGATGCTTTTTCTGGATTGCTATTTATATCTGTTTGCCATAGATTGTAATGGCTAAATAACTGCTTAAACAGTTCCACAACTGGAAATAAGTTGTACCACTGTGGATGTTTGGCAGCATGCTATTTGGTCAAAATGTCTGACATTTAAGTTTGCCCCAATTTTCATAAGCCCATAATTTTTGGTTTGAAGTACTGCAGGGGACTTAGATTTTTTACTGCTATGCCATCAGAAAGGCAGAGACTGCTCAGAAGACTTTTTACAAGACTGGTAAATGAGCCCACACAGTTAGTTACTAGCCAGCAAAAAAAAGAGAGAAAGGAATGAATGAATAATTAATCTATTAAGCAACCAATAAACAATAGCTAACCTTTCTAGCTTAATAAGAGATTAGTAGCCTGCATTTCCTTGGTGGAAATCCTCTGTGGTCAGCATGGAAATGCAGGCTAGTAGCCTCTTAGCAGTCTAGTGTATAAACGTGCCTTTCATTAAGTGAACTAAAAAAGTAGGGATGGAGCATTTAGTTCATTCTGTGCCAGCCCGCTTGGTTTCTGTGCTAGTCTTGGTGGAAGGGTCTTTCCTTTCTGCATGGCAAGGCAGAATGGTGGAGGGAAATCACAACACTCCACCCCTCAGCCACCATCCTTGTTCACTTCTGTGAACAAACCATCCTCTACAGCCCAATTGCTCCTCTGCATAGCTACAGTTGTTAAATGCGAGGCTACTTTAAAAGGGACAAAATCATGTAGAATGGGCCTATTAACAGCTTTTGGTCATAATAGCTATTAGGAACCTTTGTTCATGAGGCAGTATGCCAGTGAATGGTTGTGGGACTATTTCCTTCATTCCCTGCTTGTTGGTTTTCCAGATTAATCAAGTTTAGTGGGTTCTATGGCCTTCCAGAGGTTGATGGATTTCAGCTCTCTTTAGGCCCAGCCAGCATGGCCAATGGTCAGGGAAGGTGGGAGTTGTAGTCTAGCAACGTGGGTGGCGCTGTGGTCTAAACCACAGAGCCTAGGGCTTGCCAATCAGAAGGGTGGCGATTTGAATCCTCGCAACGGGGTGAGCTCCTGCCAACCTAGTAGTTCGAAAGCACCTCAAAGTGCAAGTAGATAAATAGGTACCGCTCTGGCGGGAAGGTAAACAGCATTTCCGTGCACTGCTCTGGTTCACCAGAAGCAGCTTAGTCATGCTGGCCACATGACCCAGAAGCTGTACGCCGGCTCCCTCAGCCAGTAAAGTGAGATGAGCGCCGCAACCCCAGAGTTTTTCACTACTGGACCTAATGGTCAGGGGTCCCTTTACCTTTAACATCCAGAGAGCCACAAGTTCTCCACTCCAGATCTAATTGTTTATTGGGAAACAGAATGCCGTATTAGGTAGACCTTTGGTCTCACCCAGCAGAGCTCTTATCACAGTACAATGGAGAGGGTAGGTGGGCTGACCATCAAGAAAAGCATTTAACCCTCCTGGGTGCTGAGTTAGTTTTGTGGGCTACCAGAATTTAGTCTAAATGCCTGTAAATAACTTTTCAGTTCCAGAGCTTGAATGCCAGCAGCATCTCTACTCCCCTCTCCGCAAAGCAACAAGAACAGATCCAGCAGCTATGTGCAAAACGGCTACAAAGGTGGGTACTTACGCTGATTTGTTTCACTTTCTCAAGGACTTTGCAGAAAAAAACTGTTCTATTAGGATGCCTATGGAATGTCAGGCAGCTAAAGTAGTTTTAAAATGAAGACAGGGGTCAAGTCCTGTCTTCAAGGTTGGAGGGATACGTTTAAATTCATTTCTTTTACTGGGAATTGACCTCAGTTTAGCTTAGAAATATGCACCCTTACATATTACTTAGTAATAAAAATAAAATGCAAGACAAACCAGTAGGTACTAGTGCTAGAAGTAGCTGCTGAGCTATCACTACCACTCTGCAGTATAGTAGCAAACATTTAGTCGTCCATTTAGCACTTTAATAACTCATGAGCAAATCCCTTTTTAAATCCATAGGGCCTTTGCAAGAACTGAGCCAGCAGAGAGGTGCAAGTAACAAGCTGGGCTGCTAGGCTTACATAATGCCATTCAACAATTAAGCGGCCTTAAATAATTTAAATAAATGAGGCATTTCCAGCAAAGAGACGTCCAGGGTAGATGGAGAATATTTAAGGCTTGGATCGCTGAAATGTGTTCATCTATGGTGGCTGAATCAGTTCTGTAGATTTCTTAGCACTCATAATGACAATTTTGCATGCATTTTAAAGCCACAATTTCTTAAATTATTTGTGAGTTTAGAACAATTAGGGTTAAGAAAATGACAGTACAGTATTGGAACTCATTATCTTGGATAGTGAATCGAATTGCCCACTGTCTCTTTGGTTCTGATTTTATAGCAATCTGCATACTAATTAATCCTCCTGTTGGAACAAATAAGCTGTTATTGCTGTGTTAATATGTTTATGCTTTAAAACCTAGGAGAAATACAAGTAGCCCCACTGTTATTATTCCATATTTTTCACAATATAGAATCGGACAGAAAACTGGACTTCTTTTAATCTGGGGTCTGTTTTATTGTACTCTAAAGGTAAAGGACCCCTGGATGTTTAAGTCCAGTCAAAGGCGACTATGGGGTTGTGGCATTCATCTTGCTTTTCAGGCCAAGGGAGCCGGTGTTTGTCTATAGACAGCTTTCCAGGTCCTGTGGCCAGCATGACTAAACCACTACTGGCACAACAGGATACTGTGACGGAAACAAGAGCGCACGGAAACACCGTTTACCTTCCTGCTGCAGCAGTATCTATTTGTCTATTTGCACTGGCATGCTTTTGAACTGCTAGGTTGGCAGGAGCTGGGAATGAGCAACGGGAGCTCACCCCATCGCTGGTATTCAAACCGCCAACCTTCTGATGGGCAAGCCCAAGAGGCTCAGTGGTTTAGACCACAGCGCCACCTGCATCCCTTATTGTACTGTAACCCCACTAAGACAATAATAGCATCTAGCTCTTGAGGGTACTGAGTAAACGTTTTGAAGATGAAGGGCAATAGCCAGGGCTGGCCCAAGAAGTTTTGACACCTGAGGTGGACCCCAGAATGGTGCCTCCCTCCCTGCCGGAGAAGAAGGGGTGAGGGAAGGTCCAAAAGGTGAGGAAGTAGGATTGACAGTGTGATCTGCTGCCCCTGTGAATCCTGCCACATGAGCCAGTTGCTTCACCTTGTTTCATGGGTGGGCCAGCTATAGTAATAGCTGCTGAAAGCTTAGAAATCAATAGACTTCTAAAGTGGGCTGAATCTTTATCTCTCCCCACCCACCCTGGTGGGCCATGTTGGACAGGTTTGCCCACATGTCAATCATCCAATGTCACAGTGATGTCAAGTGACCTGTTTTTGCACAGCACTGTGTACAGAGCCCTGACGATCAGCTGATTTCTGACACTTGAACATAGTGCTTCACAAAGCACTTTGCAGGTGTCACCAATCAGGTGATTGGCAGTGGTTGGAAAACCCCTTTTGGCTCAGTCACATTTTTACCTGTCCCCACCACCACCACCTGATGTCCTATATGAGGCCTAGAACAGCATGTAGAGAACCTTCTTGGCTCTGCAGGTCAGATCCTTATCAGGATCAGACTTGTGGGCCTCATTTGACAGGTGAGCAAAGCCACCCACCTATGAAATCACACAAGGCTCCTTCCCCCACCCCAGGCAAGAGCAGTTCTTTTGCAGAGCGCTCACACACTATGAGCCTCAGAAAATCAGAGGCGCAAACAGGAATGTGGGCTGTTTAAACTGAGCAGGAGTTAACCCCCGCTCATCAGTTCTTGAGTAGGCTTTAAATCCAGCTGCTTTGGCTGTGAAAATCTCTTTCCTGCTGGGAGCAGGTGTGCACAGTCAGTGCAGGATTTAGCTCTGTCCTCTTGCCCACCAGCTGATGTCACCAATGACATCAGTTGATGCGTGGGAATGGTTTGGGGGAAATGGCCTTGTGGCTTGGAGGTTACCCACCACCGTTAGAGAGAAGCAACCACCTCAGTAATCAGGGGCGGTTGCCTGGCTGTTGCTCCTGAGGTCTTCTCCACCCTCCCAGGCCCTTTGTCTCTGTTGTGAGCTATGTATGCCACATAGCCTACCCTGGGACCTTAACTAGCCTCCCTCAGGTGCAGTAGAAGATTGGTAAAAGAAGAGCTTTTCGATCTCAAACTTCCCCATTTCTCTCTGTGTCTTTTTACATTGTGTGCCTCAGTTTGGAAGTTGATTTTTCAGCTGCTGCACTTCACTTTTGGTTATGGAAATATATGCGCTTTGACCCAGCCACCACTAGAGGCTGTATTTGCACAGTTCATGAAACTTTTCAATGCAAACCTGTGTGTTTGCTTACTCAGATGTAAGCCCCATTGAGTCCAGCAGGGTCTACTCCTGAGTAAGTAGGTATAGGATTACAGTCTTATATAGGTAGCCGTAGTCCATACTTGACCATTATGGTTTGTTTCATGTTGGGCTTAGGAAATCTGTCTGTGTAATTTCCTTTGCTGTTTTCCTCTGCTATTCTTTCTACTTTCTGGTAGAAACAGTGACAGGGTACCAGACCAGATGCATTTTCCACCTGATGTGCAAGTTTTGGAGTGCAATTGCATTTTGAAGTTTGGTGCTTTCTTTTGAAATAGATATTTTAAGTTTGGTGCTTTTTATAGCTGAAAGGCAAGACTTGCTGTTCAGCTGTGCATTGGGTATTATTTGCATTGTATATGAATTAATGAGTTCTTTTTTGAATACTCAGGACAGAGGAAAGCTTCAGCTTCCTTAAAAAAAACACAACAACCTACAATTATCTTTGCAGAGGAGTGGGGTGGAGGAAACCTATGGAGAAAATGGAAGGTGAAACTTGTGTGGGGTTACTAAGAATTCAGCGCTCTTGTATTCATTGGAAATAGCATTGTGTGCATGTGTTAATCATGTGTGATTGGATTTAGCCCACTGTGCTCACTATTCCCACTTCTGGAGTGTGGCCCCTGACAGCTTTCCACTGCAGTAGTGTGGCCCTCTGCCCAGAAAAGGTTCCCCACCCATGAGTTATGCTTCTGTTCCATAGCAAGGCACTTCTGGAAACATGGGAGAGATACAGCAGGTACAGCCTACTCTGAACCTGTGCTTCCCCTTCAGGCATTCCTTTCCATGCTAGAGTGTTTTAGCCATCTAGCTATTAATGTTTTTTCCAACCATGTATGCAAAGCAGCTAGTGATATTATAATTTATTGACTACATTTGTATCATACATTTTCTTCAGTGAGCTCCAGGTCATTTACATAGCTCTCCCTGCTATTTTACCGGCAGAACAATCCTGTGTGGTAGGTTAGGCAGAGATAGTTGCTGGCCCAACCTCACCCATTGAGCTTCATGGCTGAGTGGGGATTTGACCTGTGTCTCCTCAATTGCAGTTAAACACTCTTAACCGCTGTAACACAAACACATATTTTTGCTGGCATTTGCTACCACCAGATGTGGCGTGGTTATCTGAATTGAGTATCACCTGCCTCTTTAGGCATCTGGGATCTTCCTCTTCCATAGCCACTGGATACTTCCTGATATGTGCAGATCACAATTTTTGAGTATTTATACCTTCCATTTAGATTTGGGTCAAAGTGAGAAGAGACAGCCTGGTCTTTCTGCCCATTCAGGGGAATTAAGCATTTGCTTACCAAGGAAATATACAGATGGAGGAACTTTACCCTTGATCTCTCTATCAATATTTATTAGCCCAGGTACATGTTGCCACAGCTATTAATTATAGTAAGTAGATTGCTTCCCATGAAGGCAAAATTAAGATATGAAAGCCAGATATTGTACTTAGGTTTTAGTTTGTTTGCATTTTGCTTTTTCTTAGTTAACTATTCCCAAAGGGGCTCACAATAAATATTTACTTATTATCAAGATACATAACATTTGGAAAAATGTATTGTAGGACATAAAAAATTGAAATAAGACAATCAGCAATGCAATAAGCACAAGATTAATTCATTACTACAATGAAATAATCTAGACTTAATATATAACAAGAGCTGAACCAAAATTAAGTGACCAAAAAGTAAATATATACAAATAAAGTTAATGCACATTGCTAGTGTTGCTGCAGAGAGCAGCCTGACCAACAGGTCAGAGAGGGCACTGCCTTCTCACAAAGCTAAATGGTTCACAGCTGACTCCTGCAGAGAAGACTTGCAGCTGCAAAATGGATGTGCAGGAGAAGACAGTGAGGTCACATCTTTTTCTCCAGCCTCCCAGAAGTTCTGGCTCCTAGTGCTATTCTTGCTGCATTTCTGGTGCTCATTTGTGCCCAATCATTAGTGCATGTAAAGTTAAGAGCCCCACAAAAGTAGTACATGCAGCCCAATTCTATTTATGCTTAATTAGTGAGTTTAATGAAACTTAGTGTTGTTAAGATTGCATTTACAGCACATTTAATATGTAAGTGAATTGTATATGTGGAGGCTTACAAAAGAAAGAACAACCCTGTCAGCAAAGTTGGGAAAGAAGACAACATTGACAACATGGGAAAGTCCATTGTTAAGTTAACACAAGCTTTGCTCCCAGTTCAGTAAGCAGTTAAAAAAGTAGATGTCGAGATACAAAGATGCTGTGAGCCTTTGGAACCAAAAACAGTTCAAGGTTATGTTGCTGTAGGCAGAAATGCATATAAGTCATCAGTTCCTGTCTCTGTCTTTGTTCTCTAGTTGCTCAGAAATCATGAAGGAGACTCAGGTATTCAAAGTATGAATAAACCATGCAAACCCCAACAATAATTGTTGCAGTTGTAGTTGTAGGCCAAGCTAAGCAACCAACTCACCAAGCTTCAGTTCCTGGTTGTTCTTGGACCATCTAATGTTACAAGAGAATGAGAGAGAGCGAGAGCGAGAGAGAAGTGGGTAGCATGGATATTTCTTTCAGTGGTTCAGCTTCAGAAGCTGAAAGACAATGCAGCCTTCTAAGCTTTTCTTTTTCTTTTTTCCCTATAAGAAAAGATTACAGAATAAAAAAATGCACATGATTGAGTTTAGGTACACATCAGATCTGTTAAGCAATGTGGATGCCTTTAAGACAAGTGGGCATTCGCAATGCCTTTTGCCCATGAAGAATGATTTAACTGCCAGAGAGTGTGTTGCCTATTTAATAAGGATGCCAGTAGATTTCTTATCTACATTTCTTGGATCTGTACATACCTGGAAGCTAAAATATATAACCTTATTGGATTCTAAATTAAACATGCTGGATCCTTATCTTGACGCTAGTAAGAGTGTATATTGAGAGATAAAGGGGGTGGGGAGTGAGAATAGTACCTTGGTTAGTTTATGATTCCTCAGAGTAGAATGTGTGGCTTGCTTTTTGTGGGGAGATGGCAAGAATACCTGACCAAGAAGCTTATGGTAACATGACAGCTGCCTGGCCTTCCTATAGTACAGGGGTGAGGAGACTGCCCTTCTAGATGTTGCACTCCAGCTTCCAGGAGTGGCCGTCAAGGAGGGGCAGCAACACACACCTGGTCACTAGCGTGGCTGCAGCTTAGCAGGAGGGATATGGTGGGGAGTTGTGACAGAGCCAGGAGGGCATGGTGGGAGACAAATTTCCCATCCCTACTGTAGCCTTACGAGCCTGATTGTCATATTTTAGCTTTATACTAAGCACCATCAGAAATGACAGACTTTAGAGTCAGGAATCTAGAATAAGTTCTGTCCTGCTGGATGGAATCTACCATGTGATATGCCAGTGGTGACTTTTTCCGATGCATGGAACTGGGGATTCAGCACCCACAAAAGGAAGTGTAACAAAGAGGAATGCTTGGTTGGATCAGTTTGCTCAAAGTGGTTATTAAGGGACTTTCTATCCAGAATTATGAATGTTTTCATTGCTCAGTGAATGGTCGGAGGAGAGAACTGAACCTGAGCTGCAGGAAAGGGCAACCAAAGCGCTCAAGGGCGTGGAACCAACTCCCCTGTAAGGAAAGGCTGCAAAGTTTGGGGATTTGTGTGGGGACATGATCAGCGGGGAACGTATCAAGAGAGGACATGATAGAAGTGCCAAATTATGCACAGTGTGAAAAAATAGGCCATCTCTCATAATACTAGAACCCGAGATAATCCAGTGAAGCCGAATATTGGGAGATTCAGTAAAGACAAAGGGAAACGCTTCTTCATGCAGCACGATACTGTGGAATTAGCTTCCACCAGGTGTGGTGTTGGCCACCAACTTTGAATGGCTTCAAAAGGAGATTAGACAAATTCAGGGGAGATAAGGCTATCCGTGGCTAATAGTCATAATGGCTGTGTTACTTCCAGTGGATGAGACTTCTGAATTCCAGATGTGGGGAGCACAAAGAGGTCATTGCTGTCACACTCGTGTCCTGCTTGCAGGCTTTCCACAGGCATCTAGTTGACCACTGTAGGAAACAGAATGCTGGATAAAGATAGGTGTTTCCTCTAATCCGGGAGGGCTCTTACATTCTCATCTGGCTCCTGGTCAGTAGCTTGCAGAGTTGCAGATAGCCTGTCACGGAAAACCTGTAGTATCAGTTTTAGCTTCAGTAGTACAGTGCTTCAAACTTCGCATTAGGGAACATTTGAAATCTCTCTGTCATAGGACTGAATGTTCTTTTTCCTTCCCACTCCACCCATTAGGGAAGGTACTGCCTGTCCAGTTGTTTGTGCTTTGGAAGAGGGTGGTATATTTGAGCATGATGATGAGTTACTGTAAGCAACTGGATTCTTGGCCAAGTGCACAGTGTAATTCACGTCCTCTGTTCCAGGATGCCAGTGCAATATGTTCTGGGTGAGTGGGATTTCCAGGATCTGACACTCAAGATGAAACCTCCGGTCTTCATTCCTCGACCAGAGACAGAGGCAAGTCATCATAAGGGACAAACCTCAGCTCTTCTCCAGAGTGCTGCATTGCTACACACATACGCCCACCTCCACTTACAGGAAGCACAATACAGTGGTGCCCCGCAAGGCGAATGCCTCGCAAGACGAAAAACTCGCTAGACGAAAGAGTTTTCCGTTTTTTGAGTCGTTCCGCAAGACGAATTTCCCTATGGGCTTGCTTCGCAAGACGAAACGTCTTGCGAGTTCTTGCGAGTTTGTTTCCTTTTTCTTAAAGCCGCTAAGCCGTTAATAGCCGCTAAGCTGCTAAGCCGTTAATAGCCGCTAAGCAGCTAATAGCCGTGCTTCGCAAGACAAAAAAACCGCAAGACGAAGAGACTCGCGGAACGGATTAATTTCGTCTTGTGAGGCACCACTGTATTAGGCAGCCATAAGGACATTCCTTCCCCTGCCTCCTTTCTCATGGGTAGTCTTTGCTGCCTGGGGAGAGTGGGAGAGGTGAGCACTATCATAAGCACATATGATGAGGTACATATTTTTACCTTGGTCGGCTGCAGCAAATCTCAGATAGAAAATCTTTAGAATATATGTAGTTGATTTACACACACACACAATGGCAAAGTATGTATGCAGTGACCCAGCTCACGTGTAATGTTAAGCCAGACCATGAATGTCCAGGCTGCTGGAGACAAGATCATGACCACTTTGCTTCTCCAGTCTTGCTTTGGCTGCTGTGAGCTAAGACATGGTTTGGCTTAAAGTATTGTCCAAACCCTGGTTCATAGTTTGTCTTGCTCCAGACAAACCATGAGCTGTAAACCAAGAACAGACCTTGGCTGCAGCTTATGTGTTAATGAGTGAAACAAGCAGCTCCTCCCCTCCCACTGGTCTTCCACTCAAGATTGCAGCCACTCCTGTTACTTTGGGTTGCGCTTATTTTATAAAAAAAAAAAAAGAATTAGAAGGGGGTGGGAGGTTGGAAATGCATGTGACTGAGCATCACATGTGATTTTGGCCTGGGTTTCATGCTCCTTTTCCAAACTGACATTCCTCTGCTCCAAGAGCGGAATAGAAAGTAGGGCAGGACAATTTCAGCAGTAACTTGGCACAGCCTAAGAATTGCAAAGTTAGAGTCCCTTCCCTGCTAACCTCCAACCCTTCAGGACTCCGGTATCCAGTGATCTTTACATATGTGGTAGTCTTTACATATGTAAAGATGGTGCTCTTCTAATAGTCGTCAATTGTGAAATTCTGCTTTTTGTTTCAAAAATGTATATATCTCTTTTGAGGTATAAGCTACCTCTGAAACAATATAAAAACAAAACAACATTATTGGGTAGAGCTTAAACAGAGAGGTTAGACTAAAGAACAAAAACTTGGGTGCATGAAAGAGGCACCATATGCCTCTAAAGTCCAAATTATTTCTCAGTTTTGCCTAACCATGAGGCAAATTATATTCCAGAAGCAAAGGTCCCAGGGATCACAAAATGTGGTTTGAGCTATTCAAGAAGGTAGGAGTATCATCTCATAATTTTCTGGCTCCTCTTTAGTTATTTTCTGTATTCTCCTCTGCTCTATCCAAGTGGTTTCTAATGTGCTTTTTTCTCTTCTGATTGTTCCTTTTGCATTTTGCTGTTCCTTAAAATCACAAGACCTAGAAACCTGAAGTTCAACCTATGGAAAGTTCACTGAAGTTTCCAAGGTTCTGTGTCCTCAGGACTGGAAGTTGAAGTTTATTAATTAGACAAAATGAATGCCCATGTCCTATACAAAAGCAGGAACCTTGGAATCCTTTGCATAGATATCTACTATTCTAACAAAGACATCCCAGCTTCAAAGTATCTGTTAATATTTTGGGTGCCAAATCGTTCTGTGCCAAATGGAACTTACAAGATAGTGGATGGCCCAACACAAGTCTATCTGGTGATATCGCTGTTTTCCATGCTGTGTTGTCACTATCTTCACGCAGTATCGCTCCCCGCAATCATTAAACAAATGCCTGCTGTGTGTGATGCAAGTGTTGATAGTAAACACAAGAGTGTGTTGCTTATTCTGCCCATATGCTTGCATGATCGATGTTTGCTCATGCCAGCCTAGTTTGCAATTTAATGCTGTGTTTGATGTGAACCATTGACTAAGTGCTAACCTCTGTACTTTAAAAAAAAGCAAAAACAACAAAGTATTTGTAATGTGACCTCCTTTTCAAGCCCCAAAGCCCTTGAACTTCTTCCCTGATCCTTCTCTTTGCTAAAGCACGTAAACGCTGGTTTGGCCTAATCTGAACCTGTGGAGTTTGTCAGTGTTTCTCAACTGGCTGCACAGTTTGTAAGGGGGTATATCTGATCTGCTTGCCAGTAATTCACATTAAGCCCCTTGGGACTTAGGAACAGCAGTTTGAAGGCATCATTTTAGAACCAGATTGTGTAGAATGGCTGAAGGTCTTCTTTTCCACCTAGCAGTATGGGACTGATGCCAGTTGACCTTCCAGGAATATTTCACAGATTAACGAGAACACCTGGAATTTGCCAAAAGTTGGGGCTGCCAATTTTAGAGAGACTTGGGGAGGGGGTGTAACTTGCTAACAAAAAACAGCAGCTGCGTAAATGATCATGGTGGAGGAGAGAATAAATAAATAGGGAAGTGTTTCCTCCAAAATAACTACATGCGAGATTCAAAATTTAAAAAGAGCAGTGTCACCATCACAGAGCTGCTTCTACACTTCTACACGATTGGTTGTTGCATCACCTCTTTATTTTCCGTGTTGTCCTCTCATCACCCAGGGAAGAGATCACGGCATGCTTAGTTGCTGACCAAACCATCAGTTTTTGAACTCTTGGACTTTGCTATATTTGCAGGTTGCCAAGCACCAAAGCAATAACACAGATCTAAATTTGGAAGGCAGAGCAAATCCACTTCCATCTGCTTTTGGATCATTTTCTATTCTGCTGCTTCTAGACATAGTGCAAGCTATCAACAGGGAAGTCTTCAATTGAAATCTTGCCTCAGCTGTAGTTGCATGTAGCCTCAGCCCTCCATCCCTCTAGCAATATCTAATTTAGTCTACCTTCCAGGAACGTTGTGAGGCTTTATCAGAAACACTTTGAACACTTTAAATTTAAAAATAAATGTTGTTGTTGTTTTGTTGTTGTTAGGAATGCTTGCTCTCATGCATTTGCTGGTGCTTTAGATGCACAGGTCTGGTGGAAAGAATGTCCACATCTTTCGCACAATAACCACATGGATTTAAGGTCAAATTAAGAGATGGATACTTGGATATGAATGGAGGGAGAGTGAGTGTTCAAGCAGTGAGATAATGCCGTATGAATGTGTGACATCCTGTAATTGCCAGCATTTCATTTATACATATAAACCTGTTGCTCAGGCTGTGTACTTGACCAATTTCTTTAAGCAAAGATCGTGGGCTGCAAGGCCATTATGTAGCATTTGAAAACAACAGGATTTCCCTTGCAGGTACTTACCCCGGAATTTCATTTGAACTCTGGATGATTAAAAAATTGCATTTCAAGGATCATATAGCATATTTTTGTTACCCAGGTAGCTGAGTTTTCATCTGTGAAATACTTAGAAAACTTTCTTATTAATACTTGAGTGATAATTGGCCATTTGCCACGAACTTTCCTACGATGATCTTTGTTGATAAATTGATATAAGGGGAGGAGGCAAACCCATTTGTTCAGTGCCTGCCACAATACAGATCTACCTCTGTATGTGTGAGTAGGTGCATGTGTGTAAATAATGTTTTACTTGAGCGGGGGAGAGAATTGGAATATTGTAGGCTTCCCATTAGGGACGCATGTGGCGCTGTGGGTAAAACCTCAGTGCCTAGGACTTGCTGATCGTCAGGTCGGCGGTTCGAATCCCCGCGGCGGGGTGCACTCCCGTTGCTCGGTCCCAGCGCCTGCCAACCTAGCAGTTCGAAAGCACCCTCGGGTGCAAGTAGATAAATAGGGACCGCTTACTAGCGGGAAAGTAAACGGCGTTTCCGTGTGCTGCGCTGGCTCGCCAGATGCAGCTTGTCACGCTGGCCACATGACCCGGAAGTGTCTTCGGACAGCGCTGGCCCCCGGCCTCTTAAGCGAGATGGGCGCACAACCCTAGAGTCGGACATGAGTGGCCCGTACGGGCAGGGGTACCTTTACTTTTACCTTAGGCTTCCCATAGGTGTCTGGTTGACTGTACAGAATGTTGGGCCAGATGGACCTTTGACCTATACCAGCAGGGCTCTTCTTATGTTTTGCTTTGGGTATCTGAAGACGTTTGGAAATAAGCATGCAATTTTATACATGGCTACTAGGAAGTCAGTCCTACTGATTTCAGTGGGACTTGCTTTGTAGTGACTGTGCCCAGGATTACAGCCTTCATATGATTAGATTTTAGGTGGAGAATACACTCCAACATTTTGTTGCAGGTTTCACTTGCCTAATCTTATATTGTTGAATCCTTTTCTTTTCACAAATATTTTTAACACATGGTCCAGGCAAATAAAAAAAAAAATCAGAAGTAATTTTCTGTGGGAGAAGACATGCACCGTATTTTTCGCTCTATAGGACGCACCCGACCATAGGACGCACCTTGTTTTAGAGGGGGAGAACAAGAAAAAAAAAATCTCCCCCTCTCTGCTCAGCGCCCCTTCAGCAAAGCGGCGGGAGAAACGGAGACATTTTTTTTCTTGTTCTCCCCCTCTAAAACAAGGTGCGTTCAAGGTGCATTCACCCAAAGCCTCTAGAGCGCAGGTCTGTGCGCAGCCTTGCCGCTGCCCCCCGAGCTTGTGGGGCTGGGGGGAAGCGCTGCTTTCCCCCACCGCCAGCCTCAAAGATCCCTGAAGCCTTCGGAGCGCAGCGCGAGTTCCCACTGTGCTCCGCAGGCTTCAGGTTCCTTTTGCTGAAGCCAGGAGAGTCTTGCTCTCCTGGCTTCAGTAAAAGGAACCCGAACCCTTCGGAGCGCAGCGCGGGTTCCCACTGCGCTCCAAAGGCTTCAGGCGGCTATCCCTGAAGCTTGGAGAGCGAGAGGGGTGGGGGCGCCCCCACCCCACACGCTCTCCAGGCTTCAGCAAAAGCTATCGCTGAAGCCAAGGAGCCTGCATTCGCTCCATAGGACGCACACACATTTCCCCTTAATTTTTGGAGGGGGAAAAGTGTGTCCTATAGAGCGAAAAATACGGTATACCATCATCAAACCTTTTATTGACATCACATACAAACATCCATAGCAAATCAATACAGAATTACCACGTCCCCAGTGACACAAAATATTTGTCAAATGAAAAGAGGCAAAGCAGTCTAACGTTACATCTCTAGGTCTCCTGGGAGATCAGACATCAGCAATGTGTTTCGACAAGTAAAAAAACAGATAAAGCTATTTAGCTACTAACTTGGTGAGCTCCTAATCATTCCCCAGTAATAGTAAATGTATGACCTCCAACTCTTGTTTCTATTGGGGATGCAGAGTTGATCTAGGAACTGCTGGCGGAGATCAGCATATAATTTACATTTAAGGACCATGTGTGTAAGAGTTTCCACCTGATGATCTTCACATGGGGAAATTCTGTCTCCTACCATTCCAGAGAACCTTCCCCAAAGGAGGTTTGATGGATTTGAATTTAACCTGGCCAGCGAAAATGCCCTTCTTTCTTGAGGGTTAAGCAAAAATTCAAGATAATTATGGTTAATTTCATGTGCCCAAGAAAGTTGAAAGTAAAGAGGGGAACATATTTTTTCTGCTGCTGCTGCTGTTAGTTCCTGACGTTCAGTCTCCCACAACCTTGTTTTTATTATAGCCTTGGCAGATGGTGGGGACATCGCTCACAAAAGTTCCACTGACAACCCAAATTGCTGTACCTTTATGTTAAACCATTGTAGCCCTGGGGAAGGAAAGGGGTCTAAAAAAACTTCACTGAGGAGAGGATCTTTATCTGTTGTGAGGCAGATGTTTAACCAGCATAGAAGAAATCTCGCCCAGGCAATGGTCTCTACCTTGTGTTGACCTCCCTCTAGACACAAGGCTGCATAGGGTACACAATGTGGGACAGCAAAAAATCTTAAAAAGGAAAGCTGCCTGCACTCATTCTACCAGCTGGGTAAACCCTTGCAGCCAGACTGGAATTCCATAGAGCAGTTGACCTATAATTTTGGCGTTGAAGACCTTGAAGGCAGAGGGGATGTTCGGATTACCTCTTGTTTTGAAGACACGCATTATGGCCTGCATAGACATCTTACTGGCATTCACCGCCGTTGCACGGTGTGAGGACCATAGAAGCCTATGATGGAATGTAATTCCCAGATAGTTAAATTCGAATACTTGCTGAATGGATTTCCCACCAAATGCCCAGCTATAGCTGTTGCATGAATTCATACACAATTTCATTCTGGACAGATAGTCAATACAGGAGTTTAACAATCATTTTAAGCCAATTCTTGTCCATGAGAGCAAAATCATATCATCTGCGTATAGGAGGAGTTCCCATTGGCTCATCATATTTTCCCCTAAATATCATGTGCTCTTATTAACTTTGTAAAGTCAGGGAGACACAGCTTCCACAATAACAACTTCAAAGAGGAATATTGCACCAGGTTCCCGGCCATGGCATAAAGTCAATCTAGGTGCATGTCGAAAGGTTGGCTATCGCTTGGAGCCCCAGACGGTTCCTGATGTATTTCCTCCGCTACCTCTGGGGCCGCGGTTATTAGTCCGTGGACCCTGGTGTCATCACTTCTTGAACTAGCAACTGATCGTACTCGGGTTGTCAATTTGGAGGGTAAGTTCACTAGAACTTGGAGCAATGCCAGAATTGTACTCCCTTGTAGTTTCTCCTGGAGGGATTTCCTCTGTTAAAATGACCTCTGGTGACCAAGCCAGCATTTATGGGTCGGGGCATGGATTGATGTATTAAAATGTCAATTTCCTGTAGATGGACTTTGGGGCAGTCCTGGAACACTGGGGGGAGAGTGAGTTGATTAGTGATATGTACTGAATTCAGCAAGTTTGGCATTGTGATTCCTTCCTGGGGAATTTCTAGTTGGGCTTCGGCTGAGTTCGGTCGAGGCTCAGAGCCCAGGACGTCCAGTATCCCGAGAGATATCTCTTGTTTGTTTTTAGAATATCCCCCTTGCTTCTGAGTAACTTCTAATCTAGCTTGCTTGTCATCCATATCTATATCCTCTCTAACAGACCTTTTAGTGTTCATATTCGTGCAACCCACATTGACCGGATCCAGAGGTTTTGCCTTGGTCTTGTTGAAATCACACAGCAAGACTTGGATAAAGGTAAAGGTAAAGGTACCCCTGCCCATACAGGCCAGTCGTGTCCGACTCTAGGGATGTGCGCCCATCTCACTTAAGAGGCCGGGGGCCAGCGCTGTCCGGAGACACGTCCGGGTCACGTGGCCAGCGTGACGAAGCTGCTCTGGCGAGCCAGCACCAGCGCAGCACACGGAAACGCCGTTTACCTTCCCGCTATAAAGCGGTACCTATTTATCTACTTGCACTTAAGGGTGCTTTCGAACTGCTAGGTGGGCAGGAGCTGGGACTGAAAGACGGGAGCTCACCCCGCCGCGGGGATTCGAACTGCCGACCATGCGATCGGCAAGCCCTAGGCGCTGAGGTTTTACCCACAGCGCCACCCGGTTTGTTAAATCCTCTAATTCTGCTAGAATAGTGTTAGTTGGTGCTTTAATTATTGCTGTTGTTTCCTCAGTATTTGGAGCCACGATTTCTTCAGAGGCACTAATTGAGGCCTCTCTGGATTAACTGGAGCTGTAGCAGAATCAGCCAGAGGGGCTGGCTGATTTCTGGGAAGGTTTAACCTTGAGAGTGATGTTATTCTTAGCTCAGGAGTTAGCCGACTAGCAGGCTTTTGACTGCCTGATAATAAAGGCACAGCATCCAAGTCTGCAAACACCCTTCTGAATGAAATGTGAAATCTACTTAAAAAGTCACACATTTTAGGAAGCAGCAGGGGAATGGCATGGCTATGAAATTTGTGAAGCAGTCTTATTACATTTGATGGCTCGGCAATTTTTCTATTGTTTTTAGGTCCAAAGAACCTATGTTTAATCGCAGTAGTTCAGATAAGGAGGAGCAAACTCTTGGTCTGGTAATCCAGTGCCCTTTGTTCTCCCAATTATTTCGGATGATCAAAGCTATCTGATCCAACTGCAAACACCTTCTAGTGGGATGTGGGCCATTGGTCTTATTCCGGGGACAGAATTTAATCTGAGCTTCTTGGGTGCTCTTCCTTGAAGGATTGAAGGGCTCCAGCCTGCTTGGTTGAGCATTCTCAGCATTCTTCCCCTGGGGCTTGGGGGACCGCACCAGGCTCTCCTCCTTCTGACCCCTCGCCACATGATCCCCAATGCTCTCCAACTTCCAGAAGATCAACGTCAGAGACCTTCCAGTGAGTAGTCTTTGCTCTCCAATCAAGCTTAGCAATTCTTCAGTAAATAACTCCTCTGTTGCTTCAGGCAGTTTGGGTAGCTTTTGAGATGTTATTTGGGCGGTGGTATGGGCTGCTGCTTGAGCTGCTTGGGTTGCTTTGATCTTTGAGAGCTTTCCTGTAGGTCTGTTTTCTTTAAACCTTTTGATCTAGGGCCTTTTGGCTGCTTGGGGGGATCTTCCCAGACCCTGTCTAACTGCTGAGAATTTGAACTATCTAGGGACTGTTTGTCACGCTATGGAGACTATCCCCCTCCTCCGTTTGCTCTTCCGACCTTGATCCTAGTCCTTCAGTAGCCTCTTGTGCTGTTTCAGGAGTTATCCAGTCTGAGAAGTCAGTCAGACTTAGTTGTTTAGATTTGGATCTGGTCAAGCGGCTTGGCACGGTAAGCACTTTCTGCCGCAGCAGCTGCTTTTTCTTGGGCATCAGGGCAAGGTCAAGACCCCCGGAACAATCCAAAACAATCCTCGTTACTTACGATTTGTTCAGTTTCCAAGCTGGGGGAGAGGGTGTCACTCCTCAGCTGCCTCAAAGGATTTGTGTATACGATTTGAATCTATGAGCTAAATAAACTTTGCTGTTTATATTTCTAGGATTTTCTGCAGCACACGCTATCCAACTGTCTTCTGTTTACGGGTTTTTGTTAAGCCACCAGAGGGCAGTCATGTTTTAAGCTGTCAAACAGCTCTTACCTTCACAAATCTCCTTTCTTGTAACTTGAATCCATTGGTCCAGTTCCTACCTTCCGAAGCAGGAGAAAACAACAACTGCTCTTCCTTGCTCTGTATCTTGTGTGCAAACTGAAGGAAGTTTTCTGTAGGGATTGCCAGGATAAGAGGTGACTCTGTGTCCTGCAATGCCTTCTTCTATCAGCAAGTGTTGATGCTGGAGATGACGTTGGAACCAGAGCACTGTTATGGCATACAGTGACTTAGTTCACACATCACATGTTTAAACCATATTTTTAAACCCACCCTGGTTTAATCTGAAGAAGCAGCATGTTAGTTCACACTGCCAAAAACTATCCATGGCTGTTGTCCACAACTGTTATGTGCTACCTCTGCTGTTGCAGGCAATACGCCTCTGAATGCCAGTTGCTGAGAAAGGGGAGAGTGCAGTTGCACTCGGGTTGTACATGTGGACTTCACATAGGCAGCTGGTGAGAACATGGTGCTGGAGTAGATGGGCCATTAGCCTGGTCCAGATGGACTCTTCTTATGTTCTTAATATGGGATAGACTGCCCGACTTTTTCACTTGAAAAAGGCAACCAAAATGATCAATTAATGGGGGCACTGCCTTCAGGGTCAGACACAGACCACACCTCTCAGTACCAGTGGCTAGAGATTCACAAGTGTGGGGAATGCTGTTACACTTGGGTGTGGCTTGCAAGCTCTCACGGAGCATCTGGCTGCTGTGGGAACAGGATGCTGAGAGCCTTTGGCCTGATCCAGTAGGGCTTTTCTTATATCTCTACTAGAACCCTGGGATCATCTAATGTAGCTGAATGTTGGAAAATTCAGAGCAGATGAAATGAAGTGCACAGCACTGTTGCACTTAAAAGGGGCCCAGCATGCGGTCTCCCACTAAGCAATACTCAGAGGAAACCCATTAAAACTCAACAGATATGGGTACCTTAAGTCTGTTGATTTCAGTGGGTCTTCTCTGAGTACGACTTTAGCTGGATACAACCCAAATGCCTTCTTCTCACATGAAAGAAAATCATAGGTTTTCCCCCCTGAATAACTTCTCCATGAATTTAAAAGGCTTGAATCTATCTACTTCCAGAGATCAGTATTCCACCATTAATATCAGGCACCAGCAGTAGCACTGAATTGGCTCTGTCAGTGGCCGTGGAGGCTTGTCCATTAGGGCAAACAGGGAACTGATCTGCCAACCTCAATTGCCCCCACCTACCTGCTTTCTTACAGCCAGTCCAGGGGGTGGCACTGGCTCTCAGCTTCCTCCTATTTAGTCCTAGGGTTAGAATCATAGAATCATAGAGTTGGAAGAGACCACAAGGGCCATCGAGTCCAACCCCCTGCCAAGCAGTATAACTCATCAGAGTATAACTCATCAGAGACCCAAACTAGTATTAGTTGGCATGGTCGGTCGTAGGCTTTGTCTCTCTGTTCCATGGGTTCTGGCTTTACCTACCCTTAGCCTCCCTGATTTCTGCCCTGCCATTCCCAATGGGCACCAGCCACCACTGGGCAATGTGCCCACACTGCCCCAACCTTGCTGCTGCCGCTTGCCATCCCAGTAAGCAGTGGTGCCAGTTCCATGGCTCTTCCCCATCAACCATTCCTACCTGTGTATAGCTATGTCTTGGGAACTGTTAGCGGTTTTCATTCCTGTAGTCCTGTTTTGGACCTGTCCTTTTTCTGTGTCAGTCCCGTTCTGCACCATTACGTACTATGGAACTAATACATTTCATTGCTTTCTGGCCAAACTATTTTACTTCTGGAGTTTGCAGGGAGGTAACATCCCTTTCACCACACTATGCATGATTTTATGCATCTCTCATGTTCCTCCTTAACTACCTTTCTGAGCTAAAAAGTCCCACACGTTGTGGCCTTTTCTCATGGGGGAATTCTTACAGCAGTGAAGGTCCTTCCTAATGCAACTATTCTTTCTTAGTAAAGATTGCATGGCTATTCTGTCACTTCTTGTTTCTTACAATGGTGTCTTAAGAGTTTAGGATGTTAGCTTTGCATCATAACATCCTTTACATCCTAGAGAACCGAGAGACTTCCTTTTTTCATCTTACCTTTTACCCAGCTATAAGACAGCTAGGAGATATTGATTTTGTGTGTGACCGCTGCCTCCCCCCCCCCCCCAATAACTGGACAGGAGGAATGCCTTGGTATTTCTGGGAAGCAAATTGGAATATGGAGAAACTGTTTAGTATTCCTTTAGAGGAATGAAATGAAACCATACTATATAGCTCATATATAGCTCATGCTATATTGACCCCCTGAGCAGCAGAGTTAAGGTGCATGATGAAATAAGTTTGCATTATCTCATTGAACTGCACTTTGTCAATAATTTAGTCAGGGAAAATAATGTTTTCGTGTACAGTGGTACCTCAGGTTTAGTACTTAATTCTTTCCAGAGGTCCGTTCTTAACCTGAAACTGTTCTTAACCTGAAGCAACACTTTAGCTAATGGGGGCTCCCACTGCCGCCGCGCCGCCGGAGCACGATTTCTGTTCTCATACTGAAGCAAAGTTCTTAACCCGAGGTACTATTTCTGGGTTAGCAGAGTCTGTAACCTGAAGCGTATGTAACCTGAGGTACCACTGTATGTTGTCATACAGTGCCAACATACTACTTGCAAAAATTTCAGAATGCTTTACTGGGTTGTTTCTAAATAATTTCTGGCCCAGTCAAGCCTTTGCAAGTTGTTGGCACGACATCTGGAGACACATAGATTATATGTTCAGGTGAGGTGATCTTCCCTGACAAAACTCCCAGAATTAACTTTCTGGGGAAATGTTTTCCAGATTAGAAACTTGTACTTCCAGGAATGTATCTTCTGGTGAAGGCACCCACAAAGTTCATGGAACTAAGAGAGTCTGCTCCAGCCCTCTTGCCTTCAGCATTGTTCCTATATTCTACTTTGAATATTCATATGCCAGTGTTCCACTAAAAGCAGGTTACACAGTGGTGCACACACATACATGTTTACCACAACTAAAAATTTAAAACTAAAACTGTAGACATGTTTGTATAAGGCAGTAAAATATTTTGTGCATCAGCACAATAATCAACAAAAATCTAGTAAAACATAATCATCACCTGCTATTGTAATGGCCTACTAAACCCTTAACAATACAATAATAGACAAACACAGATCTGTGGCTAAAGAAGGGAAGAAAAGTGGAAACCTTGCACTAGATGGAAGAGACAGTAAAATAAGGGGAAAGAGTTAACCGTCTAACCTAAGAGTAGGAAAGACTAAAGAAATCAAATTGAATCAGCCAGGGAAGTAAATGGAAATGAGGAGATGATGACTGATTTTATACACACACACACACACACACACACACACGTCAAATAGGCCAGGGATAAGTTTAAAAGAAGAGAAATTCACACCTTAAATAGGGCTGTCATATTCTAGTTGTTTTGATTCAGATGGCCTGCCTTGCACATCACAAAAATTGTTTCCTTATTATGCGAATCTAGATTTCAGTTGGAAAAGTGTTAAGCAACCCCCTTTCTCTTTCACAGTAACTGCCTTTTCCACTTCAGGGTGTCCTTTCCAAGGCTTCTTTAGAGGAAGGAAATTGATCACTGGGCTTTTCTTACATATTGTTCCACATACTGAATAGTTTTAACCAAGGAGGTTTATCTGAAAGAAGATAGGGCCCTGCTGGTCACAAGCAATTTTAAGTCTTAAAGGCTTTGAAGGCCCAAACCAGCACTTTAAATTTGTTGATAAATTTGTTGATGGACTTAACCTGAGGTACCACTGTAAGAAGAAGAAGAAGAAGAAGTTGTTGTTGTTGTTGTTGTTGTTGTTGTTGTTTTTATTATAGCAGCATCCTGCCCCATTCCTCTTACAGCATTTTATGCTGTTGTTTTTCTTGATCATCGTTTAAAGCAAATGAAAACCAAGCAGTCCTCTTTTTTTGGTTTCTCTCTCTCCCCTGCCCTTCCCTCAATGTCTCTCCCAATGATAGTTCAATATATACCAGAGCAAAGCTGTTGAAAAAGCTGGTGCTGCTGTTTTCAAGGCCGGAAGGGAGGGTGGGAGGGAGGTTTCATTTTGAAATGCTTTTGCTCAGCCTCCAGTTCTAGGAAAGAGGTACTAAAATCCTCAAACTGCTTTTCGTAACCTGTGCCAGTGACTCAGACTGGCAGGGTGTCTAGCATGTGGGATGTGCTCATAGTGAATGACTAGTAGGTAGTGCTCTTAAGCAGTTACGTGCATTGTGATATTCCCATAGGTCGAGTCTGTTACCACCACGCTGATGACTCATCTATCCAGTTGCTGCGGGGTATACATGAAACTAGGTCAGATGCCTCTTCAGTGTTTTAGCATGCCATGTGGAAAAGGCTGCAGACAACATGGAAGAAACTGTGACCAATGTGCTACTGATTCCTCTAACCTCATAATTTTTCTAATCTTGGAACATTTTGCCCTACGCTAGCTCCTTGTTCTTCTGGGATTACCAGCATAGTTTTATTTGTAGTAGTAGTAGTAGTATTTCTTGATAAATGCTGCATCTCTGACATTGATCCATTTGCACCCTAGTAGAAATACGATGCAGTCTGCTTTTTTAAAAAAAAAGTGGGAGGGGAGCCTTTAATGGAGATAGTGAGAGTAACCAGTTTCTGAGATAATGATGCAGCAAGATTTAGCTTTTCCTAGAAGAAATTATAATTCAGAATTACTAATATGCCAGGGTGCATAGATGTAGTGGTTCAAATTCAAGATGGTGTGTGTGTACCAGCAACTGATATTCAGAGGCCCATTGGCTCTAAGAGCAAAGGTAGGACATAGTCATTGTGGCTGGTAGCTATTGATAGCCTTATGCCCCATGAATTTCAAAGCCATCAATGCCTCCTATGGGAGTGAGTTCCATAGTTTAACAATGTGCCATGCGAAGAAGTAGTTTCTGTCAGGGAAGAGTTAGAAGTTTCCAGTTTCTCAGAGGGAGAAAGCATTCGCCAAGGGGGGAAGGAGAGCAGTGAATCTAACAGAAGAGAGCAAGAGGAACAACAGGGAGGGAATGGCTGTTCACAGGAAAGGCAAGGGTTAAGTTCTAGCTCAGATTGGGAGGAGGGGAGATACAGGCCAGCTCTAGCCAGGAGGTTAGAAAAAAGAGCGGGAAAGCGAAGGGAAGGGCGCCTTCGCCATTTTGAGAGTGGCTGGTCATGGAGAAGCAGAGCTCAGAAGGTATCTGAAATAAGTGACTCTGAGGAATAATAGTTAAGAGCTGTTTATAAGATTGTTTTGTTAATACGCAATAAAAAGTTTTATAAAGGAACAAGAAGCGTTTGTGTGGTGATCTGAAGAGGACATCGACCAGTCCTGACAGTTTCTTTGATACGTCCTGAATTCCTCCGACGTTCAGCTTCATTGGATGTCCACAAGTTCTAGAGTCCTGTCTGCATTTACCTAGTTGGAAGTCCCACTAAATTCAGCGCAATGTGAATCAAAATACCCTACACGCTGAATGGGTAATCCAGTTAAACCCACTCTCTTAAATACCCATAAATTAATGGCATTCACCGGTCCATTGGTTAAGGATGAAACTAGGCGTGGTGATGGCAGGCCTGGCTCTATGTCAAGCACATATAAGCCAACCCAAGAGCCAACTGATGAGGAAAGCCTCTGGGAGGACAAACTATGGGAGGTTTAAGACATGGGTAGGATGCGGGTGGTCTGTGGGTTAAACCACAGAGCCTAGGACTTGCCGATCAGAAGGTCGGCGGTTCGAATCCCCGTGACGGGGTGAGCTCCCATTGCTTGGTCCCTGCTCCTGCCAACCTAGCAGTTCAAAAGCACGTCAAAGTGCAAGTAGATAAATAGGTACCGCTCCTGCGGGAAGGTAAACGGTGTTTCCGTGCACTGCTCTGGTTCGCCAGAAGCGGCTTAGTCATGCTGGCCACATGACCCAGAAGCTGTACGCCGGCTCCCTTGGCCAGTAAAGCGAGATGAGCGCGCAACCCCAGAGTCGGTCACGACTGGACCTAATGGTCAGGGGTCCCTTTACCTTTACCTTTAGGGCTAGTGTGGAAGATCTAGCAGTCTTCTTTCCCCCTGTGCTCCTTTTTCTCCCACCTCTTTTTTACTGGGCACAGATCCAGGTTTGCATGGATCTGCCTCTGTTTATATGGAATTTTGATCCTTAAGGCGGTAAGCTAACAAGGAAAAGGGCGGAAGCAGGGCCCTTCCTTATGCAACTGTTATATAAACACCACCGTGAATATAAGCTCCTGTATTGTATGCTCATGTTATACGTCTCAGCATTCCATCCTGGTGCTTGAAATTTTTCCTGAAGTGCTGAGGCCTTTGTATGTACAACACACATTGCTGCAAAGTACCAGAAAGCCAGCACGTTCAAGGGTGCTTTTGCTGACAAAGCTTTCTAAGTATGGGTACAAACCTCACCTGCAAATTCGTGGAAGTGCCCCTTTTTATGACCGCTGCCGGCAGCACAATTCCCATCTCTTAGTTGAAAAAGAGAGAGCAAAACAAATGAAAGTAGAGAGTACTAGAGACCTGTGTTTCCTGAGTTTCTGTGTAATCTCCAGGCTTCTTGTGGGAGCTCTAAGTTCTGTGCGTGAGCATATGCTGCTTGTGAAGGGGAAAAAAGGTGGAAACTCTCCTACACCAAAAATACTAATCCTTTTCTTTTCATCACTACAGCTTTGCATTTGTGAGAATGTAGTCCAAGATGAGTTTCTTGTTGCATACTGCCATCTGTCCCCCTCTCCCCTTGCTTTGTACATAATCCATTATTCTCACTTTTAGATTAGGAAAATTAATTTAATTCTGGAATGCATATGAACATAACCTCAGGCATTGAGGGCCTCCTAAAACAGCCTTCACCAACCTGGTGCCCTCCAGATGTTTTGGACAAGGTGGGGCTCATGGGAGCTATAGTCCTAGAGCATTCATAGAATTGAGCAACCTGCAGGCTGAGTCCTATGCTGAGCATCATCCCTCCCTTTTCCCCATGTCAGTGTGAATATCTCTAGTCACCCACTCCCCACGGGTAATTGTTTTGCAGCAAACCCTGAAGGACTTCTCTGCCCCAATTTCTACATTTCATTACCAGTTTTCAACATCCTAATAGTTCCCACAGCAACCAGCCATGCTGCAAACACGTGGGAGAAAACTGGAAGAGACAGATGGGATTCCTTCTAGGCTTCTGTAGCCTCAGATGTACTATTATGACCCACTTTCTGGTTGCTCAATTTCCAGAGGAGGAGGTATGCAAATACACAGGTGTAACAGGCAAACAGGTGTCTCTCCTGGGGAAAACTTTTTGGTCTAAAGCCACTCAGGTGAAGTAAGCTGCCCTTCTGAAAAGTCTCCATTGCACACTAATGCAGGCATTAATGAACACAACAAAAATACTAACAATAACTCAACATTATTAAAGCCTGTTCATTTTTTTGCCTTTGCACTTTGGAGCATTTGCGTTGTTCTTACAGGCTTTGTTTCTGCATGATGAAGGGGTTTTGTACAGGTTTTCACTGCATACAAAACTATTGTGGTAATGTTATTAAGGGTTCCTAGGCATCTGTGGTAAACTGCCTCCAGCCGCTCGCCCCTCCCTCACCTGTCTTTGCTCTCTGGCCAGACCAGGTTTCTTGAGCAGGGCTGGCAGACACGTTTACGTTTTACAGAAACAGAACAAAATAGAACCGGTAAAGCTGCCACCACTCCCTTTGTCCCGGGGAACCCAGAGCCACAACCCAGGGAGAAGGCTGTGCCCCATTATTGCTGGTTACCCCCACTCCACAAGTTGTATCCACAGACTTGCAGACAGAAATTCTATGGTAGAGCACAACCAAGCGTAAGGCTAGGAATTAGCTTTTCCCCTGGAAAGGCACACAAACTAAAACAGTTTCTTAAAATTTATTTTAAAAAAACATAGGGAAACATGCTAAAAAAGCAGGCACATCTTTAGTAAGTTACAAGCAAGAAAACAAGAACATTGAAATCTAACTGACTTACATACTCACGACTAAGATACAGATAGAATAGAGTCCTTTCAATGATCCGCATTCAGAGGTTTTCGCAATTCTCCATCACAAAGGACGAAAGGACGGCTACTTAGGTGGAGCATCAGCAGCCGGGCGATTTGCGGATTGCAGAGCGCACTTTCTCAGCCATTCCCAAGACCTTTTATCCCCAATTTGCACGTGGCGTCGGAACCCCCAAAACCAATCATAACTCTTGATTATTTTCAAAACTCTCCAATGACCAGCTTGCGGGCTAATCAATCTAACTTCTGGCAGCTGGACCAATTAAGAACCCAGAGCCTAAATCAAAGGGGTTTCCTCCCTTTCCGTGGAGCCTATGCAGACGCACATTCCCAGGCAATCAAGGGCAGATAACATCACTGAGGGAATGCACATAACTTCGGACCCAGGTGTCAAACCTTCCATTAAATCAGGGGTTTCCTTTCCCATAATAAACCTTTCACACCCTGGGAGCCTGCTGGTCTGGGGTTAAAGGGACAAAACTCATTTCCCATGGTCCTTGTGGCTCGTTGGTCTCCCACAAGGCCTCACTCTCGTTGCCTGACCAAAGAACAGCTTCTAAGCAAACACTAACTTTACTGCAGCATCCTTTTTAAAGAAATAAACGAGGACCCTTTTTACAGCACTTGGCTTTATAATATATAATATATTGTGTTCAGTACATGCCTCAACACACCAGCTAATTTTACAGTATCATACAGAAAGCTCTGTATTCGGACAGTAAACTGAGAAATTAGGGTCAGACTTGTGTGGACTCATCACAGAACCTGCTTCTTACCTGCTAGGAACTGGTCTCCCTTATCGTGGATGAAGAATGCAGGAAGCGATCAACCTCAGCAAACTGCAAGCATCCCCAGCTGTCTCCAGAGAACAGTGGGCTTGTGATCCTGGAGGTTGGCTGTGGCTCAGGGGCGATTGCTCTGAGTCTTCTGAAGAAGCTGCCTCATGTGAGTGAAATTTTCATTTATGACAATAATGTTGAGAGACCTGCCACTGCTTCCAAAAGTTTGCCACCTGAGGTCTATAAGTCAAGGACAAACATCACATTCATTCATTTATTTTTTGCACTAGCAGTCTCGTACCTGGCTTGGCTCAGGAATTCCCAGGGTGGTTTAACAATCATTCCCTCTTTGCAGGCAACTCTTGGAATTGTAGCTCTGTGAGGGGAATAGGGGATCTCCTACCAGCTCTCAGCATGCCCAATAAACTACACTTCCCAGGATTCTTTGGGAGAAGCCATATAAAAGTAGTATGAAACTGCTTTGAATATATAGTGCAGATGGGGGCTTAGAAAGAGCTCGGTTCCAAAGCATTACACTGGCCTTGCTCATCTCAGATGCTCCAAATGGCATTTTTTTTACCAGCTGTGCCCAAGAAATTATTTCATGTTTGCTTCTGTTGTTCTTGTTCCCTTTCTTTCTTAGAGCAGAGTCATTGCCACAGATAAATCACAAGCTGCTGTGAATCTCGCCAGGGAAAATGCAGCAAGGTAAGAGTATGCTCCCTGTGTATACTAATAGCCAACATTTTCTATTTCTTTACCAATGTGTCTGACATTTGGTCAGTTTACTGGTGCTCTGTTCCTAATTTCAGGCAGTTTAAACAAAGCATCTGGGTTGTATAAACAAACATTTTTAATGGTCAGGATTTAAAACCGTGGGATGCAGCGTAAACAACTCTGCCGTAACTCTCCAAGTGCTATTGCACTTGTATATTAGAAAGCATTACTAAATCAACTATCATACAACCAACCTATAATTACTGGAGTAACTCGATCAGATTTTTTTAAAAAATAAGACAAGATTAAGATCTTGGCTGTGAGAACCTGCTCCCTGACTGACTCCAGCTGAGGCAGCTGAACAGACTCTTGGGTTGGGGTATAGCTTAGTGGATTTTGTTGCTGTTGGTGTTGCCCCAGTTGTTTACAATGTTTTAAATTGTTTTTAACTGGTTTTTACCTTTTAAATTTGGGGGTTTCGTTGTTTTTAAAATAAGGGAGTAAGACATGCCTAGGAAGAGAAGAGCGGGGAATAACAGGGGCGACCCCAATCACAGTGACTCAGGGTAGGAGGGCAGGCCAGGTAAAGGGCAAATGCCACAGGCTGTTAGTGGCTGTACCATGTGCCAGCCCCTTCTCCAGCCTGGCAGGTTGCAGTTGTCCTATCAGTCAGCCCTTGACTCTATTGATGAATGCCCGGGGTTCTCTGAGTAAGTCCCCTCTCATCCATGGTCTGATCATGGATGAGGAGGCTGATCTGGTCTGTATCACTGAGACCTGGGTGGGTGAGCAGGATGGAGTTCGTCCCACCCAGCTGTGCCCACCTGGGTACTCAAGCATCAGGGCAGACTTGAGGGACAGGGAGGGCAAGTTGCTGTCATCTATAGAAATCTCCTCTCTCTCTCTCTCTCTCTCTCTCTCTCTCCAGGCTCTCTGTCCAGTTTGGGGGAACTAGAATTGAGTTCCTGGCATTGGGCAGTCAGGACAGATTAGAGATTCTGCTAGTTTACCACCATTGCCCTTGAGTTTCCTTGCCTGAGCTGACAGAACTGGTCTTGGAAGTGGTGTTGGGGACTCCCAAGACCGCTGGTTTTGGAAGACTTCAACATTCGTGCCTAGGCAACTGGCTCAGGACATCATTGCTGCCATGATTATCATGGAGCTGTCCCAACATGTCATCGGACCAACACATAAGGCAAGCCACACTCTGGACCTTATTCTCTCAACTGAGCAGAAAAAGGGTGATCTGAAAGTGAATGATATTGACATCAGCCCCTTGTCACGGTCAGATTACTTTCTGTTGAAATTTAGGCTTTCAGCACCTTTCCCCCTCCGCAGAGGGGGAAATTAGCGCACAAAAAAGGGCCTCAGATGATGGACGCAGAATCTGTCATGGTTTATACAGTGGTGCCCCGCAAGACGAATGCCGCGCAAGACGAAAAACCCGCTAGACGAAAGGGTTTTCCGTTTTTCGATGCGCTTCGCAAGATGAATTTCCCTATGGGCTTCCTTCGCAAAACGAAAAAGTCTTGCGAGTCTTGCGATTTTTTTCGCTCCCCCCCCTTTTCCTAAGCCGCTAAGCCGCTAATAGCCTTTTAGCCGCTAAGCCGCTAAGCCTTTAATAGCCACTAAACTGCTAAACCGCTAATAGCGCTAAGCCGCTAATAGGGTTGCTTCGCAAGACGAAAAAACCGCTAGACGAAGAGACTCGCGGAACGGATTAATTTCGTCTTGCGAGGCACCACTGTACAGGGAGAGGCGTCCTTAAGGTCCTTCTTTGTGTGTCTTCTCCATGAGAGGTCCAGGCCTTTTCTGTAGTGGCTCCCCTTCTGTGGAATGCTCTCCCCAGGGAGGCTCACCTGGTACCTTCATTACATATCTTTAGGTGCAAGGCAAAAACATTTCTCTATAACGAGGCCTTTGGCTGATCATCATTCTACAAATCTGATTGTGGGAGGTGGGTTATTGGTTTGTTTTTGTTTTATTTATGTATTTTGTGTTCTCATTTTGTATTTTTATGTTGTGAACCACCATGTGCTCTTCGGATGAAGAGCAGTATACAAATTCTTATTCTTATTCTTCTTCTTCATACATTGTTTAATTTTACCCAGGTTTTTAAATATAAACAAGCTTTACAATATAAGACATGGGCTCGCTCTATCATCATGATCAAGTTACATTAATTACTACATATCACCAGAGTGAAGAGTGAAGAAAGGAACAATAAACATATGCCTTCCTTTTATTTCATAAGCGTTACCCTTTCTTAATTATGGCTTTGTTCTCTTCTGACAGCTAGAGACTTTACTTTATTCCCCTTCCTGTAGCACCCAGACCCATCTGGGATGTTTACACAGTAATTCAGAGATTGTGTTGTAATATCAGTAGATAACAATGGGTGCAACACAGTAGAGCTATCTCACAGGAGGAGTATTTTGATACCTGTGAATTTCTGATTAACAAGCATGACTACTTTTCCGCTGTGCTGGTGCAGGTGGAGGGGAGAGGGATCCATTCAGAATGGCAGCAGAGTTGGGGGAAAGTTGAACCAACTAACATGTGAGCAGGAGACAGTTGCATTAGTTTAGTTTAAGATCATGAAAATTGCAGCTTGCCAGTGGAATCTCCGATATTCTGAGTTAGACTGCTGGGCCTCTTTTAGGCCACCACATTCTGCTCCAATTATTGCTGAGCTAGTCACAAGCATTTTTGCCCTCCCCACTTTGGCTATTATTTGCAAGTCTTCACAAAAGAAAATTCAAGGGATCAGATCCGGGGTGAGTGGTTGGAGAAGAGCATAGCCCCTCTGCTTCAGTAATGGAGACAGCTTTCTCTCTCATCCTTGAGACTGAATATGCCCAGCTAGGCATGTCACAGCTATTGGTGCAAGTTGTAAGTCTTGGGGGCCTGTCAGCAACTCACCACCATCTATTCACTTGCCCTCTACCTCTGACCCAGTCTGCACAATTTCCTAGAGCAGTGGTAGGGAGCCAATGGCATTCCAGATGTTTTTGGGCTCTCATCTTCCCCAGACAGGGCAAGTGGAGGGTTCTGCTCCATTGCTTCCCTACTTGCATGCTTGAAGAGGAAAATTAGACAGGTGACCGGGCAGGTAGGAACAGAACCACTGTAGTCCAGTGCCTCCAAACTGCGTCCCACACAGTTGATCTAGGAAGAGACCATATTCAATGATATCAAAAGCTGCTGAGTGATCAAGTAAGAGTAACAGGGTTGCACTTCCCCTGCCACTTTCCCGATACAGGTCATCCATCAGGGTGACCAAGACTGAATCAGTCCCGAAACCAGGCCTAAACCAAGACTGAAGTGGATCCAAATAATCAGTGTCATCCAGGATCACTTGCAGTAATAGAGAGGACTGCAGCCTGTTGATGAGTTAATTATCAGAAGGGACTCTCTTATCCTACTGTAGATTATTTCTAGAAAAGATATGCTCTCTTTTCTAGAGCCAGTGTGGTGTAGTGGTTAAGAGCGGTAGTCTCGTAATCTAGGGAACCGGGTTCGCGTCTCCGCTCCTCCACATGCAGCTGCTGGGTGACCTTGGGCCAGTCACACTTCTTTGAAGTCTCTCAGCCCCACTCACCTCACAGAGTGTTTGTTGTGGGGGAGGAAGGGAAAGGAGAATGTTAGCCGCTTTGAGACTCCTGAAGGGGAGTGAAAGGCGGGATATCAAATCCAAACTCCTCCTCTTCTTCTCTGCAAATAGTTTTGCTAACCAAGACTATTAGTAATATTTGGTGACGTAAATGAGTCCTAAAGGACTACAGATTTGTTTGCATAGTCTTGGAATGGTGTTTTCAGATTCTGAGTCATTTTTATTCATTGAACTGGTAAATCAGGCCAACCCAGAAATGAGTTGAAAAAGAGTCACCCATCCTGGTTCTCTGTTTACTCTACTTTCACTTTGGGAAGGAATGGTGATCTGCAGTATAAGTTGAGGCGGCTAAAGCACGTGTCCTTAGTTTGTATACACATTTCGTTGTCTCTGGATAATAGCCCTGAGAAAATGAACACCACCACTGAATCTTGTGGGTCTAAATTAGCCCACGGAGTAGATACGAGCTGCCTGTAGCAGAGCAGAGCCACCTGTTTCCCACGCGTGGCTTTTTTCTTACAGGCTGCTGGTGAAAGAGGCACCAGCCACAGGATTTTCAGACTTCTAGATGTTATGTCAGGTGAACTATCTCCCAATCTGCTAGTGCTGGAGAATCTGATAAAGAGATGCGAGTAGGAAGCAAACATGGAGCTTTGCAAATTCACCTTTTCATTTTTACATTTTAATCTTGAGAGGCTGTCAAGGCCTGTCCCCCTGAAGCCGTTTTCCACAAGGCCACCATATTAAGCCATGTTATCTTCCCATCTAAGCCAGTTGTGGGCTTGCTGCACCTTTTAAGCGGCATGTTATAATGTTAGTGCTCCCCTGTGGGCAAATCTTGGGTAAGACCCATTCCCTGTTAATGAGTCCCACACCCATATCTCCCAAAGGCATGTGATTGCAGACTGGTGGATTTTCTTTTCTTTTTAGGGGGCCCTTTATTCCTAGTCCGGATTTGCCATGTGCTTATGATCCCTGTACTGAGAAACTCAGCCAGAGCCATGGGACTTGGCATCCCTTTCTTTCAGTTCCTAAATTCCACCACCAACTGTTGTTGCTTACCCACGTAAGGACTTGTCAAGCAACTGTTCTCTCAGCTTCCACTTACGTAATAACTATTCTGCAGAATATTATACAGCTGCAAAATTTCGTTTTGTTTAATCACATTTCTGTTTTGCCCATCTTTAATGGCAGAGGTGGGCAAACATTTCTGTGGCTAAATTTGGCTGGCAGGGGTCCTAATTTGGTCTCTGAGGCCATTTACTCAACCCATGGTCACCTTCTCCACAACCGCTGCTATGCCCCACTATAAACAATATATACAATATATACAAACCCCACTATAGCAATGTTGCAGACACACAGTGGTGTTGAACATATCACAGCAGCAGCCAGGGTGTGGCGATTTCTGCTTTCTAACATCATAATACACCGCCAGCTAAACTTGGTGATTTAGCGGTATATTATGATGTTGGAAAGGAGATGGGGAGGAAGAAGGTACCGTATTTTTCGCCCTATAGGACGCACCGGCCCATAGGACGCACCTAGATTTTGGGGGGGGGGGGAAATAAAGGGAAAAAAATTTATTTCCCCCCCCCCCCAGGCACGGGGCTGGGGAGGGGGAAGTCCGAGCTTCCCCCACCCGAGCCCCCAGAACAGGCAGCTCTCCGCAAGCCGTTGGAGGCCAGCGTGAAGTTGCGCCGGGCTCCCACAGCTTGCGGAGAGCTGCGCGAAGCCCGCTCTGGGAGCATGCAGGGCTAGGGGCGGGGGAAGCCCGAGCTTCCCCCTCCCCCAGAATGGGTCCCAGAGCGATGCCGAAGCTCGGGCTTCCCCTGCCCCCTGCCCCGCAAGCTCCCAGAGCAATAGCGAAGCCTCCCCGCTGTCCCCCGAGCTTGCTGGGCTGGCGGCAGGGAGAAGCGGGCTTCTCCCCACCGCCAGCCTCCAAACCAGGTCAGGGGACAGCGGGACGGCGGCGTTCCGCCTCCCCGCTGTCCCCCGAGCTTGTGGGGCTGGCGGTGGGGCTCTCCTGAAGCCTGGAGAGCGAGAGAGGTCGATGCGCACCGACCCCTCTCGCTCTCCAGGCTTCAGCGAAAGCCTGCATTTGCCCCATAGGACGCACATACATTTCCCCTTCATTTTTGAAGGGGAAAAAGTGTGTCCTATAGGGCGAAAAATACGGTAATTGCCAGCCACGGAGACTGATAGTCTTTAGTTTTCTAATGACTTCCTACAGAGGAGGACTGCAGTGAGGAGTGCAAAATTCCTTGCTTAATCAAAGTTTTGCATAATTGATGGTTACACTAATAACATCTCTCTCTTTTTTTCTTTTGAGCTTGTGCCAAAGAGAACCATAATAATTACTTCACAGTTTTCAGACTGAAAAACTGTGCTGTTGATTGTTGCAATGGTTTTCTTCATTAGATTGGATGTGATGGGTTTTAATGCCATTTTCAATTGTTACATTAAAAGATGATCTGTATCTCATGTATGATGTCTTCTCTAAAAGGTTACATCTGCAGGACAGGGTAAAGATCCTTCACCATGATGTGTCTTCAAGTAAGTTTCATATATGCAGTTGCTCATGTTAATTGGTACCAGGGGAAGGTCAAAGACAAGAGCCATTGTGTATTAAAATGCAGGAGTGCTAATTCTCACATGTCGGAAGTGACCTGCAGAACACAGTTGCCAATCGCCATTTCTGTACATTCAACACTGTGTCAGTATGTGGTACCCAAAATGCATCAATAATTTGCCCAGTTACCTCCGTCATATTTTGTATTCTGCTTATTATTCCTTTTAGTGCTCTCTGTTTTCAGTTATTTTATTGATTTATTGCTTTTTTTAAAATGTGTCATGAGCTTTTGTATAAAAAAAAAATAGCCCTGTACTGTATATTATTATTTTCAGTTGAAGAATGAGTTAAATGTGTTGAGCTGAGGCCTTATATGGCAGCACAGTACTTGCAAAGCAGTGGCTTGCTGATTTTTGTAAACAATTTGAATGCTGAGGTAAGCAAACCTGGCTGCACTTCAGTAACCTTTTTCCTCCCCTGAAGAAAAAATCCCTTTTTCAAATATGTCACTTTAAATGTCTTCACAAAATTCTGAAGCGGCCATTTTGCCAGATTTTTAAAACTTAACAGGTACGAGTCCCTGTCAGGGAAAAAGGCAGGATGTGAATAGACATAAAAATAACCAGAATTTGGCTTTTGAGAACTATAGGGCATTGGCATTCATGATGCTGGGAAACACTTTGCGTTATAAGGCTGCCATTATATAACCATTGGCATGTTTCAGTACCCAATATAGTGCTATGAAACCTGTGGTGCTATGGCTCCCTTAAGGTATTATTTATTCCAAAATTGCCACAGCTTCATATGTTATTCTTTATAATCCGGCCAGGTACAACTGTGCAGCAGCAGCCCATGCGGGGAATAGAGCGGCAGCAGTGCCCTCCCAGTGGTCAGGAATAGAGGGGCAAGGCAGTGAGGCCAGGGAGTTCCAAGTTGATGGTAGAGGCCTCTGCAAGGCTTCCACCAACCTGTAGCTTCCCCCAAACTTGCCACCATCTTTCCCAGTCCTGACAAGCAGGACACACTTATTGGGAAAGCGCTACTGCTGCTTTTCACACCACTGTTTTAACAGTATACAGTTCCCTTAAACATTGTTTTGCAGTTTATAAGTTTGGAAGGGTTTTCTAATTTGTTTTTTTATTGGGCGGGGGGACCGTGGTGTCATTTAGATGATCAGTGTAGGCCTTATAAGCTGCTGTTTAGTCTCTGGACCAAGTACCGTATTTTTCGCTCTATAAGGCGCACCAGACCACAAGACGCACCTAGTTTTTGGAGGAGGAAAACAAGGAAAAAAATATTCTGAATCTCAGAAGCCAGAACAGCAAGAGGGATCGCTGTGCAGTGAAAGCAGCAATCCCTCTTGCTGTTCTGGCTTCTGTGATAGCTGTGCAGCCTGCATTCGCTCCATAAGACGCACACACATTTCCCCTTACTTTTTAGGAGGGAAAAGGTGAGTCTTATAGAGCAAAAAATACGGTACTTCTCCTTCATCTTCTCTTTGTCAGAGGAGGGAAGGAGTGCTTGACACCCTTAATTTATGAACCATGGTTTATGAAGGCTGGATTACACATGTGATCCAGACCAACCTGCTAGTTATTCTGGAAGGTCGGGAGGGATAAACAAATACAATTTCGCAAGTTACCTTTGAGCCTGTTATTATATCTAAAGTTTGTTTTGCTTTGCTTTTGTTTTTTGGTAAAGCTTTTTATAATTTTTATTTCGTTCTATAATGTACAATTATAAGAGCAGACAAAAATTAAATGGTGAAAAACAAAATTATAAAATAGGCACATAGAATGAGTAGTTGCACATGATTTAAAAACAACAGAGCCCAAGTTAGGACTGTCAACTCTAGTTCCAGATTTGCCAGGCTTGTCTTGAAAATGCTGGTTCTGCTATATATGTCATAAAGGAATGCCAAACCATATAAAAAGTGTCTGGGGGTTCTAGTCCTTGCTGAAATCTCAAATTATATGTGATTTTCTCCATTATAGCTATATTCCAGAGTGAGCAGTACCAAGCATCCAGTGCAAGATTTTTGGCTGTTTTCCACTGAGTTGCAATTTGTGTTGCTAAGATCGTATATAATATCAATTCTTTTGACAATATGTACACATTGGTTGCATCAAAAATATTCAGTAGCATTAATTTTGGTGATATTTATCATTTCTGTCAACCTAACATTTGTTTTTATTCTTTCTTCAATGTAGGTTCTTGGGAATGCCTACTGCCCTGGGGTTTGATAGATACTATAATCAGTAATCCACCATACATTTTCCATGAAGACATGACTCAGTTGGCGGCAGAAATCCTCAGGTAGCCAGAAACCTCTTCCCTCTTTGTTCCTCACTACATTTCTGCCCCCCCCCCCTTTGCTCTTTGGTGAGGACTGCTGGTATTCTAAAGGCCAGTCTAGGTATGATGTGGGGAGATCTTTGAGTTCAAAGGGGCTCTCGCCATATTTTGAAGAGATAGTAGCAGCTGCTGGACCCCTTCCCCATCTCCCTGGCTTGGTTCTGAGGTGTCATGACCTTTTCCATTTCCCTTGAAAGAATGGGCCATAGCTGAGTGATAGAATGCGTGATTTGCATGCAGGAGGTTCCAGAATCAATCCCTGACAACTCCAGGTAGGGCCAGAAAAAATATTGCCTGAATGAAACCTTGGAGAGCTGTGACTGCCTATTAGTAGCAAACATATTTTTCAGGCAGCCTTGTTTGTTTTGCTGCTGTGTGTAAAGCTAGGTAGTGCTTTGGTTTTTAGACCTTGTCTTTGGTTTCTAGATATGAGGATCTTGGTGCACTGGATGGAGGAAAGGATGGGATGAGTGTAATAAAACAGATTCTGAAATTGGCTTCATACGTCCTCAAAGATGGCAGGTAAGTTCTGGCTAATGCTGGCTGCTTCTTTTCTGACAATAAGGGAGCTTTGTTTCAGGGAACTGGGAATAAGACTTCCTGAGGGACACCATCTGCCACCACAGCTAAAATAATTTGGAGGAAGAGAATGACAGGAGGGTGCAAATGAGAGCAGTTTCTGTCTTTCCCAGTTCTCTTCCTTTTCTGTCTCAGGTTCAGAGATTGGGGATTGAGAAAAACACCACAACTGAGGTGAGAAATCCTCCCTTGTTACCTGTTCCCCTTGCTTAAAAATCAAGATAGCCACCATTAGTACGTCTGAAAGTCGCCAAGTTAGAGAGTAATTAAAAAAAAAAAACATTTATGGCATGGCACAAGTACAACATCCACTGCCCTGTTGCACACAGTGACCAGGGCAGAAGAGAGGGGAGGCAGACAGACTGCTATGTCAGCCTGGAGCGGGAGCAGCAGTCAAGCCTGGTGTCATCCCATGACAGCAGCTAGGCTGGCTTATCCCTGCACCTAGAAAGTGCCATTTAGGGGGTTTCTTCTGTTGCCACCAGTGCAGATCTTGTCAGGAGCGCTTTGGCATGCTCACATGTTTGGCAGGTGGGAGGGGGAGCGAGGCCCAGCATTCACTCCACAGACAGTGGGTGGTAGAGGCCAGCAGGGGTGAAACAGGGGCACCCCCACTCAATCCAACCCCCTAGCCCAGCCCCTTTAAAGTACACCTCCAAATTTGCATTTTGGTGTGGAAACACCACGGGACTCCCTTTTACTGATAGGAGGAGGAATTAAACCCCCATGTGGGGGTCTACAGCCCCCCGCCTAACCATTCGACCATCCTGCCTGTGTCATTAATTCGTTGGTTATTTTCAACAAACCATAAAGATATCGGCACCTTATATCTATTATTTGGTGCCTGAGCTGGTATGGAGAGAGAGAGGAGGAGTTACAAAAAGATAATTTTAAAAATAGTTGAAGGAATCACTGGAGCTGAAGAAGTTATATTAGGTGGCACTTGGGAAGTGATCCTAAGATATTATATTGTGATGATTTGGGGAAGTTCATTTGGGAACTTAAAGGCCAGCAGCCAGCTGCATCTCAAAATACCCTGCTGTGGCTGAGATGTTCCAATTTGTGGCTCTGTAGTTTTAAGAACACACCCATCAACCAGAAAACGTAGCTTTGCTGGCCAAGATCTCCATTAAGATAGATTGGGAGGAGAGAAACCACAGTACGTGTAATAAACAAGTGTGAGAAAGATCTCTTTAATGTTTGCTTCATTAGCCAGATTATTACAAGTCCAGTTTGAACTCAATCCTAGGAAACAACCCACAGCTTCCTTTCGCAACTACGATGTTTCGGCGGATTTCAAAACACTTGAAGAAAACCCCACAAATCACAAATAATTGAAAATGTCAGATAATATTTCTGGGTAGTGGTTGTGGAAAACTTGGACACCTCTCTGGAGGCTGAGAGTTCTCTCAGTGCCTCCAGTTACTTTTAGTGTACCAGATCAGGGAGAATTGGGGTATGGCAGTCAGCTCTGTGCTCTCTCAGTGGAGCACAGCTACTACAGTGGTACCTCAGGTTACAGACGCTTCAGGTTACAGACTCAGCTAACCCAGAAATAGTACCTCGGGTTAGAATCATAGAATCATAGAGTTGGAAGAGACCACAAGGGCCATCGAGTCCAACCCCCTGCCAAGCAGGAAACACCATCAGAGCACTCCTGACATATGGTTTTCAAGCCTCTGCTTAAAGACCTCCAAAGAAGGAGACTCCACCACACTCCTTGGCAGCAAATTCCACTGTCGAACAGCTCTTACTGTCAGGAAGTTCTTCCTAATGTTTAGGTGGAATCTTCTTTCTTGTAGTTTGGATCCATTGCTCCGTGTCCGGGTTAAGAACTTTGCTTCAGGATGAGAACAGAAATCATGTGGCGGCTGCAGGAGGCCCCATTAGCTAAAGTGGTACCTCAGGTTAAGAACAGTTTCAGGTTAAGAACGGACCTCCAGAATGAATTAAGTTCATTCCACTGTACAAAGGATGGTTAGTGGAACAGCCACCAGTGGAAGCGAATTGAATAATACATGTAGAGATCTGATCTGTGGTAAACAGCAGCAATGCCAGGGCTGTCCCTACCATTATGTAAGTGTGGCGCACTTGCCTCAGACAAATGCTGGGAGGTGGGTCAGGGGCAGCTCCCCTGGCTGTTTTCCTACTGGGAGAGGGAAACTGTGTGTGCCCCCTTAACTAGCCTAAAGCCCTTAGTGGCAGGGTCCAATCCTCCTTTACCTACACTCCTGGCACCTTACAGGTCAAAAGTGTCATCAGGCAGTGCCACTTGGACCAGCAGTGGTGGGCGAGGTAGCATTTCTCAGCCAGCCAGCCCTTTGCCTTCGCAGCACTATAGGAAGTAATGCCCCAGAGGCCTCTGCATCACTTCCCTGTGCTATCTTGCCCTTTAGTGCTGGGAAGTGGAGGGGTAGCTTAGAAATCTCATGCAGCTCCCAGGTGCACAGCACCTAGGCTGTGCTTCTCAGTGCAGGGTTCCTGAGAGTCATGTCCCTTCTGAGCTGGGCCATGCCTTGGCCTTCCAGTGCCAGCACTAGATGAAGAACAGTGCCGAGAGAGGAAAACTCAGTAAAAAAGGGGGAAATAATCCTTGACCACATAGCACTGAAACAAGAAGTCGGGAACTATTGAAATACCAATTTTACACAATAGGAACATACATAGAAAGCTGCCTTATGCTGAGTCAGACAGTTGATCCATCTAGCTCAGTGTTTTCTACACTGACTGGCAAAGGTTCTCTGGGGTTTCAGTCGAAAATGTCAATTCTGGGGATTGAACCTGGGGCCGTCTGAATGCAAAGCAGTTGCTCTGAGCTGCCGTCCTTCTCATCACTATTACAGTAACTAGGTATCATTGGATTGTCGTGTAACAAACACTTTATTATTGTGTCAGGAAGGGTTTTCATTTTATTTTATGCATTTTAAATTAATTTAATTTTTGCATGCTGCGTCTAATATGTGTTTGCTGTTCCTGATGAATATACTGTACTTTGAGGAAACTGGGCACTACATTGTCCTGATCGAAGTCAACTTTGTTCTGGCACCTCCTTTCCTGCTGTCCCTGTCCGAGCTTAAGGGAAAGGCTGTTTTATTGGCTCAGAGTACTCTAACCAAAGGGATGCGGGTGGCGCTGTGGGTTAAACCACAGAGCCTAGGACTTGCCGATCAGAAGGTTGGTGGTTCAAATCCCCGTGATGGGGTGAGCTCCCGTTGCTCGGTCCCTGCTCCTGCCAACCTAGCAGTTCGAAAGCACGTCAAAGTGCAAGTAGATAAATAGGTACTGCTCCAGCGGGAAGGTAAACAGCGTTTCCGTGCGCTGCTCTGGTTTGCCAGAAGCGGCTTAGTCATGCTGGCCACATGGCCCGGAAGCTGTACACCAGCTCCCTTGGCCTGTAAAGCGAGATGAGTGCCGCAACCCCAGAGTCGGTCACAACTGGATCTAATGGTCAGGGGTCCCTTTACCTTTTACTCTAACCGAAGGGGAGGGTTAGCAGTGATGTAATGGTGGCAGTGACTGTATTGAAGAAGTTGATCATCTCTGGGCATAGAGAATTCCTCAACCAGCAGACTTCAATAATGCACTAACCAAAAAGAGAGAAAAGTGTTTAAAGTCTTTTAGAACTTAGTATTTTTATTTTGTTTAATAATAAACAAAGTTTGTTAAGCCTAGACGAATAATTGGAAGGTGGCTAAATATTTCCAAGCAGTTTCTTGGGATGGGGAGGGAGAGAGCTGGGATGGCAGTGTTTTTCCCGGAGCATGAGAAAGTCAAAACTGGTAGTACGTATATTGCTACATTCTTGTGGGTTTTAAAAAGGCACTGATGATTTAACAGCCAAAGAAAAGCAACTTGAAATCCCTCCTGCAAAGTTGGAGCGCAAATCTTGCCATCTCATACTCCAGGGTTTATAATATCATTTTTCATTGTTAACCTCAAAGCATAACCAGTGTTTCCTAGAATCTGTGGAGTTTTTTTCTTTATTTTAGTTATTTATTAACTCCCCCCTCAAAAAAGGTGGAGGAGGAATTGAAGGAAAAACATTTTGAAGGTCACACATGCCCATTTTGTGTGTGTGACCGGGCCGGGTTGATTCAGAGGGAATGTTCCGTGTGGGAAAGCTCTGAACGCACTCACTGCCTAGGCTTGGCTCATTCTCCATCAGTTTATTATTTAGCCTGCAAAACTGCCATTGGCTGTGTTCAAGCTGAGAATCATTAGGGATGGGTTTGGGTATAGTCATTAAGATGTCTATCAGGGTGCACTAGAAACTTAGATTGTAAGATTCCTAGTCCAGTAGCAGAAAATAATTAGTTCTGGTGACAGGTGTGGAATCCTGAATCTCTGAATAGAAAATGTCCTCTGGGAACCAAACTACATGATATGTTAACTGCAGCCCTGCATTTTATGTATCTGGGTTAGTTCTTGTTAAACAGCAACCACAGCAGAGGTGGAATGCGAATCTGGACCCTTGGCGCAAGAGGAAAGGTTTGTAGTGCTTTGTCCTTTCACTGTCCTGAGGAAAATCCTATTATTTCCCCGAAGCGCTTGTTTTTTCTTGGAGAAATTCTCTCCTGGTTTGTTTGCTACTTAAAAACAAAAAACCCTCTTCCATTCCACTGCGGTCCCAATCCTGAATGCCTTCCCAACCACAACTGCTAATTAACAACAGCAGAAGGACGCATTAAATGCAGTAATACACAGATAAAATACTGTGTGTTCTAGCCCTTGTTGCACTCAAGGACAGATTAATGCTTAATGCTCAGCATGAACAAATAACTGATTTGGCAGATAAGGAGGGGATTATGTTTGTTAGGCATGTATGAATGATGCCCCCAGGATTCTTTCATAATACTAGAACTCAGGTGATTCCATGACAATGAGTGGCAGTAGGTTCAGGACTGATGAAAGAAAATACTTTTTCACAATATGCATACTGTAGAGCAGCCATGTACAACATGTCGATCGCGAGCCTGCGGTCAACTGCCGGGTTGTCTCTGGTCAATCGTGGGGCCTTTCTCTGCAACCTCAGATGCAGCAGCAGCCGCTGCTGCTGCCAGTCTCCACAGCCATGCAACCCTGAGCAGCACGAGGGCGAGTGGAGACAGAGAGAGGCACAAGGCACTATGTGGATCCCCATCAACTGCGAGACGCCCTTTGACAGGAGAGAGAGAGAGAGAGAGAGAGAGAGAGAGAGAGAGAGAGAGAAGCTGACTCCTCAGATCCGTGCAAACTATTATAAAAATATAGTTTGACTTTTCTCACTTGTTTAGTTACTTCTCCATCTAGTAACTATTGGGATCTGTCATAGTGATATCCAAACATAACTACTGTATCTGTGAAATAAAGATCATTTATTTATTTATTTAACTGAAATGACTACGGAGGGTGGTAGATCACTGCCAGTTTTTGATACTTGTTGGTAGATTGCAGGCAACTTGAAGTTGGACGTGCCTGCCGTAGAGGATTAATTGCAACCAGAGATTCTGGTAGCCTCCAACTTGGGGGAGGGCAGGCAGGTCCACCAATGGCAGTGCTTTTTTGGGTGGAAAAAAAGAATGTGCTTCAGGCTAGCACAGAGTGTTACACACCCACCCAAAAGTACTGAATATCAGCCATGTTGTTGTTGTTTAGTCGTTTAGTCGTGTCCGACTCTTCGTGACCCCATGGACCAGAGCACGCCAGGCACTTCTGTCTTCCTCTGCCTCCCGCAGTTTGGTCAGACTCATGTTTGTAGCTTCGAGAACACTGTCCAACCATCTCGTCCTCTGTCGTCCCCTTCTCCTTGTGCCCTCAATCTTTCCCAACATCAGGGTCTTTTCCAGGGAGTCTTCTCTTCTCATGAGGTGGCCATAGTATTGGAGCCTCAGCTTCACGATCTGTCCTTCCAATGAGCACTCAGGGCTGATTTCCTTAAGAATGGATAGGTTTGATCTTCTTTCAGTCCATGGGACTCTCAAGAGTCTCCTCCAGCACCATAATTCAAAAGCATCAATTCTTCGGCGATCAGCCTTCTGAATATCAGCCATAGCTGCTGAATATAGTTTTAAGTGTTTAGGGCAAAAGCAGATAGTGTCTTTCTCAATCTTGCTTTGCTTGCTCTTGGCCCCTGTATGGAGATGGTGTGTTGAGCTTAATATAACATTGGTCAGATTCAGCACCAGCAGTTCTTAGGTTCATAGAATTCTATTTTCTGGTCCCAAGTAACAGGTTTTTACCCCCTGCTCCACCAAAAGAATCCATCTTCTACTGCTTGCGCCACCATTCCTTCAACACCATTGTTAATTGTTAATTCAATCACTATTGAATTATATTCTGTCAGGTTGGGAACTGAGGTGCAGAAATAAGAAGTGAGTATTCAGATGAGGAGCCTGCATCAATTGGACTAGTCTATATTGGACTTTATGAACCACCGTATGGTAGCTTGAGGCTCCCAACTATCATGACCTAATTGAACTGGGCATGTGATTGCCTCACGATTCACCCAGCTCTTAATTTAATCCATGCTCAACTTGCAGCCTCAAAGCTGCCAAAAACATTTGGAAGCTCAGTGTATTTGAGCAATTGTACAAATCACTTCAGTGTGTGCTTAAAACTCTGTGCAGATCCACTAAACCCACATTCTCAACATGCCAATTTGATCATGTGAAGTGCCCTGTCTATTAGGAAGTTTTGATCAAGTTGGCCCATTCTCTTGCTTCTCTGCTTTCAGGAGTGTGTTTCTAGAAGTTGACCCCAGGCATCCAGAGATGGTGGAGAACTGGCTGTGCAGTCACCCCGACTTGCTTCTCTTTGTGTCTGCCACCCATAACGACTTTTGTGGAAAGTAAGAGCCTGTTTTACATTCATTCTTGTTCTACTGTCTACTAGAGTAGTTTCACAGAAGCGTAATGAGCACTGGCAAGTGTTGCCCCCTGCTTGGAATGCTGTGAGTCTCAGTGGAAAGATGCTCCAGCTCAAGGGTAGGCAACCTAAGGCCCGGGGGCCAGATGCGGCCCAATCGCCCTCTTAATCCGGCCCACGGACAGTCTGGGAATCAGCGTGTTTTTACATGAGTAGAATGTGTCCTTTTATTTAAAATGCATCTCTGGGTTATTTGTGGGGCATAGGAATTCATTCATTCCCCCCCCCCCAAAAAAAAATATATATAGTCCGGCCCACCACATGGTCTGAGGGACAGTGGACCGGCCCATGGCTGAAAAAGGTTGCTGACCCCTGCTCCAGCTGATACGTATTCTGCTACAAAAGTTTGAGCCAAATGTTTTTCTCTTTCCATGGCATGCATGCCATGGAAGGACGGCCTTCGGAAAAGAAATAACAGTTTGGAAATCCATTAATCACATGAAAAAACCTCTATTCTCTTTCTGTCCTAATGCATTTTGGGCATCATGCCTAAGTAACTGAGGGTGAACACCATTTGTCACCTACAGCTCTCCACCAAAATAACTCAGGCATATCATGAATGTACTATAAGCACTTCCTTTATCTGATGAAGTGGATTCTAGTCCAGAGAGGTTTGTGCCATGAGAGATTTTCTTGTTCATTGTAGGCCTTGTGGTCTCTCTATGGGGGTCAATGCTGTGTTTTGTTGTCTTCCTATATAGGCCAAGGTTCCTGCATATCCAGAAACATGGGGGAGAAAACAACAGAAGATACTGAATGAGTTCTGTCATCCCAGCACAGCTGCCTTTAGTGTTAGTCAACACAGAAAAGAATCCTTCTGTTAGACCTCAGTGCTGCAATAGGGATGGGAGTTTGGAACCTGTACCAGTGAACTCTGATGGTATATTCTCAAACAACCAGTAAGAACGCTCCATGCTGGTGGACACTTCATTCAGGTGATCAGCAGGCCCCGTTGCGTGATAGATGTTATGTAAATAAAGTTTTAAACTGTCAAACTTTCAAACGGTTGTTGCTGTTCTCACATGACAGGTGTGTGCTCTGCATCCAACCTAGATGCATTTTCTCTCTCTTTCTTTCTGCCATGATTTTTGCCAGCAAGTGGTTTTCATCAGGTGGAATAGTGCCACTATCCAAATACGGTTAAGCAGATCATTGAAAGTAAAGCCCACACTGTGCTAGCATAAGCCTCACAAAAACGAATAGAAGTTTATATTGGTAAAATATGATAGAGTTCAACTTTGCATTAACAAAAGTCAAGGGGGAACGTTTTCATATGTGAAGACCTTAAATTGATTGAACCTTCCAATGAATGTAAGAAGAGCCTTGCTAGACCAAGTCAAAGGCCCATCTAGTCCAGCCCCCTGTTCTCACGGTGGCCAGCTTGATGCCTATGGGAAACTCGCAAGCAGGACGTGAGTGAAACAGGACTCTCCCCACTTGGAATTCCCAGCAACTAGTGTGCAGAGGCAACAGCAGATGCAGAACATACCCTTCTAACCTCCTTATCCTCCATGAATTTGTGGAAATCTCATTTTAAGACATCCAGGTTGGTGGCCCATCACTGCATCTTTGGGGAGTGAAGCACACAGGTTGCTTATGAAGACTGGGTGAAAACTTGCTCCTGTTCCTCTTGATCTTTTAATCTGGAGTCTACCAGAAATATATAAGTACCGGGCAAGCCCAACCATGCGGGGCAAGACAACCAAAGCAGTTACTTGGCAGGCAAACATTATGCTGTGTGCGATGCAAGAAGTATGCTTGCCCCCAGGTTCCACTGGAATGTGGCAGCAGACGCCGGGGCAAAACATTTGGGTTTGCAGCAAAATGTCTGACCCAGCCCTGAATGAGCTGGCATGTTAACTTACGAGATTTTGACCTCAGTGAATTTGAACCAAATTTAGACCTCTGCCTCTAGTTCAGATCCAAGTCCAGACTTGTTTATCCAGGGTTTTTGGTAGGGGAAAATTACTCATCCAGGAGGAATGTCTGGAGAAACAGGAGATGAATTTGCTGAAGGAAAGGACAAAAGTGCATGTATCAATAGTCAAGCTTCTTCCCTAAATGGAACCAGCTAGAAGATTTCGGACCAAATATGAACAGAAGGTACAAATGGGACAAAGAAAGAAATGTCCTGTGGCTTCTACTCAAAAGTTAGGTTTTGCAGTTTACTCTGGTTTGACTAAACATCTGGACAGAAACTTAAAGGAGGGCAGTCATAAGATAATCCTGGTTATTCTGGATTTAGTAAATGCTGGTTACATCCTTGCATCCATAAAAACTGCCCTCCAGTGTGCATTTTAAAGGTCATGTGACTGGTTAAGTGCCTCTTATGCTATACCACCCTACTGTGGGCTAAAGTTTGGTAAGGGAGGGGATACCTGTTGCTTCCATGTGTATACAAGCAGGAACTCTACTGTTTCCCTACATCTTTTGTATGGGGTAAATTGGAGTCTTTTTGCAGCCTCTGAGCACAGACAGGAATTCCTTTCCACTCATCTTATAAGCTCTTTGAAAGAGCAGGTAGATCCTGCCGCCTTACCTATCTTATTCACACAATTAGAATGGCTGAAGTGGACTAAGAGGCAACATTTCAGTGAATATTCTTGAGGACAGGCTCTTATTAGCTGTAACCCTGATATATATATGTACACTTGTTCAGGTTTCTTAGAGAGGATTTTCAGGCCACACAACTAGGGAGCTCACACTAAACATGACATGCTCCTGTGGGATTGTTGAGAGGTACGCTAACTATTCTGTCCATCAGCTTTATAATTTCACACTCTGGTGTAGTCATTAAATATGTTACAGCTGTATTTTTCAGTGTGCCTTTTAGGCTACGTTGTGCAAAATGGTACTCAGCTGGACTGACTCAGCATAGGATTGTATAGTTGGAAGGGACCATGAGGGTCATCTAGTCCAACCCCCTGCAATGCAGGAATTATTTGACCAACGCAGGGCTTGAATCCACAACGCTGAGATTAAGAGTCTCCTGCTGTACTGGCTGAACTATCCCAGCATTATATCAGTGTTCCTAACTTCTTAAGCATTTTGAGAAAGCAACCTGAATTGCAGTTATTAATCTCATTCTTTCCTGGCAACAGTCTTCAGAGGTCGATGACCATTTAGTCCTAATTTACAGTTGGGCACAATGCAGAAGAAACTGGCCTAAGGCTGCCCCTCAAACTAAGAGGGAAATTGAACCCAAGTCCAACTGGTCCATGCTGCTATATGCCTATACTTACCTTCCCATTTTGTCTCCTTTTATAAAAGTTTGTTACAGTTTTTGAGCCAATGATCTTTAGGATCACATGGCATGTGCTGACCTCTTTAGGACACGAGGGGAGAAAATTGCCATTTTCTTTTGCATGAGTTTCTTTGCCAAAGCGTCCTGGTAGAGGAAGCATGCCTTCTTCGGCACAGTGTGTGCCACAGCATCTAATACACGTTTAGCAAAACACTTCATCTCAGAAGCCTCTGAGAACATATTAACGTGGCAGGCTCCAAGGGGCCAGTGACACCCCAGGCCAAAGACTTCTCCCAAGTGGGTAGGTTCCACCATGGAAAGTCTGCAATTTGACAACCAGTTCACTAGAGAGTTTCTAATTGCTTCATAAAGCTGCGGGCAGGTAATATTACTGCTTTCCTCATTTTACATAATTGTATCATAATTTAATAGAACTCATTCCTAGTCAGTTGGCACATGTTTTCAATTCCTTGGAGCCTCAGCAAGGAGGGGGTGGGAGTGTTTTTCCTTAAATGAAATTTACAGAGGGCTGGGTTTTGTTTTTCCCCCTGAGGCTGCTGGTGGTTAGGTTTCTTTGGGGACAACGCACTGCATCTGACAATTTGAGCTTTCCTGGAAAAGTGTCTGGAAATAACATGGGCTTTGCCAGAGTACCAGGAGGTGGCGCAGGAATTCCAACTACAGGCCCATGGTGATTCTCTCCAGGAAGACCCTGATGTGGAGACGGGGCTGCTCTGTAATCTGTCACAGAGCCATCCATTCTGAAATGAAATGAAACTAGAAATAGAAGAAGAGGAGTTTGGATTTGATATCCCGCCTTTCACTCCCTTTAAGGAGTCTCAAAGCGGCTAACATTCTCCTTTCCCTTCCTCCCCCACAACAAACACTCTGTGAGGGGAGTGGGGCTGAGAGACTTCAAAGAAGTGTGACTAGCCCGAGGTCACCCAGCAGCTGCATGTGGAGGAGCGGAGACGCGAACCCGGTTCCCCAGATTACGAGACTACCGCTCTTAACCACTACACCACACTGAAACCACAACCTGATTGAAGCCCGTGCAATGTTTGTGATTGCCTTTGCCATTACCTTCCATATCCCCAAAAAATGGTGGAGACTCACAACACGAATCACCAAACTCTGTTTGCAGGCTGAATAAAAGAAAAGTCTTAAATCTCTGTATATGTGAAGTCGTCTTGGGAGCACAGCTTTCAGGCACAGATAGGCATAGCCAACCAATTTGGTGGAGTGGATAGAGCATTTGGTTGGACTGGAGAGTCAAATCCTCCTTCAGCCAATAAGTCCACCGCTTGGCACCTTGACCTACCTCACATAATTGCTGAGAGTGAAAGGGGAATAATACTGGGCCTTTTCCCTTGAGCTCCTTGGAAAATGGCCAGTGTAACAAACGAGATCAGTAATAGTAGCCAACATGAACTGCACATGTTGAATAAGGGCCTATTCTCCTTGCCACCTCACCACATGGCTGGTGATCATGGGAGAGACCCAGTTGTGGGCACATATCATCATGCACAGAATTAAGCTTTTTTTTCTGCCACTCCAAAGATGAATGTGCCAAATCTGAAGCCTGTATGCATCATCTGCTTGGCATGGATTGGCAGCCAACATGGGCAAGCTTTTTCATCTAGCTGCCATATGCTAAAGTAGTCGAGAGGCAACCTGTTCGACACGATTCAATGTATGAAAGCTGGTCAAGTGTGAGCAGACCTGCAGGTGAGCTGAGCTATCTTCCATAGGCTGTGAATTGCTGCAGTCCTTCTGGGCAGACTTTCTTCCCATACAGTGCTGAGGTGATTGCGATAATGGGCCATAAGTAGTGAATCATAAGATCGTCCGCTGTTTGTTTGTTTTTCCAAGGGGGGGGGGAAGCAAACTAGACATCTGTGTTTTATTTTCCAAGAAATATTTCTCTGATCCTTCTGCATTCTATGTGAGGCAAGTTTCTTTCCCAGAAGTGAAATTGACACTTCCTCCAAAGAAGTGAATGGATGTGCTTCAGCAAATACCTTAACTTCAGTTTGGGTTTTTTTAATTGAGGTTGATAGTTTTGCTCTTTGTCAAGTATCATGGTGCACTAAACTGTTGACTGACTTGTATTAGATTATACTTTTTTAGAGCAGGGAGTTGGGTTATGACTCTCACTACCTACCTTAGGCTACATGTGATGGGTAAGTAGGCCTGATGCAATATGACAGGTATACTGTGGGTAACTGTTTTTAACAACAATTATTGTTTGCTGCTCCATAACAAAAAGTTGTCCAGGACAGACTGATTTCTCCTGTTATTTGGACCAAATACTTTTCCACTGCCCTAAGAGCAATTGTGATTCAAACTTATTCTGAAACCCTCCACACAACCACATGTAGTTTTAACAATTACTGCATGAATCATTGTCAGCTGTTCAGATTTTGTTCCAGCCAATGCTAAAAACACAACCTTTAGCAAAATATTCTTAGCCTGTGTTGGCTTCCAGTGTTGTTTTTGACATTAAGATAAA